TGCCAGTTTCTATCACAGCTGCAGAAGAGGGGGTGGGGGAGGAAAAGAAGAAGTAAATTGTTTAGCTAAGTAAATACAAGGAAGGAAAAGAAAAGTGTTTGCTTTGACTTCCATTTGCGAGGAAACATCACATAAAGAACAGTGGAAAAGAAAATAGGGTGAAAACTGTGAACAAACTGCTGTGTGATTCTGGTTGTTGATGTAATCTGGAACAGAACCAATTTTCTCAAACCCTTCTGTGTCTTTCTTGAAAGAGCTGCTGTAAGTCAAGCTGGAAAGATTAATTCTAACTCTAAAATAGGTTAGCTGATATAGAATATGCCTCAGCTTGCTCTGAGTTCCTTCACAGTATTAAGGATTTGGCCAATGCCAATTCTCTCAGTTTAGAATACCAATAAGAGTATTTTATTGAATGCTAATCTGGGAAGCTTCATGAAGTAGAATAAGAATGACTCCAGCTAAATGCTCCCATTGAGATTTTAGCCCCCTTCCTTCCACCATCCCAGAGTTTGATATTGAAAAGCCTTCACCCCCACCTGGCACCCCACAGATGAGTTGTAACTTCTCAGCATATGAGCAGTAGTGCTAACACATCTGGAAGATACCATTTTGAGAATATCCAATCTAAACCCAAGCATAATAGATGTTTATATTAACATAATAACTCAGAATCTTCTTAAATTACCACTGTCTTTTAAACAGGATTAAATAACTTGTTTAATGATGATTTAATTCCCTGATCGTTAACCACATTGAGGACTTGCTCTGAGGCTGAGAAAGATGGGTTATTAATATTGCAAATACATAATTGAAGAATTGACAATCAGTTTGTAAGAAAAATGATTGCTGTCACTTCATTGTCTACCTTGAAGCATATCCCTTATATATAAATTCAACTTCTCTAACCTGGCACATTCCAGGAGCAATGAATTACAACTCGTATTCCTTACAACCAGTATAGACAAATGGGTGCTTCTTATGAATGATGGGAAATGTCCACTATAATTAGAGAAACATCTGAATCAATTATAGGTTGGAAATGGTCTTACACAATGTATATACTCTTATACACAATTAATTGAATTTAAAAGCTGGCTCCAGAACAGTCTTTAAATGTAGAATTGCAATGCCTGGTCCATTCACTTTTGGGGAGGATTGTTTTTTAACCCACGCATTGCATACTTTTTCTGATTTTTAAAACAAGGAGAGTAACAAACCACAGGTGTTGATATTCTCCTTATTGTTATTTACCCATCTAATAGAAGTAACCTAAACAATATATTGGAACATTGAGTACTGTAGATCTTTTTGGTGCACATTTATCATTGCATTTTATTTCACTAGTTAGCATACATCCAATAAAATAATTATAAATGCAAAATACAGTAATACAGTGATTTGTTCTTGTTCGTTGGTACCAGTTTCTACAACCAGATTAACAGGAACAGTCTATTCCTTCCCAATTCTAAAACATATTACTAAAGAAAAGACTAATGAATAAAGTGGGATTTCATCTTCCTGTTTTTTTCCACTGCAAAAGACTAATGAATAAAGTGGGATTTCATCTTCCCACTTAGCATACAGAATTAGCATACCTACATCCCACAACTTACATTTTTAAAAATTGATGTTACACAAATTAATTTTAAAGAAAAATATTGATGCAAAGAGAGCTCAGTGTCCCTCTCTCACACAGGAGGCTTTATACTTTTCACACTTGTTTTCCTGCAGCAGTAAGAGAAGAATTTTTTAGCTGCCTCCATTCATGCTACTTTACTTCCTTTATGCAACTCCCTTGCCTTCAAAAATACCCTAAGCAGTGAATGCAGGAAATTACCTTGGTTAATTGCATGCTTCATTTTTCTTGGCTTGAAGCCAAGAAAAGCATGCTGTTATTCTGCCTTTTTAACTATTCCTTTTTGTACTCAGAACATGGAATCCACCTCCTTCAACCCCTGTGGAATTCATTTAGTAAGCACTTACTGTTACATCAATAAAGCAAGTATGTAATGCAAATAAATAACTGGATATTTTAAAATGAAGAGAAATCAATATGATTGCATTGCTTAAATAAATTCTTGTTGTCTGTCCATCCATCATCATTACCATCATCCGAACATCAGAATGCCAACAGAAAAATGAAACATCTCTAGTTAAAATAAGATTTAACTGTAATACACAGAGTAGTAGAAAATTACTTTGGTAATTTAGAATAACTGCTTAGGAATATTTTATTTTACTTTCAGCTGAACTGTTTTGCAAAACAATATGAGAAATATTATGGAATCCTTGAATATCTATAAACCTTCAGAAAATTTAGGGAAATAAAATTCTGGAAAGTTGTAAGCTTTGAAGTTTCTTTTACTTATTCATGAGGCTGCTGAAGAATGGATTCAGGTGGGTTGATACAGCACTATGAATTAAACATTGCACATATAGTTGGCAAATGTGAAACTTTAGAAATGAATGACAATATCTTAAAATTCAGGAACTATGCAGGAGATTACATGACAGATATAACATTGGAATAACACACACAAAAACTAAATATAAATATAGTTTGTTTTTAATTATAAATATAGACTGTTTTTAAATGCTATTTTATAAATAAATAAAAATAAGCAATGTTGTGCAAAAAAAAATAATCACTCTGTAGTAGTGCTGCCTTTTCATGAATGGATTTTCTTGAGAAAGAAAAATATTGCCACCAGGACCTTATGCACTTCTCTGACTAGAGTTTAGCAGTTGTCCAAAGCTTGATTTGGACACCCCAAAGGCAGATCCGTACTTTCTGCTTCACCAATGCCAGTGTGGGCCTCTCCCCACTTCCAGAGTGTAGAAACAGATGATGTCTTCCATCTACTTCCAGTTCCCAGGGAAGCATAAGGAAAGAGTAACTAAAGTGAGGAAAAAAATAAAGATCCTACCTTTCCTCCCTACCTCCCATACTTTTGTAGTAAATGCCACTGAGAGCCTCTTGGTTTTGGATTGCTAGCCCATTCCTTGGCATACAGTATTCATTCCAAGGCAATTGCATCATTTCAAATGGTGTGCCATTTTCTTCTTACAATAGCAAAAGACAACAAATGTCAGCAACCAACCTTCTATTTAAATTAACTGTAAACCTTGCTTTTAATGTTTCCTTTTGTTTGGTCCCCAAAGCCCTTTCCTAGCTTTGCACATTACTCTTCAATGCCATAACATCTCGCCATCCCTCAATGAGACGGCACCATAGCAATCAAAGTTCTCTAGACATTGACAGTAAATTAACTGGTGGTCAGCAAAGCTCCAGAAATTCTTGGGAAGTTTCATAATCTATTTTCATTTAGTTAAATAGTGGGGTTACCTGAAATGTTCTTCCATGTGATACTCTACTGCTATATTTCTTTCATGTCAGTAGTGGAGTATGATTTGCCACAATTTGTTGGTGGATTGAACAAATCAAGGAAATCATTTCCAGAAAATAGGTTAGCTATAAAAAGAGCTTCTGTAATATTATACTAACTTTTAGTTAATATTACATTTGGCTGCTTTATCGCGTGGACTTTGAAGGCTAAAATACAGCAATTTAGATAACTCTAAGCATTGTTATAAATATATCTTTGTCCTTTGTAATGGAAACAATTAACTGTTCTTTGATCAGAGATCAAAGCAGTTGTCACTCCCTCCTCCATTTTCCCTACGTAGATTTTACTAAATACAAGTTAATGTGCCAACTACAAGTCTACCTTGATGCTGACTAATTTAATTTCCTTGTCTTTTTTACAAAGATCATTTTAAAAATCCACCTGGAATTTCATGGACTGCACATATGCTTGGCAACCTGAATGAATCATTTCACAATGGTGTAAAATGAATTGTCATCCACAACAAAAAGGTGGGTGAAACAGAGAGACATTGGGAGAGAAGTAGAGTCAAGAAGCAAGATTTTCTGCAGGTACAACTTACCACTATTTTTTTCTTTATCATCATTCTCTGCCTTACTTCATATATTAGAAAAACTATGGTTAATTTGTGTTTTTATAATTTGTATTTTAATTATATAATTAAAGCATTTAAAGTGTTTAAACTTAAAATAATTTGAAGAGTTAAAATAATGTTAATGGTTTATATATTATATTCTAATTTAAAAATATGTGGGTTTTTTTTGGAAAGAATAGAAAAAGAATTACAACAAATTATTTATTTATTTGACTTTTTTTTACTTTGTTTGCTGCCCATTTCACCAAATTATAAGTGGCAAAGGCTATTTCCAAGAGAAATGTATAGATTCAATTGAAGCATGAACAATCAGGGATCACTGGAGAGAAATGAAATTCATACACACACCTTGGTTTTCTTTAAGTTAATAAATGTAATACCTCTGACCGTAATTTGCCTTTTAAAATTCTTCTAAAATTAATTCTTGTATTTAATTATACTGCAGTTATAATTACCTTTGTCCAGGCAGAAAAATATAGCTAGCAAAAGAGTTGCTAGGGCACCTCTATATCATCAACAAGAATATCATGAATGAAATGTACCGTAATTAAATGTAAAGCCCATTTGCCCTTTCTCTTTCTAAAACCCAACCGTTCTTTCATTATAGTTTGCAACCCATTATTGCGTTTGCCGAATTAGTTATCCTTTCTAAAGCTCAGACTTGACCTCCTTCAAAGAATTATTTTGCCGAATCTGTAACTTTGAATAAAGCGATGTTGCCAGTATGGAATAATTTGATTTATTTCACTTTTCACTTTCACAGCTTGTCTTCATTCTTCAGGTACGAAGAAATATATTCAATAATGTTTCCTATATGTTTGCTTGCAATTTGTCTCCTTATGGCATAAATATTCAATGCCTTGGAAGGCAGGAAGGAGTGCAGTAAAGGAGATTTGCTTGCATTGATTGATTGATTGCATTGATTGCTTATTTGCTTGCATTGATTGATTTTTTTTAACTAAAATAATTACAGTTTAATGCAAGGGTCCCCAAACTTGGCAGCTTTAAGATTTGTGGACTTCAACTCCCAGAGTTGAATTCTGGAGAATTCTAGGAGTTGAAGTCCAGAAGTCTTAAAGCTGCCAAGTTTGAAGACCTCTGGTTTAATGAAGTGTAAGGGCTATTTTTGCTTTCAATTTGGCTCCCTTGACTTACTATACACATAAAGACACATGTAATGACAGGTACAAGTTGTTTATGCAATTTCATGAAAAAATAAGCCCATGAGAGCAATGTGTTGAAAATCTTAAAGTTTGTCTCTCCTTTGTATGGATTTGACCTTGTTGATGGGGTAGGGAATAAGATGGAGGTGTTTTTGAAAAATGTCCTGATATGATACGTTCTCTCTGCCATAGCATAGCTTCAGGAACCCCTTTATAGCAGCTCCATTCTGGGTCACATAACTAAGTGAAGGACAACTGGTGGCGTTGTTCAACTGCTTCTCTCATATGGATGCACTGACGGGAATTTGTCCTAGATATTTTTTTGTCCACTGCCTCCCATGTGATTAGTCCATTTTTTTTATTTTGATCTTCCATTTTGTTGACTTCTCCCACCATACTAAGATTGACCTTATTTCATATCCTACTGACCAATGAGACAGATAGAGTCCCAATACCATTTACTTAGTTTCTTTCCAGCATTTATTTGGATTGGAGAGCATAAAAATAATTGCTAGCTGGAAAAGAAAAAAATTGCCAAGTCTTTCTCTCCAAATTATGCTTCAAATTTCTGCAGTGAACAGCAGAATGAAATAAAACATATAATAAAAATGATGACATTAATGTTATTTGGAAAATTAAATAATTCAGCTGCTTTCTCCTACAATAAAATATCATGCCTCATCTGATACTTTCTGACAAAAGAACTAGCAAATGCATTTTTACTGTGAATCTATTCAAATCCACAGTTGCCTTTTCTATGGGTTGCTCCATGAACGGTGGATTTGAGACCTGCTTCACATAGGATAGTACTCTGACAGCATTGCCTCCTTAAAAGGATAGAAGTCCTTATCTAATTATCTTAAATAACTTAATCTAATTAAGTTGTGAACTTAAATTAGAAAACCTTTGGCAGTGATTCTATTTTATTTAAAGGGAAGATACATAAACAGGGCCATATTTTCAAGTAGGTGGCAGCTTTAAAACGTGAAAAACTGGAATAACCACCAATGAGGCAAGGAAGAATCTGAAGGGAAGTGCAGCAATGTAAAGCAAGCTTTAAATTCATTAAATCAAAAAGACAAATAATCAACAATTGAAAATGTCAGGAAGACATCTACAGAAATGCTTGCCTCAAGCTGGATATTGAAACTTGAAAACCTAAGAAATTTATTGATGAGAAGCAAGGGTAATTATTTAAAGAGAAAACATGAAGGCATTTTCGTTGAGGCAAGCAGAGAACATGGTTACCATTTTGCAACAACCTAAGGAACTGGAACACATAACATGGTAAATATATTTTTTAAAAAATATTTCGCATACTTATATCCTGCATCTGATTTGAAGCTAAACCAAGATACACAGCATCCACTTCTCCTATTTTCTCTGCAAGAACAACTATGAGGGTACTTCGGCTGAGGGAATGACTGGCTCCCTTGTGAAGTTCTCTTGCTGATGCTGGTTTTTAAATTAGATTTCCCTGGATCCAGTCCCACATTTTAACCTCCATGCTATGCATTCACTCTAATGCTTCTGGGTATTTTTTCTTTCTTCTTGTGCCTAAATGTTGGAATATAATCCCATTGAGCTAAGTACAAGAGGCTCTATTGGGTTTTTGCCTCCATCAAATATTTTTGTTGTTGGCGCGCTATTTATTTTGCTGTTAGATTACAATTACAATTGTAAAATTGTAAAATAATTACAATTATTTCTGTGGAATTAAATTTCCATAATGTTCAGTCCAGTTTTATTCACAAAGTTGTAGTCATTACAATGTCCCCTCTGTCACATGACCATGTTTTCTGAGCTAGCAAAATCAATGGGAAGGTAGCAGGAAGTTGGAAATCACTCCCACAATCACAGATTTTTTGCCAATCTCTGGTCATTCTGTTTATCTGTTTAGATAAGTAAATGTTGAGTTATCTTTAAACTTTGTTTTCCACTACAGTACTTTTTTTATTTATGATAGAAACTCTTCTTAGATGATCATGGAACCATCAAGCACTATGTTAAGAAAAATTAGTCAGCCAAAACTTCAATGTTGTTGTGGGGAAGAAAGAGTATTAGATATGTTGGTTGCCTTGAGTTATTTGTAAATAAATAATAATAAAGCAGGATACAAATAAATAAAATTTTAAAAATAATGATCATTTTTGTCCTATCATCTTTTTCTCAAAAGATGACCCAAGGGGTCACAGAGTTATCTAGTCTAAACTATCTATTTATTTATACCTTTATTATTTTTATAAATAACTCAAGGCAGTGAACATATCCAACACACCTTCCTTCTCCTATTTTCCCCACAACAACCCTATGAAGTGAGTTGAACTGAGAGAGTGACTGGCCCAAAGTCATCCAGCCGATTAAATAACTTATTATACCTAAATACAACATACACTTTACTGAAACATATTTTCTTTTCTTTTTTTTAAAGTTAATGTTTATTTTGTAAACAATAAGCTCAGAAGAAATGTTTTCAAGTGTGAATTAACAAATAGAAGCTCCCTAAACTTTTGGCAATCTAATTTTGTAAACAATCCTTATTATTTTGCCCTGTACTGGGGACAGCAATTTTGATTAGGGAAATAAGGAGACATTAATTTTAAAAAGTGTAATTGTTCATTAGTTGTGATGTTACCTTGTCAGACATCCCACTGAAATGTTTTTATTTCTTTTTGAGCCTTGATACTAGTCTAATAAGCAGATCAAATGAATGCTAAAATGGGTTCTATGCTTCTGTTTCCATGACTTTTATTATACCGTGTTTCCCCGAAAATATGACTGGGTCTTATTTTCTTTTGACCTCCGAAAAAACAGCTAGGGCTTCTTTTCAGGTGGGTCTAATTATTGACTCACCTCACGGTGGTGGCACTGACAGACCCACCCAGCTGCCGGCCCACTTCTTCTGCGGATGCTTGTCACTGCTTGCACACGTTGCCCTGGCCTCCGTTTTGCTATCAGAACCTTCCGGAAAGCTCTCTGCAGCTGAGAAACGGGCTCCATATTGACACGCGCAGCACCACCTGGCTTCCGTTTTGCCTTCAGATGCCTTCTGGAAAGTCCTCTGTAGCCGATAAAAGAGCTCCTGCACCCTGGGCTAATTTTGGGGTTAAGGGCTTAATTTTAGCGCATGCGTTCAAAAACATGATAGGGCTTCTTTTTGGGTTGGTCTTTCAGGGAAACATGGTAGTTCCTCTACAATTTCAATTCTTCATTCTCTAAGACAGCCATGTCAAACTCATGTTGCCACAACGGCATCACATGACATATCAGGACTTTTTTCCCCTTTGCTAAACCGGGCATGGGTGTGACCAGCACATGACGCATCTGGCCCATGGGCCGGGAGTTGACAGTCCTGTTCTAAGAAAAACATCTCACTGTACATATTAACAAAATAAGGTTTTTTAAAAAGTTCAAAAACCTCATCTATTTTTATGCACTTTAATATTTTAGCTGAAAGAGCCATGGACTGTTGGCAGAAAGTACATCAGAGTGGGTGGATTTTTCCAACTCTGGTCCTTTGTATTTATGGCTTCTTTACCATGATGAGGCCATCTGAACCTTTCCTCACACCTTACCTTACTGGACCTGAAAAAAATCTGACTATTGATGAGGTATAGTGAAATATGTTTTATCTGTGAGGGAATTTATTGGGTAGAAATAATGGTGCTGCAGATGGTGGAGGGCTTTTGTGATTCCCCCCCCATCCCCCTAGATACCGGTTGAATTGCATGCATGTTAAATCCATAATGTAATTTTGTGGTCCGTGATTCAGCAGCACAAGTAGCTACAGATATTTTACATTTCATCAGTTTTACCACTTCTCCATAGATTACACTGGTAATTGGTATTTTTCCAAGTGTAATTCATTGTGTTGATTGTCCTCTACCTTCATATACTTCATGGCTGAAGGCCTTGCTAGGACCAGCTTTCTTCTGTTGTGTCTACCTAATCTTCTAATTTCTGGATGATTTGGCTTACTCTAGTTTCCAGACAATGTTGTTTTGTGATATTACAGTAATGCTTAAACGTTTGCAAACCTTTTTGAATTTTCAATATTTCTGCATAAATATCGATCTATTCTTCATACGTCCTAAATAAATTCTAGATAAACAGAAATCAATTAAACCAATAAGTCATAAACTTATACTAGTTTGTTTAGTTATTGAGGAACATGATCAGTGGTGGTATTCAACTAATTTAACAACCGTTTCTCTGCCCTAATGATTTCTTCCAACAACCAGTTCACCAAACTGCTCAGAAAGTTAACAACCGCTTCTCCCGAAGTGGTGCGAACTGGCTGAATCCCACAACTGAACATGATCCAAAACTATATATTTATGCGTAGCAAAATTTCTAGGATTATCAATTCATTTGAAGGGGAAATTAAACTCGAACTAGAGAAATTAGGTGTTTCACAAGCTTTTAAGCACAACTGTAAAAGACTTTCCCTGGTGGTAGCTGAACCCACCCTGTGGAACAATGTTCCTCCAGAGACTCCAATTCTATTGGGCTTTCATGAAACCATAACAGATTAGGTACAATTATATGCATACTTTATAGTTCTGCTTTATAGAATTTGTCCTTTTTGTCTTCTAGGTGACGCAACATATTTTTCCAGTTTGGACATACTCCTACCTGGCCCTGCTCTTCCCTGTATTTCTGATTACAGACTATGCACGCTATAAACCTATAATTATTCTACAGGGGATTAGCTTAATCGTTACGTGGGTGTTACTTTTGTTTGCCTCTGGCATATCAGCCATGCAGCTGGCAGAGTTTATGTATGGACTTGCAACAGCCACAGAGGTTGCCTATTATGCTTATATATATAGCGTTGTCAGTGCTGATTATTATCAGAAAGTGACAGGTTATTGCAGAAGTATCACCCTGGTGGCATCCACCCTGGGATCTCTGCTTGGACAGCTTTTAGTTTCTTTAGGCCAGGTATCTTATTTTTATCTTAATGTCATAACTTTAGCTTCTGTGTCTATGGCATTTATATCTTCATTTTTTCTGCCCATGCCACAAAAAAGCATGTTCTTCCACAGAAAGTCTTCCCCAGAACCTTTCAGTGGATCAGTAGAGAAAGTTACAGCACAAATTTCCAACCAACAAACCAAGCAACAGGACAAAGAGATGACAAAATCAGTGGCCAGGCCCCAGGATTTAACTGAGCATGAGCCATCCAAAATTAAAATCCAGAGTCGCTTTCTGTCAATCCTAAAGCAGTTGTGCATGGATCTGAAAGACTGTTATACAACTAAAAAACTTCTTTACTGGTCAATGTGGTGGGCTTTAGCTACTGCAGGATTTAACCAAATTTTGAATTATGTGCAAGTACTTTGGGATGATAAAGCACCTTCTCATAGTTCTGAAGTTTATAACGGAGCTGTTGAAGCCATAGCTACATTTCTAAGTAAGCAAACTTAAAATTGATCTTATACATTTTCCAACAATAAATGTTACGTACACACAAATTAAACACTACATTCATGCAAAATCCCACATGTATTTAAACATGTACACATATTTTGATTTATATAAATAGTTGTTTATTTCAGTGGAGCTGGTGGATTGTAATACAAGTTATCCTCAAGTTATGATCATAATTGGAGCCATAACTTGTGTTGCTGAGCAGAGTGGTTGTTAAGTCAGTCACTTCCAATTTTATGAGCATTTTTCACTGAGATGCTTGAGCAAGTCACTCTGTTGTTAAGCACACCTGGCTTCTCCCATTTACTTTGCTTGTTGGAAGATCACAAATGCCAATCATGTGACCGTGGGATGCTGCTACCATCATATTTAAGTGTCCATCTTCTTCAGGATGTTTAAGAATTTATAGTCTTAATTTGTGTTTAACTTTATGGTTTTTCAATATGAGGTTATGTATTTTTTGTTATATGAACAATTTTGTCATCTAGTCAAAATTTGGGGTGCATGGTACCCAAATTTTAATCCCATTATGAAATTGTTCATATAACAAAAACTAAACATTTTTAAAAAATTCAAATTAAAAAAAAATTATGAAGATTTTTTTTAATTTGAACAAATTATATAACAAAAAATACATAACCTCATATTGAAAAACCATAAAGTTAGGCACAAATTAAGACTATAAATTCTTAAACATCCTGAAGGAGATGGACACTTAAAAATATGAAATATAAAAAAATAAATGACTATTTTCTACCTGGAATTTTTATTTTACAACTTCAAAAAACTGATTCAATTTTAAAGCAGCTATTACAGTCAAATATTATACAACAAGAGGGAAAATAAACTTAAAAGGAATTTCTTAGAATCCTGGTAGAATCATACACTAAACAGGAAATGGTGTTGTGTGAAATGGATATTGCTGAATATCCATTTCTGCTGAAATGGATATTGAAATTCTTAGCTGCATCAGAAAAAGCAGAAATGATACGTCTTTTTGGTTTAATTTACACATTGTAGGCTGGACCGCAGTGTCCTGTTCTGATCACTATGCAAAAGTATTTAAATAAATTGTATTTCAGAAAAGGAATGAGGTTTGGAGACTTTGTATCTTATAAGGAATGATTGGCAAAAGTTGGGCATATTTAATCTGGGATTGTAATTAATAAGCAGGTAATCAGATAACATCATAATATACCTGAATAATTATCATATAGTAGTACTCCTATTTATACTGGTTATCTGGGGGGTAATAACAATAAGTCTCCCAGAAATTCTGGGAATTGCTAAATTAAATTAAATTAAATTAAATTAAATTAAATTAAATTAAATTAACCAGCAGTCTCCGATTTCAGCCAGAGATTAAACTAAACTTTAGTTTGTGAAGCAAGTCATCAGGTGATACACTTTTTGCTTACTGTATAGCACTAGCAATAGCACTTAGACTTATATACTGCTTCATAGTGCTTTACAGCCCTCTCCAAGCTGTTTACCTTGGAAGGATGGAAGGCCTGAGCTGTCAGAACTGAACTTCTGGAGTGAGTAGTGAATTAGCCTGCAGGATTGCATTCTAACCACTGCACCACCATGGCTCTTAATAAATGATATTAATATAATAATACACTGATTTTATTACTGCTTGGTGTATTGTTGGTATTTTAAGTTTTACAAGAAAGTGACAAAGAAGTAAATAATACTTTAATGAGAGGATCATTATATTGAAGTTAAACGGGTGAATCCATCAGATTTTTGTTAGCCCTTCAGCCTTGTTGAACTATTACTTTGAAGTTCTTCAAAAATAGAAAAGAATGTACATCTTCTCTGCCTATTAAAGGAGCAATCATGTTTAAATGTTTAAATAAATAGAGTTGTTTTAAACACTTTTTAGTACATGCTATAGTCCTGCAAAATGCAACAGGTGAATCTCTCTACTCTTAGGTTCAATAGCATCATTAGCTGTGGGATATGTGAAACTGAACTGGGATCTAACTGGAGAACTGGCACTGGGAATCTTCTCTGCCCTGGATGCTACTTCACTTATTGTGATGCATTTTATCCAGAACATCTGGGTCTGCTATGCTAGCTATTTAGTGTTCAAAGCTTGTTATATGCTCCTTATAACCATAGCCACGTAAGTAAATTGTCAGTGTTAATTTGCTACCATTTACAGTACTTCTTACTAGAGTTGAGAACGAAATATTACTGGTGATTTATTTTATGTAAGGGCATAAGCAATGGAAGAAATGGAGATTTTGTTCCCCTAGCATAGTGTTTTTCAACCTTGGCAACTTTAAGATATGCAGACTTCAATTACTAGAATTGAACTATGGAAGAGTTTCGTGACATCTTGTTCAGAGAACCCCGTAAATGACATCTAAGAGGACTGAATTTATTTAGATTTTATCATTATTTTAAATAAAGTTAATAATTAGAGGCAGCCAGATATTATGGACCAAAATAGATGTGTTTTATTATCTTTTATTTTTAAATGCGTAGTTCTATTTTATAACAAGCTATGTGAAATCCCAAATAACATACATGATTGTCTAAAGCAATGTTTCTCAATCTCGGCAACTTTAAGATATATGGACTTCAACTCCTTTGAGCTGTTTATTCCAGAGCCTAAAAGTTGCATCAATGCTAACACAGACATGGAATGTGTAATCTCATTGTTTCTTCAATTAACAATTCTTTTGTTGTTAAATCAGTTAAATGCATTTTAAGACTTATTCAGTATCTATTTTCAAGATAAAAGTGATTCACTTTCTTACCCTTAGCAATCTTAGTACACCTCTGCTATTGTATCTTAATGAGCCAGTGTAGATTAAGCAATTACTCATAATTACATTGTGTTGTATGTGTGTGGGGGTGTGGATATAATTTTACACTGCATTTGTAAAATTCACTTATATTTTCCAAATTTTGCCTCAGCTCAATAGTCTTTTACAATATTTCAATAAGTTATTAATATATCTTGCATAATTCATGTAGTTATACTCTTCTCATATGCAGCCAAATTATACTGAAATTTCATCTCTCAAAACAATATTCAATATTCTAACCAAAGTTTGTATTTTAGATTCCAGATTGCTATCAACCTCAGTATGGAGCGCTATGCCTTGATGTTTGGCTTCAACAATTTTGTTGCACTGCTAATTCAAACTATACTGACTGTTATTGTAGTTGATTCAAAAGGTCTGGGCCTGGATATTGGGACTCAGGTAAGTTGGACAGGTAATATGGGCACTGTTGCTGAATCAGTATTTCTGAAGACTTTCACATCTTTTCAGTAATCACCTTCTGAAATGAATGGACTTTGGAATTTCAAACTAAATAGGGATAGTTAGCCTTTTGCCAGGGATTGTACTTGTGTTTTGGAAGGTTGATATTACTACAAAAACTAAGCCTATCAGTCAACACATTCATTTTTAATTTCTTACTAAAAACAAGTGCACTATTGCTTAGTTCTAAATCCTTACAAAGATTGAGTAATCATAACAAAAACTAAATTAGGAAATATTAGAAGGCAAAATGAAATTAATTACTATGTTGGAACTACAGGCCATACCTGGGTTAAAAATGAGATCATTCCTAAATTTGTTTTTAAGTCAAATTTGTATTTAAGTCAGAACTCATATTTATGAACAGACTGCCTATTAAACTACTGAAAATTGGCTGTATATTAAAAATGCACAGCTTCAGAGGTTCATGAAAACAGTGTGACCAGTTGTTCTTCAGCTTGAAAAAATAGAATGCTGTCCACCATTTTTAGTAATAGACAGTCCATTCATAAATATCAGTTGTTTGTAAGTGGGGTGTTCTTAACTTGGGACTGCTTGTAATTGGAACCAGGAACTCTGTTAAATGTCAATGGAGATTCTCAGTCATCCAGGTCATGGTTGTCCCAAAGGTGCTTTTTCAAGAGGCAAATGGACTTTGTTTTTTCTTTGAAGACATTTTGCTTCTCATCTAAGAAACTTGGATAAGCAGCGAAACGTCTTCAAAGAAAAACTAGAAAGTCCAGTTGCCTCTTGAAAAAGCACCTTTGGGGCAGCAATTATGTTGCTAACTGACGCAGCCATAAAGCACAACACATGAATGTCATTTGTGACCTCTTGCCACCTTCTTCATTGATTTTGCTTGTCAGAAGCCTCAGTAGTTTGCAAACGACATCACATGATTGTGGGATGCTGTGACATCATAAATGTGAGCCAAGCAGTTGCCAAGCACCCATATTGCAATTACAAGACCACAGGGATGTTACAAGCAACACATTAAGGACCTGTCAAGTTCCTCCACATTCAGTGTCATAATTAACTACAAACAGTTGCTGAATGAGCGGACTTTAATCAAGGACTGCCTGTAAACATAAGCTGCTTAAATATCACAGAAAGATGATTTGTTGAGCTCTGGGATGGGAAGAAATATGGAATCCTAGACCTCCAGATGGACTTTGGTTACTGTTTCTTAGGTAACAATTTCTATTTTAAGGACTGCATTGCTTATAATTTGAAGGCACTGTAACAAAAGGCATATTTGTTGTTAATAAATCCAAGTCTCACAGAAAGGTGAATTTAATTATTCTTAATGGGTTTTTTACATACAGAAATAGCCCTGGAACCACAGATAATGTTCTCATAGTAAATTAGTTCTTTGTCCAAACACCAACTTGTCAATAAGACATTTTGGTAGCCTTGGACTATGCTATGCTCTTTTCATGGCACGCAGTGGCCCAGTGGCTAAGACGCTGAGCTTGTTGATCAAAAGGTAGGCAGTTCAGTGGTTCGAATCCCTAGTGCCACGTCACGGGGTGAGCTCCCATTACTTGTCCCAGCTTCTGCCAACCTAGCAGTTCGAAAGTATGTAAAAATGCAAGTAGAAAAATAGGGACCACCTTTGGTGGGAAGATAACAGCATTCTATGCGCCTTTGGTATTTAGTCATGCTGGCCACATGACCACGAAGACGTCTTTGGACAGCGCTGGCTCTTTGGCTTTGAAACAAAGATGAGCATCGCCCCTAGAGACGGGCACGACTAGCATATATGTGCAAAGAGAACCTTTACCTTATGCTCTTTTCATACCATTTTTAAATGGTTTTGACCATTTAAAATGTAGATCTGAACTCTCATTTCATGCCAGTGTGTATCACTTGATATTATTTTATAAATATTTAATGAAACCTTTGGGATTGCACTCAAGAAATTATACCAGTTTAGCTATGTACATCGAAATACATTCAGGAATCTCACATGGTTTGCAAAGACAGTTGCTTAAGGTTATTACTATAGCCAAGGTTCCTAGGCTTCATTTTTTTGACATTTAAAAAACGCTAGACATAATACTAATTGGCAAAATAGTTGAAAAACATTAAAATAATAGTTGAGATTTTTCTAGGGAAAATAGCTTGATTCTTCTGCTTTATTGCAGTTCTTAATATATGGAAGCTACTTTGCGGTGATAGCTGGAATTTTTCTAAGCAGAAGCATTTACATCATAATCTCAACGAAATGTAAAAAGGAAAACCCTGTAGAAAATCTTCAAATGACAGCACAATGGCAGAATACAGAGATTCCTAGCACAAGAATGTAGCACCTTAAACAAAAGTTGCCTTGAAGCCAAATTGAACAATCATTTATTTGAACAAATCAGTCGCTCGGTGACTTTGTCATATTTGCACATAAAATTAACTTGTATATTCTCATGATTTTAAATTCTGTGATTATGACATAACTATTAAAAGATCAGAATTCTCAATGTGTCCAACCTAACATAAGATGGTTACATTTGAAAGGAGAAGGAAATTGATTGAAGGGTCATTTGTAATTGCTATTAAAACAGTTCTTTGTAATGCCATTTAATTAATGAAAATCGAAAGTATTTTCCTTACTTTTGGAGATTCATGCTGCTGCTAATTGTTTCTGGCTTCAGTTTAAGTTCTGGTATAACTTTTATAGTCATCTCCTCCATTATAGAACTACCGTTGATTATTTTGGCTCAAGCTCTTCAGATGTTATTCAGTGAGAATTGGAGAGTTGCAGATTTCCCATCTTTAATCCTGAATGGATGAAAATCTGACTATCTGAAATCTTGCCTTGTTACACACCTGACTGAGGCAAGGGATTTTGAAGATAACTTCAGCTGTGGAGGAAATTTTAGAGCACAAAGTACTATATAGCTCAGTAGTGTCCCCAACTGTGGGCTACATTCCCTGAGGAATTGTTACTGGTCTTCACTCTTCTTGAGGAGACATGTCCAGCCTAGGTTTTTAAGGAGTCAATGTTTTTGTTGTTTTATGGTTATTGTTTCAAGTATATTAATATCTCATTTTAAGTTTTTCAGAGAACTTTGTTCACTGGGGATATGCATAATCTTCCATGCCAAAGTATTGTGGGCAGAAAACAGCTGCTTTGTATAGTTCATATCTGAACAGAAAAAAATCATTTTGAAGTTTTTGGTCTATAGAATGAAAGAAGCTATTTTGAAATGGATAAAAACTAAAACATGATTGCTCTAATGATGAAGTGTTCAGAGAAGAGTAAGGAAAAGTCCAAGATGGGGGTGGAAAGGATTGTTTTATATCTGCATGTGTGTCAATAGTGCTGCTGATGGAAGGCACAAACAAAAGTTGAAAGGGGAGAGATGCCAGTTCCTCACATGGCAGGGGAGGTCAGCAGAGTGCCATAGACAACCCATTCTCACCTCTCTTTCACCAGGACGACACCAAGGATCACTGAGGAGAGGGAAAGCACTGGAAAGGTGAGAAACACACAGCTAGGGGGATTTGCTGCACTGAGAATTGCCGAAATATCCTTGTTAGGAATAGGCACACAGACAATGGCTAAGGATCGGAAAGATTGGTGGATAATGTTATGTTGGGAAGTGCAGGGATAATACTGCAGAACTGCCTGAGTGGGATGTTTGGGGTTCAGAACAGATTTTGTTCCATATTCAGTTCTACCATTATCTTAAGTCTTACTTAAATCTTTTAATAAAGATGGTAATAAATAGCCATTTCAAGGCAATAGATTGTTTCCTTGGGGAGAGATGTGCATATACTATGCTCAGAAAAAACGGAAATGTATTTATTTATATCCCACCTTTATTATTTTTGTTCAGTTAAATTTTTTGCAAATAGGTAGCATTGTAATTCTGTGAAATTCTTAGTGGATGGATAAGTGCACTGTGTTTATCAGGTCACTCTTGACAATAGTCTGAACATGTAGTTGGCCCTGGATCAAGCAGCTTGTATGGTGAGCAGTGCCTCCCAGGGCCCACAGTACCCTCATGTTGAAACTGATAAAAACCAATGTTTATATACATTGTCTCATTGAGCCTTCTCAACCTATTAGTTGCTAGGAGAAATAATTAGAATGTAAGTTTATGTAGAGATTCACTTTTGGACTCCTTTGTGTTTCATCTTTGGCATCAAAGGTTTGTCATTGATCAAACTGATATTCTCAAGAATTGTCATCGTTTCGAGTCCGTTTGTTGTTCCCATTATTCTTTTCATATTCTTCTCTAGTAATAAGTAGACTATTTTACTTTTAACCTGCTTTAACCAATTACACAACCATTCTCTGGCTATGTAATTTTCTTATTTTTCTTTAAAAAAGCACCAAACTCTAGAATATTTTCTAAGAATTGCAGGATGTATGCATTGAAAAAGCTAAAGATAACCTTTTACTAGATGTTGGTTACTTCTGAGCCTTCTGAGTGTATAAAAGTTTATAGGATATCTTATTTAGTCTAATTTCCTGTTCAGTCTCAGATCATTGAGCATTTTTTGCTACTCCCTCCATGGATAGATTTCACATCCATAGTAAATTCTGCTTTTATAATTTCCTTGTTCTGGAATAAACTGCCATGAGAAACAATTCTCCCTCATTTAAACTGGTGGGGAAGGAGAGCTCAAAACATGCTTGTTTACACATCTTTTAATTATTTTGTTTCAAACATTTAAAATAGTTTAGATTAACAATTTTGTGAAGTTTGTTTTAATATTATGTAGTTTAATTGTATTTGCTAATTGTCTTGAGCACACAAATACTCAAAATAAATAAAAATAAAATGTTGGCACTATTTTATTATAAACATCAGGTAGAAAAATCTTGGAAGTGCTGGGGAAAAGTCATCCATTATAAAAGATGGTGAGAAAATTGAAGTTTACAGATTATTGTATTTTTTGATGTATGGGGACATGATGCAATCTATTAAGAAATGATAAATATTGTTCAATTAATTTTCTGTGAGATAACACCAGTATTTAATTTTTATGATAATAAAAACATTTAAAACACAGTATGTTCTCATATGGACTGATTCATTCTGTTCTCAGTTTGAAGTTTAGCAAAAATATTTTTAAATATCTCCTATCTTGAAATTATTGCAATACGCATAATATTATCAAGCTTAATTAGCAAACTTAATGCCTATAATAATGATCTGTTAAAATAGATGGAATCCTAACTAAGACTGCACGTTCCTTTTTCAAACTACTTTGCCAGAATTGGTTATTTACTTAATTGATTTATTGTATATAATTACCACCTTACATAACTGACTCTGAGTGGCATACAATAAAATATGTTTTAAAATAATATAAAATAAAAACACAGAGAATGTTGTTGGCAATATAGAAAGCAAGGGGCAAAATAGATGCTTAATCCTTGGAGAGATTTTGATCTTCATGTCTGGAAAATAAAAACTCAAAAGTGTTTCAAAATTGGGGAATCCACCTCAACCTAAAATGTAATCTCCACTGAACTCAACAGAATTTATAATACACTGCAAAGTATATCATAAATTATATAAAACTTAAAGCTAATAATAAAATATATGCATTTGGAGAAAACATAGGATATGTTTAAACAACAGAGTCCACTAAGGAATTTAAAATAACATGTGGGGAATACTGAGTGCATGCCATTATTTCAGGAGATGAACTCCAAATTATACAGGTAATCCTCAATTTACAATATAGTAGTTTGTTTAGTGACCGTTCAAAGTTACAACAGCACTAAAAAATGTGACTTATAACCATTTTTCAGTTACCACCTTTTCAGCATCCCCATGATCATGTGATCAAAATTCAGATGGTTGGCAACTGGTTCATATTTATGACCATTTCTGGGTCCCAAGGTCATGTGATCACATTTTGTGACCTTCTGACAAGCAAAGTCAATGGGGAAGCCAGATTCACTAAACAATAGGATTACAAATTTATCAACTGCAGTGACTCACTTAACAGTGGCAAGAAAAGTCATAAAATGGGGCAAAATTGACTTAACAAATGTCTTATTTAACAACATAAATTGTGGGCTCAATTGTGGTCGTAAGTAAAGGGCTACCTGTATAGAAAAAAGATTTTTCCACTATGTTGAAAATGATTTTTTATCATAGTATAGATTATTTCATAAGTATGAAAAAAGATACTCTCACTAAATCATTTGAAACATGGATAAGGCTTTTTTGTTTTTGTTTTTTAGCTAAATATCTGACTTTTTTTAAGCACTGCAAATTTCTTACCTCACACTGAAATGTATTTAATGTAACCATCCAAGAAGTAAGATCTTCAATAAGAAACAGTTGATTAAAAAAAAATGGGCACACAGTACTGGAAATGCAAGCTTCTCAGTGGTAAAGTAAAGCCCAATTAAAACGTAATATAATTGCCCAGTCACCAATTTGAATACCAGAACAGGGGGCTTTTTAAAAAAAAACCAAAAAAACCCCTCTAATATTTAAATATCTAAATATAGCAGCATAGAGTATAAAATTTGCAAAAAATTCATCTGATGCAACAGCCAAAAAAATTATATTAGCAGATTTTTTGCAGAAATGCTTTGTGCCCATTAAGATGTGCATACATGTTAGATTCCATTTAACTGGCTGGACATGTTTTACTGGGGAGTTCAATGACGATGGGTATTGTACTGTTATCTCAGATTTATTCATCTGCCACTGTGTGAATTCGAGGATTCTCTCTATCAAACAGCACTATGCCAATTGGTGCTTGCAGTTACATGCTGCAAGGCTGCTTTATTCACAATACACACACACTGAATTTCATTTTTTTTAAAAAAAAAACAGTTTTTCAAATGTAATATTACTCAGAAAATGGAAATCATTTCTAGAAAAAACATAGAAAAGTCTTTTATCACCTGAAACAAAAATTCAACATGAGGATTATATTAAGTTCAACAGTAAAAATACCACCTTTTCCTTAAGCACTGATACAATGATTTTTTTAAAACTTAGAAATGAAAGCAGCAGAAAAGGAAAATTCCTGTTCTTAAAATTCAAGGCATCTAAGTGAATGCATAATATTCCCATTCCCCCCAGCAGAGCCAATGAGAAGGGAAAGAAGGTAGAAATACAGTACCAAGGATGAGTTAAAAACATTCTCCTACAGAATTATTCTTCCATTAAAAAGCTGAGGTTCTTTAATCATAAAAAAAATGTGGCTCTTTGCTGACTCTTATGCCACATTCTATATACAGGTGTAAAGTTTTAATTGCAATTTCAAGGATTCACTGACCCAAATTAATGTATGTATGCATGAAAATGACATATTTTTCATGATTTAAAATGACTAGAAAGCTCTTAACTTGACTCCATTCACCTTTTCATCAAGATGCACTCACTGAAACTAAGACAAATGTTGCATATACTGGAACACATAAAATTGCCTTTTTGGGACATATCCCAATTCAGCACTACCACGTTAACAGACATCCAAACATAATGTTCTGTTTGCCTTTTAAGCTATCTCTCTCAAAAAGGCTACAGAAAATTCAGAAACACACTAACCTGGTAATTCCAGACAGAAACTGGTAATTTACCCAACATATTCTCTCCATCCTAATTTCCATCCTCCTATTAAAAATTTTAGAGGAAACTTTTTGAAAAATCCTTTACTTTACATTCTACCCAAAGTATAGGATATGTAGGGATGTGCTATTTCAATGTTCCAAATAGCCTTATCCACTAGCAAGGATATTAAGTACTATTTTTATATCCCAGATTAATGCTAATGACAATCTGAAAGCAATGTGTTTAAATTCCACAAAGAGAACACTTTCCCCTCCTCATTAATCAACCATCCTTTGAGAGAAATTCCGATCTTTTCTGTATCAATGCACCCTAAAAGCATGGTATATGAATCATCTTGGTTCAAATCTTCAGGTCACTTAATTTTATGAAGTAATGATCTGTGTCAGGATTACACTGTGTGTGGATTTATATTTGTCACCGATAATATAATTGCATACAAAATGTGTATTTCTATTGACAAACATCAAATATTTGAGTTACAAATTACCTAAAATCTACAGAAACATTGCTCGATCAGCTTTCATCAATAAATACGCTGCCATGGCATTTACTTTGCAAATAACTGCTGAACAATAATTCTTCTGGTAGAGCACAGTATTCATTCAAAATCCACAGTATGCATATCCATACCAAAGCTAAAGTTTGGTTTTATTATGTATTTGCTGGCTGTTTGATTTCAATAATGCTGCAAAATCAATCTTACCAACTTGTTTTAAGTAATAAGAATGAACAATGACTGCAAGTTGAAATGAAGAAACGTTTAAACAATAAATGAAATGAAATATACTTAACATTTTAAGTTAATTTGTTATACAGTTTTCAAAAAAAAAAGCAATTTCATATTTTACTGATTGATCAGTAGGTACATTCCTATTGTTAACATGATTGTTAACAATTTGCAGCCTTACTGAAACAGCCAAGGAAATAATGCAATTTCAAAATTTTGTCAATGATTTTGAAAATTAACAAAATTGGTTAGTGCAAATGCTGACAACAACACACTTTTTTAATATTTATTTTGTCCACCTGCAATCTGTAGCAAAACACGATCAGCTTTATTATGCAGACAGGTATCCCTCCACATTATATAGAATTTAGGCATGTATAAATAGAAGAGCTCTTCAGGAAAGAAAAAAAAAACACTTCAAGAAATGAATAAAACTTCAGTTCTGAATTCATAAATCCCAACAAGCAATGTTAAAATGATGTAGGCCATTCATTCCAAGATATATGACAGCACTTTAAACTGGCTGATCTATTTCTCCCAGTAACATTTTTCACATAACAGTGTGTTAAAAGTTACAAATACTGATATGCACAAATAACTAATTCCTAAGAGAAAAATATGTACAATACTGCAGCATAATGAATGATATCTGCAATAACTTAATATTAGCCAATTTTAATATACATGATACTATTAACATTCTCCTGCCATTGCACAAGAAAGGATGTTACCACAGTTCCATGTTTTGTACATCACCTGGTGTTCCTTGGTTTTAATACACAATGCAGACTTTTTTTCTCTCTGAAAGACTTATTTTGTGTTTAAAGCTAAGGTCAGTGAAACAAGACAACAGTGCAAGAGGCATAGAGATGTTATGTGATCACATAGAGTTCTTTTAAGTAAAGTGTCTATAAGGCTATAAGAAAGGATTGGTTGCTGAGCTTCCTGTTGGAAAAGGCCCCGTTGCTGCTCCTGCCTAAAAGAAAAAGAAAAAAAAAAGAGAGAAATCTCTCAAGAAATAATTACACATGCATCTTGACAAATCAAATTCAAATATAAATTATATGAATAGTTGCAAGTGTTTGAATAATTCATGAAACAGAAATAATGTCTTACTGATAGTGCTTTGATTCCTGCTGTGCACAGAAATATATATATATATAAAACATAGTCATATCATTTCAAACTATGATTTCTGTACAGTTCTTTAAATTATTTAAATTAATTAACATTTTAAAATCCTATTTATATCATTTAAATCTCCTAACATTCAATTTTTAGATGATGCAATTTTTCAATTTCAATCAAATGAGGACCATATTATACATAAGATAGAATTAAATAAAATATTAAATATAAATAATTTAAAATATTCCAGAGAAAGTTGCAGGTTTAGGATTTGCAGGGGTGGGGTGTTTGGTATTCCCTTTTTGATATCCTTTTGAGGACAACCTATTTCTCAATATATGTATATGAATTAAGAGACCCATAAATCTGACCCATAGTGTTCACTTACCATAAAAGGATTACTGGAGACTCCAACAGCTGTAACTTGTCCAAATGGGGTTACTACTGATTTTCCTTGTCCAAACGCAGCAAAGCCAGTACCTTTGCAATAAAATATTAAAAATTACCTTGTCAAATATCATATTATGCATATACTCCATTCTCCAAAATCAGTCCCTTAATTACTAAATATTTTCAATCAAATAAATCAATTAAACAATTAAACAATAAATTAAATATTTTATTCCAAACAAAATGGGATCCCATATATTAAAATATATTAAAAGTAACTTAACAACAGAATTACATATAGTTGACTTATAACCATTCATTTAGTAATATTGAAAAAGTGACTTGTTTTTCAGTTATGACTGTTGTAGCATCTCCATGGTCATGTGATCAAAATTTGGTCACTTGGCAACTGACATGTATTTATGAGTTGCACTGTCCTGCGGTCATGTGATCACTATTTGTAACTTTCCAAGTCAGCATCATATTCACTTAATAACTGCAGATTCACTTAAAAACTAGTGATACACTTAACAACCAAGGCAAAAAAGTTCCTAAATGGGGCAAATCTCACTTAACAACTGCCTTGCTTAGCAACATAAATTTTGGGCTCAATTTTGACTGTGAAACAAGGACTACCTGCATGACCACTTTCTCTATCTTTTTTTCTATAGGAGGTCATTTATGGCTTTGGAATGAGGTTATCATTGATATGCAGATGACTCTCAATGGAACATTGCCACTTTAGACTAAACTGGAGATGATATACATATCCTGAAATAGTGCTTGTTAGATATCAGATTTGGAGAAATAAGCTAAATTTAAATCCTTTCAAATCTTGTCCATAAACAACTAGGTGATTCATTAACATCAGTTTCATGACAGTTATGATATATAGTCCCAAGATTTGGCAGTACTCCTGGACTTGCAGCTCCTACTTAAGCTGCAGTAGAAATTGTGTTACACCAATTTGTAATCACTGAATGAACATTAATAGGCTTGTGGAACAATTCAAAATTTCCTATAAAGCCCTATACAAAGTAGCACTGGGATATATCAAGTTTGCCAAATGTGATTCTTGTATCTTTAAAGATTAATGGATAAACAGAAAAAAGTCAGTTAACATTATTTCAATATGCGCCACAGTGGCACAGTGGTTAGAGTGCAGTACTGCAGGCTACTTCTGCTGATCTCCGGCCGCCAGCAGTTTGGCAGATCAAATCTCATCAAGCTCAAGGTTCTGTCGCTAAGTGAGACAGTTGTGAAGTGAGTTTTGCCCCATTTTATGACCTTTCCTGCCACAGTTGTTAAGTGAATCACTGCAGTTGTTAGTAACACAATTGCTAAATGAACCTGGCTTCCCTATTGAATTTACTTGTCAGAAGATAGCAAAAGGTGATCATATGATTGCAGGACACTGCAACTGTCATAAATATGAGTCAGTTACCAAGCATCTCAATTTTAATCATGTGAAGATGGGGATGCCGCAATGGTTGTAAATATGAAAAACAGTCCTAAATCACTTTTTTCAGTACTGTAAATGAACTGCCTGTACATTACCAGTTACATTTAATAATGCAAAACAATATTTCATTGGCCCACCAACAAAATCATGGCAAATACAAGTTTCAAAGATAAACCAGGAAAATGAATTGTTTTAAAATAATCACTGTACTCTTGAAACAAAATGTAATATGCAAGCATTTACCATTAGGTTGCTGAGTGAAAGCAGCCTGAGAAAAAGCTGCCTGAGTTGGGAATGCAGGCTGCTGGAAGTTACCACTAAAGCTAGTAGGAAGACTGTATGAGGCAGTTGTTCCAAATCCTGCGGGCATACTCATGGAGGCTGTGCCAAATGTTGTGGCTGATGAAAGAAACAATAGCAATTAATTATTTGTGTTCAACTTTTATTATTAGGTCACACTAAAAAGCATTTTGACAGAATTCTTTGTGAAGCAACCAGTCACCTGGCTAGCCTTAAAACCATTAAACTTTTAGTTTTTATTGACATATAGCCAAAACTTGTCTGGACTGCTCCTTTAATTTAATATAATATTTGCCAGTACCTTGTTGAAGGTATGTTCATTTTTGGGGAAAGGCTACATAACACAAGTACTAATTTTTGATGTTTTTAATAGAGAATAATTAAAGAGCAGAAATAATTTCTAGAGCATCATGAAATCATGTAGCTCATCAAAGAAAAAGCCATTTGACAAATAATTTCCTTATAAAAAGTTCTGTAGAAATTCTAACAAACTGCTTCAGCTGCAAACTAAATTCTCTTTGGTTCACAGCATGGATCAAAAACCAAATTCCACTTACTCAGACTACATCAATAAATATTCATTCTTAAAACTGCAACTAACACTATTTTTCTTTTTCTTGAAAGGGTGAAGTTAAAGAAAATTGTTCATTAATCACTTTCTTGAATTTTGAATAGAATATGTAAAGGATATTATCCAATTATTACACCTGACACAATCTAGCAATGAACAATTTAAAATTTTGCAGAATTCTATGATATATATTAAAAGCTTCAGGAGAAAAATTATTGACAATTACTCTATTGAAGCATTTTTACATATAAAAATTATATTGTAGAGATCTGGTGTAAGTTTATCAATATACCCACCAATCAATAGTTATGGCTAGTCAAGAAAGACATGATGAAAGCGCTTATTGTGGAATAAATAGGTGCACAAATATAAAATAGACAAGAAACAGACAGGAGACCAACAAAGCTTACACAAGCCATTATTAGCAGGGAAGATAACTAACTGTACTTGCTAATACAGAAAAACCAAACACATTGTGACAAGGTACAATGGTTTGACATCATTAGTATCACTAAAGGTATTAGGAGTACAAGCTTCAAAACTCATTTTAAACGTTCTACATATGTGACCATGGAGGTAAAATGTAGCAACTTTAGCTCACAACTCTAAGCACACTTAATTGACAGCAAGTCCCAATGAAATTAATGGACATATTTTTTAATACATGTGCTTAGGACTGAAGTGTTAAATTTACAACAAGTAATGTGTTAATGTATAATTTTATAGTCAGTCAATCACCATCCATGCCCACTCCATTTCATAATATGGAAGGAAGGTTGAAAAAGTTGTACATGCAAAGGAACTTGTAACTGCAGTAAGCTTTCACAAGCAAATAAAAAATTAGCCACCTGAAATTTATATAAAATGTGGCCACCTACCAAAGTGAGCCTGAGGAAATATATGAGAGTGAATTGCTCCTGAAAGGCCTTATGAGAAGTCACAAAGAGACCAGATATTGTCAATTTATTTATAAACAATTTCTTCAGTTGATAACATTTAATCAGTTTGTCAAAACTTATTTTATGATTTTTTTAAGTTATTTCCCAAAACATTGAAATAAATTGGTTTTAACCAGCACAAGTTAATTCCTTCAGTGTAGAAATATTAGCTTTACAACAAATAAGTGCCCCCAAAATCAAAGAATAAATTATATCAAAGTTAAATCTGTAAAAACAAATTTAAATATTAAAGTATTCTACAAGAGTAGCACAAGTGCCTGAATTACAAACATGTTATTAAATAGATTTAACCTTCAAAAAGCAATTAAAAGGATTTAGTTAATCTATGCATACTGCTTATTCATAACTGGTCAACCCAAAAAAATAAGCCTAATGCCCATGAGATTTCATAACTAATTTCATATGTACTTTAACTATATCACAAAGTTATGTGTACCTGTTAAAAACAGAACAAAAATTGCTATCAAACATAACTGTAGATATATTTTTCCTAACCTGCTGCTCCTCGGCTGGTGGTTTGGAATGGATTTGTTGATGCTGCTACTGCAGCTACCGGTGCAGCCACAAACGGATTTGTGGATGGTGTTGCTGAAAAATGAAGCACTGACACTGAATAAAGGATATCGTTTTTACAAATTTGCTTATATAAACAGCATGACAAATCAGTTTTAAGTTATATTTTAATCAATGAGGTAGTTTTATCATAGTCTGCTTAATACACCAACTTAGATGCAAGACTGTTACCTGAACAAAAAGGAAATTGGAATTAACTATAGTTTTGTATTTTATCTGAATTAGGATCTCATAGTTATCAGCTGTGGAATAAATCAAATAATTATTTTCAGGAGCTGCAGAATATAAAAGTTCATCTCTTAGTTTACAAAGATTAAATCATTACAAATTGCCCATTTTTTAAAAAAAAACTAATTTTATTAAATTTTAAAAATATGAACAAAAGTGAACAAGCAAGAAAAAATTAAAAAATCAAATAAAAATCCAAAAAAAGGAAAAAAGAAAAAGCTTCTGACTTTCTTTCTACAGATATAGATAAAAAAATATATCCAACTCTTAGTTTAAAAGTCTCATTATTTCTAAAAATCAAAATTAAATTTCTTTTAGTTTCTCTCAAAAAGTCCAAAACATCACTACCTTTTAAAATACAACCAAATACCTCTTCATTCTATGCCTCACCCCAAATTTCTATAAACTCTTCTTTAAATCCATAGCTTCCTTATTAATGAGTAAACATCCAATAAAAATTAACAAAAATATCTAGTAACTTAATATATAGCTCCCTTTCCATTTAGTTTACACTCCTCCATTGCTCACTTATCAATTAAACATGACCAAAAAATAACCACTTATTAAATATCAAAAACAAATCCATTACCCCAATAGACATTTCCAAAAGAAACACTATCCAATTCAGACAACCATTCAATATCACCAGATATAACAACATTTAACCATAGTCATCTGTAACTAATTTAATATATATTTTCCTTCTCTCTCTCAAATATGCTTAAATTCCATAAATAAAATTCTGACTCTTGATTTCTTCTGGTATCTTTTCTTCTTCTCCCTGAAATTCTTATTATCTTTCAAGCCCATTTCTAGTTTCCATGAAGTAACTACAATAAATCGCTTATATTTCAAATTGAAAGCGTAATCCCAAATTCTTTTTCAAGTTTTGAATGATCTTCCAGTGGCATTTGTAAGAGCAGTGAATCCATCTTCGTTGTCTCAGTGTGATATATTCATCATTAGTAATAACTTCTGGTTCCAGTAAAGAGTTAAAAGGTTCAGACACTTCACAAATCAATAAATCAAGTATTTTCTTTAAAGTAGCCATTTTGTACTCTAGTAATCAACCTTCAAGTTTTGTTTTACAATTGACATGTAAACAAGACAGCTTTCCCACACAAGAGGGTTTTTTTATTTACTCTTTCAAAAAAGAAAATCCTTTGTTTATAAATCCAACCAATCAGTGGAAAGATAGAGAAAATAATAAAATAAAACCCAATGCCATTCAGAAGCTTCAGATTGTAATCCCACAATGCAGATTTGCTAAAGAAGAAGTTTTCAATTTTCATAGAAACACAGAAAACAGATGGCACAAAAAGACCATGTGGACCATCAAGTCTGTCCTTTTGAGTTTTTAGCAACAGCACTTAGACTTATAAACTCCTCTGTAGTGTTTTACAGTACTCTCTGGGTGGTTTAGAATCCCAGCATATTGCCCTCCGGCAATCTGGATCCTCATTTTACTAACTTCAGAAGGATGGAAGGCTGAGTCAACCTTGAGCCAGTCAGGATAGAACCCCAGGCTATGGGCAGAGTTAGCTTGCAATACTGCATTCTTACCACTGTACCACCACAGTGCAGTGGTTTTTCTTTTTTTTCTTTTTAATGTATTTATTACTTTTTATTATTTATTATTTTATTTATTTATTTATTTGTTCCTATTTCTATACCCTTCTCCAAATAGGACTTTATTTATTATTATTTTATTAATAATAATAATAATAATAATAATAATAATAATAATAATAATAATAATTTTATTTCTATACCGCCCTTCTCCCGAAGGACTCAGGCCTATTTAAAAACACAAGACAAACATCAATTTAAAATTTAAAATTATTAAATAAATTTGGCTCCATTTAAAACCCCAGAAATTTAAAATACCCCAATTTAAAATTATCATGTCAATAGCCCGGCCTGGCGGAACAACACTGTCTTCAATGCACAGCGAAATACCCGGAGGTTGGGGATCTTACGTATTTCCGGGGGCAGTTCATTCCACAGGGCTGGGGCTCCCACAGAGAAGGCTCTCCCCCTGGGTGTCGCCAGCCGACATAACTTGGCCGATGGCACCCTGAGGAGACCCTCTCTGTGGGTCTCTTTTGTCAAATGATAGACATATGTTTATCCCAAGCATGTTTAAACTCACTGATAACTGACCCACTACCTTTGCTGCAAATTGGTTCTAACTTCCCACTGCTTCTGCAAAGTAATATTTTCTAACATTACTTCTGAATTTCCCTCTTGTCCCTTTGAGGTTATGTCTCCTTATTCTTGATTTCTGCTTAATAAAGAAAATACTGCCTTCTAGTACCTACAGGTAATTCACATCCTTCATTATTTAAAGGTTTCAATTCATGTTCCCTTTCCCTTCTGTCCTTCAGAGTGTACATATTCAGCTCCTCTAATCTGTGAGGATGTGTTTTATCCTTCAGACTTTGCATCATTTTTGATGCCAGTCTCTGGATTTGTTCAATCTTATCCACATCTTTTTTTAAGAGGGGTGCTTAGAACTGGATACAGGGTTCTAAATGGGGTCTGACTAAAGTCCTATATAGCAGGATTTCGGTCTCTTTTTTCCTGTTCCTCTAGTGATGCATCCCAGAATTTGTTTGCCTTCACAACTAACTGGCCACACTTTTTACTAATTTTGCAGTCATCTGCTATGAACACACCTAAGTCCTACTTTTCTGTTGTTCTCTCTTCAGTCTTTCAAAAATAAAATTCTTTCTATTTGAATATTTTAAGTCTGTTTAATTTCCAACTTTTTGCAAGTCCAGAAAGTATAAATTTCTAATGTTTCTATCTAAATGTAGTTCCAGAAATAAGAGTCACGAAAATGAAATATTAAATCTGTTCCAAAAATTAAGTTTCTCCGTAATTGCAAAGATGAATAAACAATAAATAAATCAATAAAAGTGATTTAGAAATTGGTTGTAGTCTCCATAAATTTAGCTTCACTGCAGTGTGAACTTGATGGAGATCTTACCTCCTATTACTCAACTCACAAGGCAATCAAAGAAACCTATCTTCACAATTTACTCTCAAGGAGTGATAGTCCAGAAGACAAATGGACCAACTTCAATCTGGAAGAAAAAAGAAGGCCCTTCTGCTGTGCAGTGAGCAAAGCCATCTATGATCTTGTCTCCAAGAGTGTTGGAAACAATAAATTGTCATTTTTCCAACAAAAGTCTCTCCATTTTGCTTCTTATATAAAGCACCCTGCCTTAGATCATGAACAGATACAAACTGTCTCAGAGGTAGTCTTAGTTTAATTGCATTTATTATACCTGTTGGTGGAAGGAAGCTAAAATATAATCATGCAAAGTGAATCTACCAGATATTGTTTAGAAAGATTATTTAGTAATATATTATAATACCTCCAAACTGAGCAGGAACACTGGATGATGCAGACTGCGTCTGTGTATTAGCACCAACTGGAACTGTTCCAAAAGCATTACTAGAAATAATTCATATTCATCAGTTGTACAACATTTGTACATTTACAGCTAATCACTGTACATGGAAACATAAAATCGAGCTTAACTGAACTTTAGAGACAATCTGGTCTGATTTGCAATCATTTTCAAAATGATGTTAAATAAAATTAAAAACTGTGATGCCTAGGTAACCAGTAACATGCATAGCAAATAAAAGAAACTGATAAGAAATTAAATTCAGAACAAAAGTTATATTTTATTTGACAGGAATGTCACTAAAGATGGCATGTATTTGCCTAAAATTAAAGATTAAAAGAGGATTATAAATATTAGCATTCATAAAAACTTAAATTAAGAAATGTTAGAAATGTTAATGATTAATCTTGAAAGTATAGTTTCTAAGTTTGTTCAAGCAAAGTAACTTGAGACTATTTTTTGGTAAACTTTTGAGCTACTACAGGTAGTCCTCGACTTACAGCTGTCTGATCAGCAACCATTCGAAATTACAATGGCACTCAATAAAGGGACTTTTGACTTTTACCCAAAGTTATGGTTTCTGCAGTACCCCTGTGAAAACGTGAACAAAATTACGGTGCTTGGCAATCTGCCTACCTTTACAATCAATTGCAGTCACAACAGCGGGCCCACCCACCTATCTTCTTCCCCATCCCACCAGGCATCCCATCGCTTGGGGCTATTTCCCAGCCAGTTGTGTCCCAATACACCTTTGGGCCGCCTCTTCTTACTTGCTGTCATGCTTACCTTTTCTGAAGATCACATTTGGGAAGAATGGGCCAATTCACCATACCCTTCCTACAGTATACAGAGGCATGTGATGCCATATCAGAAGTAGGCACTATTTTGAGAGTAGCCGCAATTTTTAGATCATAGGAGAGAAAGCTAAGCACAAGTGCCTCAGGAGGACCTGGGAAGTCCAGAGCAGGCCATATGGAGGTTGAGGAGGTGCTACAGTGCCTTCTCCCAAGGCCTCACCCAACCTGTGCTACACTTAATGACCGCAATGGGGAGGGCATGGATTGTGTTGGTAAAGAAAATGATTGTATGGGTACCGTGCTTAATGATCACCATGACTTACAACCATAATTCTAGGCTCAATTGTAAGTTGAGGACTACCTGTATTTTTGCAGGCAACAGTATATTTCTCATTTCAGGATAAGATATGGGGCCAATATAATTCTTGAGGTAGAGATGAGCTATGGTTCTCTTCAAATAATGGCTTGTTCTTGCTGGGTCTCATGGAAATCAGAATTCAAAAATATCTGTTTTTTTCAAGTAACAGTATTTCAAAAAACCTTGCACATTAAAATGCCATTTCATGTTTGTTTTGTTTAAACACGAATGATTTACATTAAACTTTTATCAAGAAATAGTACCTGCTAACATTACTAGTGGAAGTATATGCATTACTAGTGGTTGCCGTGGAGCTGAACACACTGTCCAATTCTGCTAGAGCTGCATACTTGTCTGAAGATGTACTTGTTTGACTTGGAGCCGACACAGCAGGTACTGTACTGGCAGCAAAGCCATTTCCTTGCTCATTACCACCTGAGGAAAAAAGTACAACATTAAACATTCACACAATATTTTACAATGCAAGTTAGCCAATTCTCTAGAAGTATTAGAAAATAAGCATTTTTTTAAAAAAAACCACAAAATCATATTTCCAATAAAAAATGTTTTGGGAAGGAAATGAATTTATTTTTCAACTATTTTATATACTCAGCCTCTTATTCATCTTTTTTGAGAAGGAAAAAAAAACTGTACAAGAGTTCCCACTCAGGAAAGTTCTAAATTAATGCCACACAACTACAGACAGCATATACTTATGATTAAATACAGAAGAGACAATCCTGTATGCTCTGCACACATTTTATGGCTTTCACATAGATAACTAGCTTTGATTCCCAGTGATGCAGTTAAACTGAATGAATAAAACATAGCTATAATTTGTATAATCCAGGAACAGGTTAAAAAAAATTCCATGTAACTGTGTGAAGAAATGGCCTGAGCCAAGCAAATAGCTGCTACATATGAATAGTTTGTCACAAGGCGAAAACCATTCATGTGCCAATTTTGTCTTGATGGTACCAAAAAATAAAAAGAATATCACTGCACATTGGAAACAGGAAACTTCAAACAAATATATTTCATTCCCTCTGGTTTTATTCTAGAAGAAATATTTCAGCAACAAATAACATTTAAGGTTATTACATTAAATATATTTTATAGATTATACATATGTTCTCTATGAAACCATGATTATAATTTTTTCAGTAAGATACTATCAACAAAATTACATTTCAGAAAAGGTAGTAGGTACAGCACTATAAACCACATAACTGTGTAGTGCATTAAAGCTGCAAGTTTTTGATTAGGAAACTTTATTATCCTATAAATTATGACAGATGGGTTCTTTATAAGTATATGGCACATAAAATGAATTTTATGTGCCATATATTTATAGGGTTTTCTTCCAGTAATTACAAAACTAAGCAAGTTTTGATGGTTTTTCTTGATTATCCACAATACTTTCAAAATGCTTGATTTGACGAATACACTTGCTTGAATTAAATTAAGATAAAATTCCAGAGGAAAGAACTAGTATAAGTTTCAGATAAGAACTATTTAGTTATAAAAATCATAGCTAATATGGTTAGGTAATAGGTAAACTTGCTTATAGATTTATAGCTACACAGGGCAACTTAACAAAGCTAATTAAACAAACAATTTTGCAAGACTGCATTTGGAGACTGCAAATAAGAGCTGTGAGCTTGAGAAACGTATTATATTGATCTGTCTATCTATATACACATATACACTCACCTCCATATACAGGTAGTCCTCGATGTATGACCGCAATAGAGCCCAACATTTTCATTGTTAAGCAAGACAGTTGTTAAGTGACTCATGCCCCATTTTACCTTTTGGTCATGGTTGTTAAGTGACTCACTGAAAGTGAATCATGCGGTCTTTTAAGCAAATCTGGCTTCCCCCATTGACTTTGCGTGTCAGAAGCTTCCTAAGAAGGTTGCAAAAGAAAATACGAAGACCCCGGGACGCTGCAACCATTGTATATATATGCCGGTTGCCAAACACCTAATTTGACCACATGACTCTGGGGATGATGCAATGGTCATAAGTGTGAAAACTGATCATAACTCACTTTTTACCTTTCACAATTTCACTACTGGCTTCTCCATTGACTGACTGGTCAAATGTTGGCTAAGAACGTTTTAGATGTGAAATCATGCAACCACAGGATGCTGTAATGATCATAAATGCCCTCTGGTTGTGAAGTGCTTAAATCTCAAACATATGACTGCTGGGGCACTACAAGAAGTTACTTTTTCAGCACCGCTGTAAAGTTGGTCACTAAACACGGTAGTGAGGACTACTTGTATAACAGGGTGGGTTTTTTTTTAAAAGCAATTTCATCATGAAAAATGTTAAAATAATTTATAAACAAACAGAAATAAAGATGTGTGTGAATTTGGGCACAAAACCCTATGATTACTACAATTACCATGTGCTGAAATTCATAGCAACTATATTTTAAAAGATCCAGTGCTTCAGATACATAACTTGTTCAATAATTGGTAGAACATAAATAGCCTCTGGTGCATTATATCAAAAAAAAGGTAGTACATATCAATATTTTTATTGTATTACCCTTATTTTCACCAGAATAACTAAATTCCAGTGCCTCAAACTTGCAAGTAATATGGTGCAAGTTTTATAGTAACACTTGTATTGATAGTTCGTAATAGAAATTACTAAAAATCTCATGGATTTTAATAGTACATCACAGAACAAACTATAGCCATGATAAATAGTGTAAGAGAACAGGTCAAAGAATAAGAATTAGTACCTTGCCCTGTGCTGAAGATATTATCTAAATTAGCAAGAGCTGCGTATTTATCTGCTGATTGGAGACATGGTTTATTCACTACAGCTTTACTGGCTGCAGTTGTGTTGCTCTGAGAACCACCGAAGGCTCCAAAATCAGCACTGGAAGATTTGGGGAAGTTATCAAAGTGTGCAAAGTTAGCATTCACTGATCGAGCGCTCCCACCTGCAACAAAATAAGTTCAAAAGTTTTCATTGAAAGTCTCTTCAAATGTATCTGGTGACCATGTGTGCTAATGAACTTATAGCTCATACCTTTAATAAAGTTTCTCTATTCAAAAATCCTGATTGGTGAAAACAGGTATTTTAAATTCCAAATCCAGACGCCCTAGCCTTATCAATCTCAGAGCAGAGTGAAGAAAATACATGTTGTAGCAAAACTTAAAAGACATGGTTGTTCAACCTGGACTGGCGGGGGTGTGTGTGTGTTAACATGTATTTTAACATGTTTTATTGGATATTTTATTGTTGTGAGCCACCCTGAGTCCTATGGAGATAGGGCGGCATATAAATAAAATAAAATAAAATAAATAAATAAAATAAAACTAGCCTCAATGATTCACACAAATATGGTTTTGTTTTTAGGGTCTTGTCTTTCTCTGCAACTTAATTAGATTGAAATTCAATATTTGATAAGTTCCAATAAACAGCACAATGCCTTTAATTTTTTTAAAAAACTATCAAACTAAGAAGTATCACTTCATATCAATTTAGCATGGTCTAACTTTTTTGTAATTTTTAAATTCTGTATTACTATGAAGAATTAAAAGCAGAAGAGAGAGCTAAAGAGGAGTAAATTATATTATTAGAGAACAAAATCCTCATTACCACTTCTGGTAATCAAATATTCAATGTTTTAAACTTCAAACTGCAAAAGTGAATGCTAGTGGTTGGTGCTTGATTACACTGCTCTCTTTCTCTTTGAAGAGATTAGTATGTGCAACCTTCTTCCAGAAAAATAAGAAATGAAAAACTGTGACATTCAGATGCTACTAAACTATAACTCCTAGCATATTTACTATAGTCTCAATGGCTTGAGCCACTGGAAATTGTAATTTAGTGATTATTTTGCTGGCTATAGATTGGGTAAGGAAATTATAAAAATATTTGAAAGGTCAGACTGGATTCTACATCAAAACAAATAATCTGTATTAATATGCTAGAATAAATAGCAATAATAACACAATCCAAATCAATTTACTGCTGGATGGAGGCCTTTTCATTAACGGTCAGGGTCAAATTATATTACTCTGGTCCAGTGCAGGTTGCTATATATATGTTTTCATTTATCCACTAAAAGGCTGAGAGAGAGTAACTGGTCCCAAAGGTTACCAGCCAATTTCTATGCTTAAGAAAGAACTAGAACCTGGTGTTTCCACCCTGTTCAGCACCTTAACATTATATCACATTGACTCTCATCAAAAAATATCATTTTTTTATTTATTTACACAATTTATAAGGTCACCTAATTAGGAAATTGTTATTCTTGGTGTCTAACCTGGGATTGAAATACCAAAGAAAGTAAACAATAAAAATAACAATGGCAAAACCCAACATAAAATAACACTTACAGAGGTCAAAACATTTCAACATCCAAAAACATTTACCAGACTAGGGGTATCAAACTTGATTTCATTAAGGGCTGCATCAGGGTTGTGTTTCACCTTGGGGGGCTGGGGTGGGCATGGCCAGCTCAACATCACTCGGGTCGGGGGCGCCTGTGGTGTCCTGAGTGCTCTCCCAAACTCGGTTTTCGGCTGAAACAGCCTCCTGCAACCCTCTGCCAGTGAAAACGGAGCTCGGGAAGGCTGTGTGCAGCCCTCCCAAGCTCTGTTTTTGCTGGCAGAAGCACCATGGGCAAGTCCTTCACTGTTTCCAGGGTGGCCCCGCGGGCCGGATCTAGCCCCTGGGCCTTGAGTTTGACACCCCTGTACTAAACTGTTTCATTCAACATCCTGGCCTAATGCCTGGAGGAAAAAAAACCCAGTGTTTTAAACTTTATAGAACACTAACAAGAGTCAGGCTCATCTGAAACTCAAGGGTCATATTATTCCAAAGGGTAGGTGCTGTGACAGAGACGGGTCACATTTGATAACATAGTTCACAGAGGAAACCTAAAGTATGCCCACTCTCTTGGATCTCATGGGATTGGCAGACCCAGACAGGTCCAATCCCAACTTGGACCTGTGCTATGAAAAGCTTTATAAGCAATAATCAGTATCACAAATTACACCCCAAAGCCAGTGCAGTTCATGAGTAGCGGTATTACATGTACGTACAATGATGCACCCACCAACATCTATGCTGCTGTATTTTGAACATACTATAGTGAATCGGATGGAGCTGTGCAAATATCTCTTTGGCCACAGTAGTCACCTGTTCTTCAAACAAGAACTATGAGTACAAGAAGACCGTCAAAGTACATGCTAGTTCTGTGTGGGAAAGTGGAACTCCATTCAGAACTAAAGACAGAAAGCCTCCAGCTTCAGGGATCCTAAAAACCAAAGCCACTTAGTGTGATCTGAAAAACATGTATCCCCCTTAGCCTCCAAAACTGATAGCATCACTTGTCCAGTCCTGGTCAGAGATGGATAGCTGTGTATCATTATCTAATTGATATTAACCCTGTGCCTATGGATGACCCTACCAAGCAGTTTCATATAAATAGGTGAGAATGTAAAGCCCCGAAGATGCTGCAAAGCAGGGCAGTAGGGCTGGATCTCTTCCTCCGCTAGTATCAACTTGAACTGGTCCCAGAGAAAGGACAACTAACTTCCCCCTAATCTTAACTTTCTGAAGTCAGTCCAAAAGGACATGTACAGTGGTATTAAAAACCACTGAAAGATCAAGGAAGGCCAGCATGGATGCGCAGCCTCCTTACTGATCCCATCAAAAGTCATATACATATATATCAATACATTTTCAGCACTATATTGTCCTGAATACGTTTTCAGCACTATATCAGTTAGTCCAGAATGCGGCTGCACGGGTTGTTACGGGGGCTTCTCGGTACTCCTGTGTGACACCTCTCCTGCACGAGCTGCACTGGCTGCCGGTGGCTCTCTGGGTTCGTTTCAAGGTGCTGGTGCTCACCTATAAAGCCCTACATGGCTTAGGCCCAGGGTATCTGCAGGATCATCTCCTGCCTTCCTCCCACCGTCCGGTGCACTCACACAGAGCGGGCCTCCTCTGGGTGCCGTCAGTCAGACAATGTCGGCTGGCGGCCCCCAGGGGGAGAGCGTTCCTTGTGGGAGCGCCGACCCTCTGGAATGGGCTGCCCACCGGCCTCAGGACAGCCCTGGACCTCCTCTCCTTCCGCCGTGAATTGAAGACGTGCTTTTTTTACCAAATGGGCTGAATCCGTAGGGGTGACTTCAAATAATTTTAATAATTTTTAATTAATTTTAATTTAATTTTAAACTGATTTTAATTGTTTATGTAATTCTTTGTTTTGTTTTTGTAAGCCGCCCTGAGTCCTACGGGAGACGGGCGGCATATAAATTACATAAATAATAATAATAAAATAATAATATATCCCAATATGAAATACAACTACCTTCCCAGGAACCTTCCAGTGAGAATCATCTCCTCCCTAAAGGATGCATTCACTACTTTGTGTATATAACCATACATCATCCCCCAGGAACTCTTGACCAACCATGAGTGTTATAGTGTCAACCCTAATAGTCAAATCTAATATTCAGGTGGCTCCACTTTCCACCCAAGGCCCGTTCATTTTATCAGAAATATCACAAAAACATGCCAAACTATGTCACACAAAATCCCAAAGCACCTGAACAGCTGATCCAATTCAGAGTGGATCCAAGAGACTTTATCCAAAACATGTGCCAAATAGACTTCACAGATACCTGCCAATGTTCCTCAGATCTATCTTTGCCCAGGAGGGACCAGATCATCTTGAAGAGGGCTACCAGCCCTGTTTGTAGACATGATAAAGAGCAGAAAAATAATGATGTTTTGCTGCTCTTATCACCATGAGTAATCCTTAATAAATGCTTTCTCTTTTTCCCCAGAATTATCTTTTTCCATTTCAAGTGCCAGAGTTACTCTAAAAACTAGCAACTTTTCAAAATCCACAGCAGAGTCTCATAGGCACATATGTACAAAGCTGTTGCCACCACCTTGTTCCAAGCAATGAAGAAAGCCTCAGTTGAGCTGTGCAGAGCTTCAGAGAAGAATCTAAATTCTTCTGAAACCCAAAGGGATCCATCAAGCACTTGGGAGAGGCCAATCAGATGGATTCTTCTATTCTGTGGTACAGAGCAGCTACAGGTAACTCCAAGGCTACCTGGGAGTGATCTGACCACAAGTACGGACAGTAACATCCCTCAACTGCATGTGTCTGAGACAAAGAACAGTTCTATAAACCATGACTGCTGCCATGAATCGAACCTTTAGTAATCTGGGAGAAATGCACAGTGGCTATGGACTCCCAAGCCAATTTCATCTTTTATCAGGGAAAGGCAAATTAAAGCCCTCACTACCCAAGTGCTAAATTTTGGGGATTCTACTAGCAACTTGACCATAGCATAAAACAGCTCATAGAAGGGATGATGAATAGTAGCAGAAGTCCCATTTGATCTCTAGAGTCAACTATCATTATCAACAGGTTTCATATCCTGTTAACTGCAGAGCAGTGCTGCTAAAAGCCACCAAGTCTCTTGGTTAATTATGATAACTCCACTGCCCTTGGCCTGAGTCATGCCTTATGGGAACATTTCTAGGAGGGAAACACCTCCCTCAGTGTGCAGGAACGTTTGGTGAAACACTCTAGGTTGATCCTCTCATTCATAATCAGATTGTGGAGGAAGGCGAACTGGCATTATTAAAAGCCAATCTGGCATTTGGCAGCAGCTGCCAAAAATCTGAGCCACTAAAGATCCAAAGACAGGTAAAGGAACCACCACAGGAGACTGGAATGTGGAATCAATGTTACATAAAAAATTGAACTACATTATACAGTAACCTGAAATTGTTTGAGATTTTCATGAATACTAAAAATTGTATTATATTTTCCACTTATTTGCATAAAGAAAACCATTGTAACTATGACTTTCACTCTCTATATTTGGTGGGATAATTCTCAAGTGCAAATAAGCCAATATACCAGTAGCAAGCATGTACTATTAGGTAGCATCTTTTGAAGAAGAACAAGAAGTAAGAAAACTTGAACATGACACAGTGGAAATGAGGAAAAATGGTACTATAAATTAAATGAGCCGAGTTTCCCACCTTGGTGGAACTTACTGCGCATAGCCTGGCCAGGGAAAGCAGAAGTAGTAAAGTCACCAAAACTGCAGCTAGATGAAAGCGTTCTGAACGCTGGACAGCCAGAAATTGTGTGAGGGGTTAAAATTAACAGAAAGGAAAAACAAAAAATTTAAAAGAAATCTTAAGCATTTTTAAACAAGGAAAATGAAACAGAAAGTGGTCAACCACAGATCAAGACATACCAATTAACATTCCAGGAAAAAATATTACAGCATAAAACAAATAAAAAAGAAAAAGAAAGCAACAGTCCATACACATGAGGTAGTTTTAGCCAAACCAATGTATCTTGCAGGAGAAAAAAATAGACTCTTTATCTTAAGATATGATCCAATATTTTTCCAATAAATAGTATTTACATCATGTGTAGGAGTAATTCAGAAGCTATAATATAAAAAAATCATGCATGAACACAACCCACACCAAGTATAGCAAAAGAAAAGGAACATTCATTTTTCAGGTTTCCCCAGAGCTTCAGATTATGTGTGTTAAGACAAGTAGATACAAGGAGATCTAAGAAATATTCCAACTATAGTGTCCAGATTAGTTTATATTAAAGGAATTAACAACATTAGAGCATTTCTACCTGTATTTTGGTGCTGAAAAGCAGACTGACTTGCTGTGGGGAAACCACCAAAATTACTCGAAGCACTAGACTGTCCAAATGCATCAAAGTTTGCAAAACCTGCGTTTGCAGAGTTCTGCGCTGTAAAGTGCAAATGAACAAAAATATGTTAATGATATGAAAACAAAGATAAACTGAACAGAATAGGATAACTATACTTTAGGATAACTATACTACTTGAAAGTACAATGTACAGGACATACATTTTCTTATATATATTTTGCAAATCTATCCCACATAGAAATGGCTGTTCTTTTAATTCTATTTATATAAAAAATATTTTAGATCTAATATTTGTAAACAGAAATGAAAATATCATTTTGTGATCCCATTATTATACTGTACCCTGGTTATTACTAATTTTCTTTCTCTATAACTCTACAACTAATTTTTAAAAAAACAAATTATACATGTTGCTAATCCATAATAGTGTTGTTTTTTAGCTTTCCAAAATGGATCTAGGTATGCTTTGCACATCTTTTAATATTATTTACTAAATAATAATAAATCTATTATTTAAGACAAATTCACATATTGCTCTAATTCAAAACAAAATAACATTTATTATAGATCAAGATTTGGGGTAGAGTTGGGGCGACTCTACACTTACCTCTATCCTGACAGATGCCCTTCCTGATGCCTACCCAGAGTATAATAATAGCAATAATAATAGCACTTAGACCTATATACTGACCCATAGTGTTTTAGAGCCCTCTCTAATTGGTTTACAAAATCAGCATATTGCCCCCAACAATCTGGGTCTTCATTTTACCAACTTTGGAAGGATGGAAGGCTGAATCAATCTCAAGACTGTCAGGATTGAACTCCAGGCTGTGGGCAGAGTTAGCATGCAATACTGCATTCTAACCACTGTCCCACTGGGGTCCTATATATATGCACTATAGGGACTACAGGGTCATAAAAGAGAGTTTACAGTTCAGGATTATGTGTGAAATCCAGACCACATGACATATTTTAATTGAGACAATTTGATTTGAAGTATATTATGATTTATATTATGATATGTGTTATAATTTGAAGTACATTATGATAGAAGATGTGGGAATTAATGGTTTTATAGATATTGCCAAACTGCCACTAGAATCTCTTAGTAAAGGTCATGCTAGTCTGTGCTCTGAGGAGTTATAGTTTAGCAAAAGAGGACAAGGTTCCCTCCTAAACTGTATCTTGTCTTATCGCTGCCATGGAGGTAATTGAAAGCAATCTCTTTGTGTTTTTATAACTTTTATTTCAAATTCTCTCTAAAAAATAATTTTATAATTTTAAAACTTTTTGGCAAAATCCAACAGTGTGCAAGTTTTGCATATGATTACATTTCAATGTGTTTCTGAAACAATTCCCCATGTCATATGACCAAAAGCTTAATACTTTTCCAAGATGCATGAATGGAATTGTTAAACCACTAGTAGTCACATATTATTGAGCTTACCAACTGTAACTCTATTGATTTTGGCTTCTGAGAATTCATTGTTTTAATAACCAACATAAAACATTAAAGGCATATGACAATAAAGCAAACCATGTATATAATTGCATAAAGAAAGTAATGTTTTTAAGACATAAATCATTTTCAAATTTGGAAACTGCACAAATAGAAAATTACTTATGACTACAATAGCTTTACCTTTAATATATCACATAATGAAATAAAGAATGCTTTATTAACAAAAATATATTATAATCATTTGCATAAGTAAATGCTCCTATAAGCTTGAGAGTTTACTGGATTGTTCAATCTAGATGGAAAAAGCCTCTCATATTACTGAACATAGCTGATGTACTGAAGAATATATATATAGCTGATTACTATATAGTATCTAAGAGTATAAATATAGTGTATTGTATTAACATTGCTAATGTAACATTTAAAATAAGCTAAAATATAAGCAGATTAATAACTTTAAAAATTAACACATAAAGCACATTAATAAATACATACCATCAGAAACAGTGCTTATAAACTATATGTCTGAATAAAAATGCTGTTAGCTGACAATGGAAAGATTAATGAGAGGAAACCAAGTTTTGTTACTCTTTGCAGGGGTTTTCAAAGCAGCAGCCTCTGAAAAGTCTTAGTTACATTTCCATCAAACTACTTTTGATAGTTACAGGGTATCAGAATAGGAATAAGGCAGTCCTTGCTTAACAACCTGAATTGGAATCTGCAACTCAGCCACTAAGTAAAGCAGTGGCTAAGTGGGAAATAACATACCAATTGGAAAAAGACAAGACTACTCAGTTTCACACCTTCAGTTTTTGTTCGCCTCCTAAAGACTACCCTGCCCTTTGGAATGCTCCAGTGCCTGTTTACTTAGATCAAAACCAATTTGATCACACTGGTGTCCTATCCTTTTCCTGATTCTTTCTGCTTCCAGCATGATCACAATATTTTCAATGTGTAGAAGAGCAGTACTTAGAATCACTCTCCAATCTCTGCAATGTGGGGAAGGGTCAGGCAAAAGAGAAATTCCTACAGAAATCGCTTTATTTTTCTCTCCCTCACCCACTACAGAGATTGAAGAGAAAAGGATCACGAGATTACAAGACAGTACTGCAAGCTGTTTACAGAGTGCGCCTGGGGCGCCCAGCATTATTTCTGGGAACCGAACTGCTTCCTCTCCAATCTCTCTGCTCTAAAGTGGGGGGATGCAGAAAAAAGAAATTGGACTGAAATTGATTCATCATCCAGTCAGTTACAAGGATTCTATGAAATATCTCCAACATCAAAATTAATGCCCTTCCTTAAAAAAGGGCATTCTCTACTCTTTATAGGTATATGAACTGTAATTTGCAACTACTGTAGCTAAAGATTTATTTAATCCCACTCAATTACAGAGAGTCCTCATTTAGCAACTGCCTTATTTGGTGACCCTTTGCAGTTACAGCAGTAATGAAAAAGTAACTATGTTTAATCCTTGCATTTATAGGAAAGCTGAATTAAGACCACAGAACAATAACAGTTTGACTTAGTGACCACTTCATTTAATGACCAAGTTGCACCATTTTACATAATAGTTCAGAAAAGTGAAATGTGTAAGCAAAGTGAAACTAATAAACAGCATGCACAGAATATTCATTTATTTGTTTATTTAATTATTTAATTTATATAGACATCCACATAGAATAAGTGATTCTGGGCAGCTTACAACAAGTTAAATAAATAAAAGTTAAATAAATACCTAATAATTATAATTATTAATATTAGTTAACTACTGACTTCAACAAAAATGACTTAGATTAGTTTGAAAACTATGGATAATGACTTATGTGAGACATCTTCTTCCTCTGATTTCTTTTTAAAGATATAATAGGACCAACAAGTCATTATATAATCAAGTAATTATATAAACAGATTCCCTGTGAAAGGGAGACATGGAAGAGAGGACTTACAAGGATCTAGTACCACCAACAGAAAAATCCATATCATCACAGTTAACTTACATGTTAAAGTGTTTCAAGGAAAGAATGGGAGGAGACATTATTTTTTTAATTTATTTCCGTAACTGAATAGCTCCAAGTTAAAAAAGAAAAAAAAACCCTCTTCTTCTGCCTTTCAAGCACTTCTGAGATTCAGACACCAAACTCTGTGCTGAAAATGCTTTTTAAAGAGCACATTACAGTCCCCCCATCCATTCCAACACACACAAAAATACACAAGGAAGGTTTTATTCCAGTCCTACAACTGATTTAAAAAAATTCAGTCAGAATCAAAAGAGGAAAAATAAGCATTTTACATGCTAAATATTAGATTTTTTGATAGTTCTAGCATCAGATCTTTTATAGAACATGAAGGATTATGCTCTTGATCAGTTATTTTAAAAGAAATATACACCTATATGTGAGTCATATAAAGCAACACAGTACAAATCATGAGCGTGCTCCCATTGTTTATTGCTTTTTTCCCCTGTTGCATTCTCTGTTAATATTGTTAATATCCTCAAATATATTAAATGTGTGACTAGTATTACCACTCTTAGGGTTTTATCCTTCCCACCTTTTTTCCTTTGATTACGAGTAATCTAGATCACTTTGAAAACAATAAAGGACAATCACCAAACTGATTTAAGCAAGAGTCCCAATCTTACCTTTACCAACAATCAAAGGACATAACCCTTGGGATTTGTCTTGGATAGCTAGTAGTTCTCAAGGACAGAAAGGCTTTTACCAAGAGCATGTCAGATATAAGGAGAGCTTGTTCTTGGAGCTTGTATGACCGTGTGAGTTAGTAACTCTTAAGACTATCAAACAAGCATTTCTATGTTGCTCATTTTATAAAGATAGAAATTTTTATCTCAATATTTACACAGCTTCTACACAGAATTACACAAACTAATTCTGTATTTGTAATTATTTCTGATTTAATCTTGCCCAATATAAAATTAGCAGGAAACCGATTGCTGGTAAGAGTTAAATAAAACTCTTATTAAACTGTAGTAGATATTTCTATCTACTATATTTAATCTTCTAATCACCTTAATAATATTAATTTTTAGCCTATTAGCATAGAATACTTCATTTTCATTTTTATTCTTTGTATAGATAGCACTGAATATTTTATCATATTTTGTTACTTTCATAATAGCATATAACTTGTTTTATATTTTAATTGTAATATATTATCATATGTAGTTTAATCATTTTAATCATAAATTATTCACACTTTGTCAATTTTGTTCCTATGATAATAATGCACTGTACATTTTATCTTTTAGCTAATTTGCTTAAAATTTGGATACTTAAGATTATTATACTTAGGAAGACTCATAATCTCATAATTTTAAATGTTATTTTATTTGGCCTTGACTGAAAGAAGTTTGACTATCTCTTCTTTTTTCTCAAATCCTTGCCAATATTACAGAAGCTAGCAAGTTTGGTTTTCATAGCTTATTTCCTATTTTATTTTTAGATTTCTGTAAACTTGAATTATTAATAACCATCAGTGATTAAGCACACATTTGGGATAATTTAACCATTAAACCAATGGCCATACAAATTAGCTCAATCTCTGTATTTATCATTGTCAAACCTAAGATAGTAAATAAAAATACCTGTATGACTGTTGAAATGTGCAAAATTAGCAAAATTTGCAGTAGCTGTGGGGTGCGGAGCAGGAGCAGCAAATATGTCTGAACCAAGATCACTGAGAAGATCGAATTGCTTCTTTTCTTGTGACTGCCCATGAGACCGAATTGTAACAGGAGACTGTAAACAAATTGCAGTGGGTTAAACAAGCATGAGTAGAGTAACTAGAGCAGTAGTTCCCAACGTGGGGCCTATACCCCACAGGGGGGCAATTTGATTTTTAGTGGGGGGCAATTTGCAAATGAGCTATTAACTGAATTTTTGAAAGCCTGCTAATTGTTCTTATATATTTGTGATGAAACAACTGTGTTTCATTTACCTATTGTTGTCTTTGTTAAAGTGCATTTCTTAGGGCCTGGTCTGAAAAGGATATCCAAGCTGGGGGAGAAGGGAGCAACTGCCAGCCAATCAGATGTGTTTCCACTAAGAATCATGGTATTGGGAAAGTCTTTCTCTCTTTCCTGTGGGCTTTGCTGCTGAGTGGTTGCAGGGAGAGCTGCTCTGTGGGGAGACAGAGTGGATGGCTGCTGGGTGAAGCCAGCAGTAAGGATACAGAACCAGGACCCAAGTTTAAGTAAGAAATTGTTAAGATTTACAGTTATTTTTAATCTGTGTTTTCCCAAGCCATGTTTTACAAGACTTTTCCTCTTAGAGCAATCTGGGGCTGGGCCAGGCATGCGTAGGCCTTACCAGGCCTGTGTGATTCACCTCCACCTACTGAACTACCAAAGCATTTCTCCACTAAGCTGCAGGTTCAAACTGAGTGGGCGAGTAGAGGAGGTCATAGGTTACAACCCCCCTTTCGTTCATGACAATCTTATTATTCATAAATTAAGCGAAGAATGTGGGTTTTTTTTTTAATTTTCCTCTTTCTGCGTCATCTTCTTTTAATAGTTATTTCTTATTATTATGGCATGGCTTTGTGACGAGACAGAAACCAAATACCCAAATTCAACCTAATTTGCAAGAAAACTGCTGTTACCGTTCCCATCTTCATATTTACCTGAATGTGGCTTTAGTGCTGTAAATGATTTGCTACTGAAGAAAAGAAATTGACTGGATATCACTGAATGAGGAGACTTGAGAATGAATCTGACTAAATTGGAGTCTAATATAAAATCTCTCTGCAGCAGGCATCAAGCACAAGGATCTCACTAATTTAAGTAGACTAAAGCTGCAATCCTACATTTTCCCGGGAGTAAGCCACATTGAAGACAATGATACTTACTTCTGAGTAGACATGCATAGGATTGCGTTGTAAATATGATCTTGAGGTGAGCTCAAATTGTATTTTCAATTTCTTAGGTACTTTTATTTTAATATGTATAGTAATTAATATTAGTATAGTAATTAATGTAGTACTTCTGTAGTAAGTACTACAGAAAAAGCTTTCATTAAAATTATTTTATATTTATGCATTTCAGTTTTCTATTATATGTTTTGAAACTTTATTTGCTGTTTTTTCATATCCCTTCATACTATTATTTTTTAAATTCCTCAGTACTTCTACTGTCTTTCGTTCTTTTATTTTTCTCTTTTATGGATGCTTAGGTGGGGCATGGCCAAAAAAAAAAAGCTAGGGAACCACTGAACTAGAGTAAACCAGAATATCATTCCTAATACAGAAAAACAACGCTTTTATAAGTCAACTTATTTTTCATCCAGATGAGGCAATTTAATTCTGCACTGTAATATGTTACAGATCTGGCACTCATCAGTAGACTAATGCAAAATTGCACAAACATTCAAACACTCCAATGAGACACACAATATCCAGACTCTAGTGAAGATAATTGAGGAAACAGAAATGTGTGAAAAATTAAGGAGACCAAAGACTAGAAAGCTGAGAAAATATGTCAGTACTATAGAAGCTTAGATATTGGGAGAATGCAAGATAGGTTTCCTAAAAGAACAGGGAGTGACTTTTAAGTAAAAACTCAACAAAATATAGGTGGACAAAAAGAAACCCTCCGAAAGAACAGATCATTGAAGGATGAAGAACTAAAGGAAATATGAGTGATATTGTCACTATGAAAAAAAATAGTTTTGTTCTGTTAACATTGTTAACAGAAATATAAAGTAGAACTGAATAGAATTGTTGAGTAGATAGATTCCCTGAAAGCCATCAGAACAAAAATAAGCGATATAGAACAGCTATATAGTATAAACTGAAAATATGAAAGCAGCAGGGGTCTGAAGAAAGATTTTAAACAATAGATTAGTAATGATCAGTGCACCAGGTAACATATTTTATTGAATGTGTGTTAAATTCATACACTTTTAAAAGATACATTACTTACTTGTGTAGGTGTGTCTTTATTTAAGTGCAGTGCTGGTGCAGACTCTCCCAAGAGAGATTTAAGTGGTTTAACTTCTGGAGTACTACTTGTACTACTAGCAGACGATCCAGATATGGATGCATGGACAGAAGCCACAACTTTTGCTTGTTCTGGAGGAACATACCTAAAATGCCAAATTGAAACATTTGTATTTATTATACCATCCCCCAAACAATCATTAATAAAGGATGATGCCACAGTCCTATTCTAGGCTTTAGAGAGCTGGAATTAACCACATGGCTTAAGCAATTATAAACTCACTGTTACAATAGCTATAAAGTAAGAAATGCAGTAAGAACAAAGATTTAAAATATTAATTGACATATAATTGAAATGCATTGAATAATTATTAAGATATAACTGGTCTAATACAAATCATAAATGTACAAAGTAAATAGTGAACGTAAATAGAAGTAATATAATCTAGCTGGTTGAAATTCAACTTCTACAACTGGAACCCTGTGTGTTTATGTGTAGTACCTAAATAAGATAACCTATTACAAGCTGAGCAAAATACATTATTCTACACAGCTGAAAAATAGATATTAGCAACAAGTATCAGTTTAAGAAATACATTTAACTAAAACTTGAAAAGAAAATTTTCAGCCTGTCAAAAATAGCTCTAAGAATTGCTTCAGCCCAAAATTTTACTTTACTATACCAATAACAGTTTAAAGGGAAAAAAAAGTACACTGTGAATATCTGTAATCCATAAATACAAATATACACAACCTTTAAATGTTAAATCAAAAATATTTTATCTGTTTTTATTTTATGCATTAATCTCCCTAAATCAGAAGCAATCAAATAAGACATGATTTGGGAGGGGGGGGGGGTATTTAAGTTATAAAAAGAAAGCCAAGCCTTTCTCACCTAAGTTTGAGAAAAGTCTACCATAATGAATGGGGGTTGTTAAGGAGTATTCCAGGGAAATAGCACCAGGAAATTCATTCAACTGGACACTGTCATGTTCTGGAGAATGAACAATAATTTGCTAAAGAAATTAAGGTCCAAACATTGGACTTGACAAATAGTTTAATATTTAGTACTTTTGCTCACAATTCCTTTTAACCCTAGGGGGAAACAGGGCGAACTAATTGATGACTACTAGAAGAAAATAATGGCAGTACTTACAGTAGAAACAATCAGTAGGGGTACTGTAATATGCATGACAAAGGCGATTCAACGATTTTGAATTTGGTAAGAAATTTTCCAGTAATACCTCCACAAGGTAAATATTGATACAAATAAAACAAATATATGTTTAGGCACTCCACTGGAAATAGAATAGGAAATGTTCTATATATTATAATACAAATTCTTTTTATTATAAAAAGTTTTATAATATAATTATAGTGAAACATGTACCAACCATCTTTTCTTTTCGTATTTCTCTTGTAGAAATTCTTTGACTTTTTGAGGGTCCCGGAAGTCTGGAATTGCTGATGATCTATCATCAAATAATCCTAGCCATATCTGTTTACATACCTTTTCAAAGAGAAACAATATTAAATTAAATGTACTTCCGTCTGATCACTTAATGAACTAAAATATAGGTAGTCCTCGTTTTACAATCATTCCTTTAGGGAATCTGAAATTACTGAAAAAAATGACTTATGACTGCTTTTCATTTACGACCACTGCAACACCCCCATGGTCAGGTGATCAAACTATGGATGCTTGGCAACTGGCATGTGTGTATGACAGCTGAAGTATCCCGGGATCATGTGATCATCTTTTGTGATTTTTTGACAAGCAGTCACTGGGAAAGGCAAAGTCACTTAACTGTGACTTTAGTAACTGTGTTACTAATTTAACAACTCCAGTGATTCACTTAACAACTTTGTCAAGAAAGGTCATAAAATGGGGCAAAACTCACTTAACTGTCTTACTTAGCAACAGAAAATTTGAGCTCAATTGTGGTCATAAGTCAAGGACTAGCTATACTATATTAAAGAGATTGAGACATCATCAAATAGTGTTGTGTACATATTCAAACACATTCATTTTCGCAACATGAATTCACTAAAACTTTATAAAATCTAAAATCTTTGTTATGGTTAATGACTATAACAGTGTTTTCCCGAAAATAAGACCCTGTCTTATATTTTTTTGAACCCTGAAATAAGCGCTTGGCCTTATTGCCATGCGCTCAAAAGCCCGATTGGGCTTATTATCAGGAGATGTCTTATTTTGGGGGAAACAGGGTATATAGTTTGGGAGCCGAATTACATATCTCAGATGATGTTTTTTATAGATTTTGTAAAACATTTTAAATAGGTTGATAAAAATAAAAAGAACTAAAGCATGCAATAAATAGAAATACTGTAATAGAAGACTACAATTTTAAATATTTACAACTAAATCACTGAATTATGCAATTACTTTAGCAGTAACATCTTTTTTTTGGTCATCACCTTGCATAAAGTAATATTCAATGATAAAATTACATACACATACATCTCCCTGCAAGTCCTACCATGTTGATTCAGAAGAGAATGAAGGGCAGATGTTCCTAAGAGGGACGAATGAAGAATGGCAGGAGTGTATAGGTAGTCCTCACTTACCTGCTATCCATTCAGCAATTGTTTAAGTTGTGATAGTGCTGAACGGGTCGTATTCATGGGTGGCCTGCTGGGGGTTCACAGGGGTTCAGGAAAACTCTAGCTAAGATTCTGTGCAGTTCGGACAACCCCCAAATCCCACTCCTGGCTGGCCCCTCCTACCCACCCTTCCTCTCTCAGGAGTTCCCCTGCGGCCTATTTTGGATGCAGGTAAATGCAGGATGCGTGTAGAGGCTCAGGGAGGGTGAAAAACAGGCCTACAGGAAGTTCGGGAAGGCTGGAAACGGGCCCTTTTCCAGGCTCCAGAGCTTGGGGAGGCAGTTTTCACCCTCCCGGACACTCAAGGAAAGCCTCCCAAGCCCTGGGATAGCAAAAACGCCCTCCCTCCCACCGTGGTGCAGGAGGCCGACTAGGCTACACCCACCCAGCAAATGGGCAGAGAACCCCTTGCTAAAATGTTTGAAGCCCATCCCGGTTGTATTTATTCAGAAGATTTATATGACCACTCACTCACTCTCAGAGATTCTGGGCAGCTTACAAACAATAAAAACCCAGTATAAAAGAGTAAAAACAATAGTCCCCACCCCTCTGACTGGTTTTAACCTTATGACTGGTTCTCCAAATTCCAGCAGTCATAGTATCCCCAAATGACTATGATTTGAGTGATAGAATTAAAAGTCTTTAATTCTAAATGTATATTTTGTGCACCAGATTCCAATTTAGTGAGATGATTTTTTCACTATCCATCTGCATTCCCTACATACCAGCTATATTGTTTTCAGTGTTTCAGCTAATTTTGGATAATAATATTCTTAAAATAACATTCTTTTTATACTGAATAGCACTGAACTACTTCTTACTACAGTTATTCAGATAATTCCTCTGCATCTTCTAAATAATTAGATTTTTCTTTTATCAAGGAAAACAATAATTATAAAAAAAAACCTAATTATAATTAATTTGGCCACAGCAAAATGTCCTATTTCAGGGGTTGGAAGCAAATAATATTTGCTAAAAATAACTCTGATCAAATAAAAAATGATTGATTTAAAGTTCCAGATTTATTAGTCATTTCTTACCCATTATTTTAGCTAATACAATTCTGTAACTTAAGCTATGTGTTATGACTAAGCTTCTTGGAATTCATGCACTTGGGATAGCTTCCTAATGTCTAGAAAAAGACTTTAAATTCATGTCATATAGTCCTACGTATTTTGATAATTTTAAGACCATTAAGCAAGTTCTATATCCCATAAAACACAGGCACAACATGCTTCAGCAGCACTACTGTGATGCAATATTAACAGGAACAAATATTTGAGGAAATACCACCCATATTTCTAGGAAGTTCCACCCATGCTGAAAAGTTCACTCTAAAAGCATGCTGAATCATAAAAAGGCAGAGGAAAAGCTGAAATGCATCAATGAAGATTCACACTACATAGGTCCAATTAGAATTCAATTTCAGCTCACAAATACCATTGTACATACTGTACATACCCAAGAAAATTTCATGTTATTCTCAGAACTTATATTATCTTTTTGACTAATATAAGGCACTCATTAAAATTGTATTCTCCATCAATTTACTTAGGCATTCTATACTAAATACTTACTTCATTTCCATGCTTCTGAAGAAATTCTATTTCTTGCTGTGTGAATGTGGTCATTGAAATGGATTTCACTCTGTGAGGTGGATTTAAACCTCTCCTATAAAACATTTTTTTTAAAAAAAGTGATTGTAGAAATCTTTCAAGTAAAAGAACTTTTAACTACAGTTTAAAGTTATTAATGATAAAAATAGTATTCAATAAATAAGAGATATGACAAATATGAAAATTACTTAATTTTGAAATAAGTTTTGATTCAAGTATTGTAGAAAAATTGGGCCTAATAACATATTTGTAAATAACTTTAGTTCTCTGAGCTTGGCTATAGGTATCAATTTAAAATGTTGGTGCACAAGTTAGCGCTTTTAAGACATTTGCTTTTTTAAAAATATAAGCACTATACAGATTTTTAGAATTCCTATGGATACAGATCTTTTAGTCTTTCTTAAAAAACTTTTATTTGAACTTTTCTTCTAGTAAAGTGTTCATCTGTTTAAATTTTAACTAAAGACCAGAGACGTAAAAAATGATACAGAACTCAAAATTCAATTATTTTGATATGAAGAAACTAAACATTAAATTTTGCTATAAATACTATGGATTTTATCTTGCAATTCTATCTATTACAAATTCCATCCATGTCAAAAACTAATAAATTTATTTCATTTTCCCACTATTCTGGCAGTTGTACCTTTAGTCTCACTATGGCTGAATGTTTCTTAAAAGTATTTTTATTTTAATCCTATAAAGATATTGGTTGTCATAATAAAATATATCATAGCCAATGTTTTATTGAGTTCTATGAAACAAAACGTCATGGCAGTTCAAAAGGAACAACAGATTTAATCCTTTCATTTTTTGCATCACTCAATGGTTGTCTTACTTGAATACCGGTGAGAGAACTGGGTTGCATTTGATTGGGAGAGACATAACCTTCACTAAGACACTATGAATTTGTGTTTGAAAAGATTTTGGTATATACAGCACACACACAACCATTAAAAAGTAGTCTAAAAATATAAACTTTATCATTCTCTATATGTACATACTACATGTACATAGGAGTACAATAGTCTGCTTAAAATAGCCTGAGGATTCTAATTCTCTATCAGAAAGATCATGCCTTGCCCCAAATATTCAATAGAGAAATCTGAGAATGGGTCAGCTTTATTTCGTGCCTTCATTCTCTCCTGATAGTTCTCTAAAACACCCACCACTACCACTCTTAATGATGCTGGCTGAAGATATTGGGAATTTTAGTCATTATTTTTAATAGAATCAGACAAGAGAAGTATCTCAATTATGAAACTCAAACAAATATCAAGGTAGGACAGCATATGAAATCTGAGGATCTACTACTAAGAAGTATGCTCAGAATTAGTGGGATTCTTAAAATTGATATTGAAAAAGATACACTCAATTGTCACACTAAATATTTCTAAATTCAGCTGTTTTAATAGATAATCCTCTATTATTCCATCATTATTTCATAATATCAACTTCGCAAAATTAATTTTTTTTCAATTTAAAATAAAGCATATTGTTCACCTTGAAAAATTCAAAAATTTGAAATCACAAATCTCCCATTTCCCCTTGCATATATACAATTTTCTTACATAAGCAAGATTCTGATCAATTTACACCAGTAGAGATAATTAATCTTCAGACCTAGAACATAATTATGTGTATGTCACAGATGATCAAACTAAGCCTGTCTATTGTAACATGGCATTCTTGAAAAAAAATATAAAAGTACTGAAGATTATATATTCTGGACAGCTAACTTCACAAAAAAAACTAGTTTATATTGTTTCAAAATTATGTGCACTTTGGCAATTATAAGGTGGTAAAAATATAGTAAACTCTCAAAGAGAGTTAGAGATTAACAAAATGTTTATACTGTTTCCTGCTACAAGCCCTTAAAGTAATATGCTTACTTAGTATTGCCTATTGTTATTACTTCCTCAAAATGTTCTGTTACAGATATTAAAAAAGGCATGAACAAGTTATTACATTTTGAAAATGCATTCACGAAGTTCCTTTTCTATTTTATGTATTTTTACAATGTAACTGATTCTCCCCCATCAGAAAACTAGCACATCAATCTTACACACTTTTCTTCCATAAATACCGTTTTGCATTTAATATAATCCATATTTTATTGCACACAACTAGGAACAAACTCTCATTTTAAGCAATGTTGTCTGCACTTGTGGAACATGTCCATACTAGGTTATTTCCCAAACTCTTATCCTGTACTTTTCTCTGGTAATTTCACTTTATCAGCTTTTTGCTTTCTGGTGGTCTCTCCAGATGGCCCAGTCTTTCAAACTGCCTGCAACAAAATTCCTTTCTATTGGTGACCAAAGTAACTGTACCAGTCCAATCTCCTCCATTTCTTTCTGCAGATACTGTATTGCTTTACTTTCCCACACCCTTTAGTATTTCGGGGAGAAGGGAAGAATCCCCACTTCCACCTTTATTTGGCTCTTCACGAGGGCCCAAGTCCTCCATCTTTCCCAACTGAGGAGCTCCTCACAAAACCGCTTCCCCAGCCTGAGCGGGCTTTCTCCCTCCTCTCTTGCGCTGCCTACTTAGAACCCTCGACCGTTTCCTCCCGCCAAGCGGCCGGGCCCTTTCTTTCTCCTCAACTCACAGGATGCCGGAGCAGGAAGTACAAACGAAGCTGCCCACCGTCATGTCGGTATAGGTGGGGCCGCGCTGGTCGCAGTCGAAGCACTTGCGGTTGGGCGGGAGGCTGCTCATCTCCCTCAGAAGCTTCAGGTGCTTCTCCTCCTGCTTCCGCTTGGCGCTCGCCGCCATGGCCTCCGCCGGGGGGGGGGGGCGGGGGGGGGGGAGCCGATGCCCGGTCCGCTCGAGAACGAAGAGGAAGGCGGCGCAGGAGAGGCAGGGACCGTCCCGCTTGAGCGGCGGCGAGTCAAGGCAACAGAAGGGCGAGGCCCGCGCCCGCCCGCACGAGCCCCAACGGGAGAACGGGAGAGGAGAGGGGGAGGAAGGGGAGCAGCAGGAGAGGCGAACTCGAGCCGGGCCCGGGGCGGCTGAATGACGAGCCGAGGCGGAACCTGCACTATACTTCTTCCCAGAAACGACGAGGAGAGGAGTGCCGCCGACGCTCTGGCAACAGCGAAAAGCGCCCCCTTCCGCCCGGGAGGACTTCCCGTGTCTCTTTTCCTCTCGGGAGCCGCTTACCTGGCATGACCCTGCAAGTCACGGGGAGAGGGGGCGACACGCAATCTGAAATTGGGGACTTATGACGTAAGGAAAGGGGTTTAAAAGAAAATGTGTCGGCGAAAGGAAAAGAATTGGGGAGCCGAGCAAGGGCGATGAACTGACGGTGCAAGGTCCGTGATGAACACCGTGTCTTCCGAGAGTATACGAAGAGCTCCCTGAATTTGGATTATCCTGCAACCGCATGATCTCCATGAATGGGATCAAAGGGTCATCCTGATCAGGATAGCGTAGAGGACTCGCAAGCGTTACTTGGGTAGTCCCGGTGGCTTCTCCCGGCAAATAATTTTCAGGAGCCTAAGGCTCTTGTATGTGGAGGCAGCTACGTCATTTTGATTTGTCATAGTCGATGATCCCAGACAGATTTCTAAACGTCGACCTGGGTGAGCCTCTGAATATCCCTTCTTTCTGCTCCACCCGACTTCCCAATAATCTCTTACCAATATGATAACATGCTTCTCTTTCGAGGTACAGAGAGTTCAGTTTTTAAGGCTTGCTTAAAAACTCCAGGTGGCAAGAAGAGGCCTTCCCAATTTTGCTTGTGGCCTCCCAAAATATCTTATTCTTATCCCTACTTTTATAATATACTATATGAATCCAGCCAGTGTGTAATTTATTCAGGAAACAGTAGTTCAGCAATTTATTAATCATATTTAGACACCTCCCATCTCACTGATTTTGAGTGATTTAATTTTTTTAAAAAATGGAAATGCCATAAACTTTGCATGTGGTGAACCCAATCTGTCACACACCTAGCCCTATTGCTTGGTTTTATATTAATGTATCAGGAGCCAGCAATTTGCAGAAGCAATGAGACCAGAGGCAATAGATATAATTATTTTTATGACCATTATTGGTTGGTTGGATTATGGCTCACAGACACAAGCAAGAACTTTATTTTGGCTGTGCTGCCACTCCCTCCTTTTCCCATTTCTTGTGATCTAACCTTGGCAAGCCTTGGTTTCAATTTCTGGTTTCTGCAAACACAAAGGTTATATTATATTTTCTCAAGTAGATGTCTGGCTCTGGAAGCTGAGTTGTATATATGTTGCTGGTTAAATAGCAGTTGAAACATCCTTGGAATTCCTTCCTAATTCTTAAGACTATTTTATCGGATATTATTCAACTAGTTGGTTTCATTTTTCTTTGCTATGTACTAAAATCCTTTAAACATACTAGTCTTTCACACACAAAGCTATGTTTTATCACTGTGTTGTGACCTTTTCCAAACACATAATTGTAAATTGTCTATCAGCCTCATTCTCAAAAGAGCTGGAGCTTTAAGTTTCAGAATTATCAGCAGTGTGTACAGCAAAGGATATTGTATATTTTATCATGCAAAGTATATATCCAGAACATCAAATAATTACTTTCTACATAGCTTGGAATACAGTATTATCTCTGTAAATATATTTATAGTGTGAATATATATAATACAATTTATTTCATTCCAGCAGAGTTCCCATATCTTGACAAAGAGCAGGTGTAGTAGAATCATTAGGTTGGTAACAGCACAGAATCTGACATTTTCTCCCTGTCAATTATAGTCCCATGTAATTGGTATATGAGATTATTCCATAGCTAGATGTTGATGTCATGTAATTGTATATGAGATTATTCTATAGATAATTAATGTCACTTTAAGGAGGAAATTCAAGAGGTTTGAAGACTACATATGCGTTCCATTGTAATAAAAGCTGAAAAAGAAATATATTCAAACATAGGTGAATGTTTTTAAAGCTGCATCAGTGGTGGTCTTTTGAAATATATGCAGGAGATCCTTTGAATGCATAATTGGAACATGTGATATTGTACTATCACTATTTGTTCTAATGAGATTACACATGAGAAATTCCTAGTTGATGCTCATAGTCCTTGCAAATGTATTTAACAGATTAGAAACTATGATGGAAATTAGGTAGATTGCAAATTACTGAGGCACAAATGCAGGAAATTGAACCTGGGTAAAGAAATATACCCATCCACAAATTCACTTGGGTGATCATAAAAATGGCAAATATTTAATTTTAGCTCTCCATCAAGAAATGAAATATATAATCCCTTTCTTTGGGTTGACAATGCAAATATTTACAGTACTAGGAAATGAAGAGTTGCTTTCCAAAATAATAAAATGAATACAGCTATCTTATGAATCCTTTGATAAAGTGTTTTTATTCAAAGCATTTTAATTTAGATAAATGGAACAGAAGAGAAAAAAGTTCTTGCTGAAATGCAGTACTGTTGCAAATGGACCTGACTTTTTTGCTAACTACTGCTAATTGCTTTTTCAGCTTGCTTCTCACATTTCAAAGAATGGTAATGCCAGGGTTGTCTGTTCTCAGTGAAGCCATAAAGTTTTCGCAAGGCCACACGAGCAGCTTCTTCTTCAGCAGCCAATATTGTTTCACCAGTACCTTCAGCTAAAAGCTTCTTATCACTGAAAAGAGAAGGAATACCTTTATGAAGTCTATGATTATGTAATTGATCAATCAGATTAGGCAACATAGTCTGTTTATCTAATAATTTAATAGCCTTAATATAAAGGGTACATAGCCTCTTTGTAAATCAAATACTGAAAAACTCAAATAGCTCCTTGGGTATAAAATTATCTCAATAAACATGAAATAATACTATGAAAAACAATTTTAGTCTATTATTTGATCTTTGTATAAAGTGATTTCGAAACTATTCTTTTGCCTTTTACGAAATCTATGTGCTACCTTTATTAGTAGATTGTTCTGTAATGATTATATGCAATATATTGAAATGAAAATTAATAAATGATAAAATATTAGATCTTGATTTTACTAATAGAAAACAATCAAAAATATTTTATTTATTTATTTATTTATTGGTTCGATTTATATACCGCCCTTCTCCGGAGACTCAGGGTGGCTTACAATGCGTTAAGCAATAGCCTTCATACTTTTGTATATACCTGCTTAGTAGGGCTTTCGGCCCCCCTTAAGCGGTGTTCTTTTTTATACAAAGTCAGCTTATTGCCCCCACAATCCGGGTCCTCATTTTACCTGCCTCGGAAGGGTGGAAGGCTGAGTCAACCTTGAGCCTGGTGAGATTTGAACTTGCAGTAATTGCAGGCAGCTGGTGCTACTTAACAGCACTTTAGTCTGCTGCGCCACCAAGGCTCTTCTATTCTATTAAGAAAGATGGTCTGGATTTTACAGAGAAAGAACAAAAACCAGTAAATTAATTAATCTCTTCATTTCCTGATAGTATCAATATTCTTTGTCCCACTACCAACAATGCAAAGCAATTAACTTCCTTGAATTAATGTGTGCTTATAAATCATACTATACAATCAAAAATTACAAAACACAAGAAAAGCAACTGTTCATGCACAAAGTAGACCTGAATTTGTAAAATTATTCCACCATTCAGGCAAAATAGATCAAGAATAATCCATAAAAAGCAATATAAAAAGACAAGACTAAGATAAAAACAAGATAAAGACTAAATTAAAGTCTTCAGTCTTTTAAAGGCTCAAAATGTCATAATGGTTAAGACACCATTATTTCTGAACCACACTGCAAAGTCATCAAATAGACTGAAATAGACTGAAGAATGCCAGAAACATGTATCTTCATGTCAGAAATCACTCTTATGTTGTAGAGATGTAAGCTGGAAGTGGGACAATGAATAGCACTTATTCTTTAGAGAACAGAAACCAACAAAAAATATAACTCTTTATATCTAAATGGTATACACTGCAAATAACTGCGGATATGAAAAGCTAGTTCAGATTTTATTATCACTTCTATGAAGTGGAATTGGAATTCTAAACGCTGTAGGATCAACATGCCAAGGCAACATGAACGCAGTGTGTTTATCAGCTAACCAGTTCTCCTCCTGATGTTATACTGTCTTACTTGGAGGCATTCTGCTCCCTATCAATGGACACTAACTAAACTGCCTAAGTTTATGCATGTTTTATTTTCTACATGAAATTCTATTCAAGCATATGTATGAAATATATATAATTGGTAAGATAGGGGTCCACCTTCAGTACATAGTAGCAAGTCTGAATCATCCTGAAATCTTACTAACCAATATAACCCAACAAAGAACAAGGGTAAAGCAGTGGTAGCTCCTGACTGCCTAGTTAGCCTTGGTTCGGGAGCAGTTATATTCCTCTTGGCCAGTTCTTCCAGCAGCAGGCCCATGGGGTTTACAACGTTCCACATCTCAAACAGTTCCTTTCCTATCAACTGAGGGATGAAGAAGTCCTGTAAACAAATATTAAAAAGACAATATTCTTTGAGTTACTTAAAAATAATAGCAATAATCATGACTGAGATAGCTAATACAGATAGACCTCAACTTGCAAATATTTAGCAACTGTTCAAAGTTATAACAACACTGAAAAGAATGACTTACAACTGGTCTTTGGACTTATAACCATCACAGCAAGTGATCAAAATTTGGGCACTTGGAAACTGGCATGTATTTATGATGGTCACATGATCCTTGGATCATGTGATGGCCATCTGCACTCTTCCCAGCCAGCTTCTGACAAGCACAGTCAATGAGGGATGCCTGATTTGTTTAATGACTATATGAATCCCTTAACAACTGCAGTAACTCATTTAAAAACCATGGCAAAAAGGTCATAAAATTAGGTCTGACTCATTTAACAACCACCTTGCTTAGCAACAGAAATTCTGATCCCAATTATTGTCATAATTTGAGAATTACCTATATACCGTTCTTTCAAATAAAAAAACCCTCTCATTTACTAGGTATATTTTTGTAATGCTTAGTTATTACTGCATTATAACACTATAAATCTACTTTACCTCTCAAGCATTGAGATAATTTTTATTAACTAACATAACATAACACAACATAACACATATAGAGAAATGTCTCTATAGATTAAAACGGCGGAAGTAGGCACATTGTAAAATAGCTTGGGAGACAAGGAAAGCCACGACATCATGTTTAATTTTCACAAAATAATCAAAATTAAGTGAAATTAGGCACTAAGGAAGTCTATAGGCCAGTGTTGCCGAACCTTTTCAGCACTGAGTGCTGAAACAGGAGCGTGAGTGTGGGGGAGCACCAGAAACCGGAAGAGCAGCTCCCCAGCGCACTTGCGCAGGAGTGCTGGATGCCGGAAGAGCAGAGCCTGGTCACCTGGTCTTCCAGTTTCTGGCACACATGAAGACCAGGTGGCTGGCGTGCATGTGTGTGCCAGAAACCAGAAGCTCAGCCATAGGTTTGCCATCACGGCTATGGGCTATGTCGAATATAAACTTTCTGAAATCATCTTCCATAAAGTCAACTTCCCTGAAGGAAAGTTACATAAATAGCATTTCTCAACTAGCTAACTAACTACTAACTAATCACCATGAGATATTTTGTGAGGCTTACATTATTTATCCTATAGAGCACTGTTGGTCTAAAATAAATGCTTCCACAGCCTCCATGTAATCAATAAGCAAATAAAGCATAATACTGGACTAAAATTCTTGCAGTATAGCTGGATCTCTACATGTAATTTTCCAGTACTTTCTCCAAGTTTTTAATATCATTTTGCATATTAGGAAGAAATATTTTTTTGAATTCTCTTTATATGTGTTCTGCTAATCTAGTTTGCAAATATGTATCAGAATATTGCACCAATGCAAATCTTGTGTTAAAAAAAGTCTGGATCACCAATTTCAATTGTAACTTACCCTGACAAAGATCTCTGTCCTTTGAGAGCTATTACCTTGAAGCAAAGCTCCTATTACAGCAAAAAAAGTCTGCTGCAGCACCTTAGGTGGCACGGGAAATTCTGCACAAAGTGTCAAATCTTGCAATGATAGGTTTCTAGCAATGTAGGATACTATTTCTTCACTGGTGAGATAGTTAACAAGTGCCTCAATGCCATCAGGTGGCATTTTTGGAAAGGCTTCTTCAAAGCATTGTGTCAGGTAAGAGTGTGAAAAGGAAGCTCCCTGTAAAGAAAGTTCCTGATTGTCCTTAAGAGTAAGAGCAAGATTTTCTTTTTCTAGTCCAAGTTCTTGGCGTTTAAATTCTTCATTTTTTATATAGCAAGAATTAACAAATGCTGTTTTGAGTTGGTCCAGTGGGAATGTCTCATGTATCCGGTGGCCAAAAGCTTCTATTTCTGCATGGTAATCCCAGTTAGGCTTCTCAGACCTACATAAAAGGAGACCAGAAATAGAGAAGCAAATATATAAGAAACAGCCTAGTCAAGACAGATTTCATGGTGAGACTAAGGCGATCAAGTATCTTATTCCTACTACTGTATTCTTAAAAACCAGTATTGAAATTTTGGTTGTATATATTCAGTTTGAAAATCTTCATAATGGAAATCAAAGATATGTCATGAAAAAGACAATTTCAGAACCCAAATTGATTACTGTGAGCTAACATATTTCAAGAACAGAAACTTCTATGTATTTCATTTCTTTGAGTCATGTATTGTCCAGAAGTTTATAAAAGAACTTGCAGGTATGAAACATGAAATTAAAGTCTCTACAGCTGTATCACAATATTATGGTATTTTTGTTAATTAATATCATTTATTTCAAACTTTCTTATCCAAATAGAGCAGGCTAAGAAAACTAAAAACTGTTTTGCTTCTAGTCATCAATATTATATTGTTTATTCCTGAAAAATCAGATATACGAATATTTCACTTTCTCACAGGGTTAATTTAGACTCTGCAAAGCATATATAAGTAAAACAACATGCTAATATACTGGTAAAGACAGTTAATCTAATCTAAATATATTTTTCAAGATAAAAATAAATAAACCTGGTGTAAATTGTATTTATTTGTTAAAAGTCAAATAATTTTTGACTCCCATTTTTCCCTAAAACTTCAAAATAGTTTTCCTAAATATCTTTCTGTATTTTATTCCTATATAATTTCTGTGAAGTAGGATTGGTTGAGGAAAAAAAAACAATTAAGTTAATTAAATGATAAAATGACCTCTAAAAACTCAATCTGCAGAGTTAAGTCTGACTGACAGCAACATTCTTATCAAAATTTACATCCATATTTTGAGACATAGATATCAGATACATCCATAACACTCCAAATTAGCATTCAGGTACTGACTTGAACATGACCTTTCATATGAACCTTTTGTTGACTAAGTGCGAAAGGTAAGCAAGAAAAAGCAGGTGGGACTGGCGACAGTTATATTTCCAAGTGATATGTCTCTTTTTCTATAAACCACTAGTGGAAGGAATATTACGACTTAATTTACCATCATAGCATAGCATAGCAAAGCTGGCTGAGGAATTCTGGGAGTTGAAGTCCACAAGTCCTAAAGTTGCCAAGGTTGGAGAGCCCTGCTCTGGAGGATGCCTGCCTCTCGGCCTTCTTGCTTTCTCTCCCAAGCATCATAAGCAGCCACTGCAGCAGCCCGAGTCGAGCTGGAGCTTCTTCCGACCTTGAGACTCCCAGCTCTGGCCAAAGCTTGCGTGTCGCGAAGAGAAGAAGTGCTCCCCTCGCGCTAAACCTGCATCCAATCCCGTGAGCCTCTCCCACCCGAGACCCTCTTACCGGCGCCTGGGGGGCTCCAGCAAACGCTGCTGCTCCAGGTAAGCTCGGAGCCAGAGCTTTTTGTTTCGGCGCGGCTGAGAACGAAGCAAAGCAGCTCCATTCGCCGCCGCGAACAGTCGCTGAGAAGTCTCGAGAAGCAGCGAGCGTAGGAGCATCGACGCCATCGTACCCGGGGGACCTTGATTTAGCGCCGGCCGGGAACTGGTGCCACTTCCTTTCTGGTCCGGCTGAGTTCCGGGCTCAGAGCTGACTTCTAGCGAATGAAACTTGGAGTTGCTATAAACGTGGCCGGTTCAAAAAGGTGAATCACTACTAGATCGCAGTTCTGCGACGCGGTCGAATGCCTAATACACGGAAGGTCTGGAAATTCAGGTTTATAAACTTTCCGCAATTACTAAGAGCTGCGTGCCAGTATCTACTTCCCGGGCTATTATCTGTACTGTAGCCAAAAGTACAAACGGCTACTTTATTTTCAACATTATGAGAATGTAAAAAGCGTGACAGTGGGGGAGCTACTGAGGGGATGATGATGATGATGATGCTTTTTTTTATTAATTTAAGAGATTTCAATAGTTTTCAAATAGTAACAAACTTGTCTGATCTCCAAAAGCTAAGCAGGATTAGACTGACTAATGTATTCAAGGGCTGGAAAAAGGCAAAGACCAACCTTTTATTGTATATATTTTTGCCAAAGAAACCTGCATGTTTACATTTAAGTAATCAGAATAAATTTCTGCTTCCCTTCTTCACCTACCACAAGCACCCCGGCTACAGAATATATATGATACAAGAGACATTCAGACTGAACCATAGCAAGCGTGTATTGAAGCCAAATTTAAAACAGACGTTGTATAAAAGTCCAAAACCTGCTGCAAGATTAAAACCTAAACACTTTATAAAGTGCCATTTTTGCTCCCTCTTCCCAAAATTCTTGGCAAACCTCGGGTTTTAAGGTTATGTCCTGAAAGTAGCTATTCTGAATGAAATGCATTTTTATGTCTTTTATAAGCAGTGTTTGCAGACCAATTCTAATTTTGCAAACCAAAAGTCAATACCATAGACCAAATGAGGGAACAGTATCATTACACATAGATTAATTAGAGAGCACCAAACTCAAAATGTTTTTTTCAACAGAGTAAAGAATTTACTGCCTCTTCTATGTCTGTTGTGAAAATTTTAATTTAATTTTGCCTCCAACTTGCCTCCAGAAGTTGCGAATGCTCCAACACTGGAAGTTTTTAAGATGTTGGATAACCATTTTTCTGAAGTGGTGTAGGGTTTCCTGCCTAGGCAGGGGGTTGGACTAGAAGACCTCCAAAGTCCCTTCCAACTCTGTTATTCTAATTTCCAGACTGGTGTATCCAAACTAGCAGTAGACAGTGGTAGCTCTGAATCGCAACTCATCTAACCCACCAAATGTAGCCGAGAGAGACAGATTACAGGACAGTGTTTATAGTTCAAAAGATATTTTTAAAATCTTGTTTCTTATTCTTAAGCCTTAATAAAAATATAGTAAATAAAATTGCTCGGGCATATCGCCTATGGCAAAAATAATGAAAAAAAAGGTGGTGGTTTTAATTCATGGGTAAGAATCCTAACAAATCTACAAAAAATGGTAACAGATACAATACTTTAGCAGACACTACAAAGGTATTTTGTAATCAGGAAACATTTAACTGAGGCATTCATTTTATCTAATCTTTAATTATTGAAATTATTTAGAGACTAGATTTTGTTTTTCATGGTTCACAAATGCTTTTGATGTCAACATTTTATTATTTTACATCACTTTCCAAGAAGGTAGAACTTTTAAAATAAAACACACGGTGAACATTGTGTAGGAAAATAATGTATGTGCAAATGGTTGGACTCAATGTGTAAGAACAAACAAGAAAATAACCGCTTAAATAGAAACAGTGATTTGAGATGCTGTGTAGAACTAAAGAAATAAAAGATGTTTTAGCTCAAAATAGAAAGTTAAGTAGTTCCAACTGCAAGTTTGTACATATCCAAAGAACAAAGAATACAATTCAGTGCAATGATAAGAAATTACAATCTCTTTACTTTTATGAATTACACTACTGTTGGTACTTTGTTCCATAATCTTTGAATCACTCAGGCTTACTTAAAATTTTATTTTTTAAGGAAAAAAAGCAAAATTAAAGCTAAACAACATTTTACACATACCTCTGGATAATCTGCTGACATTCTAGCAAATAATTGTTTTAGTCAATATGTACAGTTGCCAGAATGAGAGATATAGATAAATTAGGATGCCATTTCATCTGGCAAACCGCAAAAAATTTTTGGCTAAACGAAACAAGTGCAATTAGTTAACAATAAAGGTGCTGTATTTAATAATACAAAAACAATGAAAAACCTACTGCAAGTTACACCATTTTGTAGATTATTTGAAAAATCCGCGTTTGTCTTTCTATGCAAAGAGAAGTGTCTGTAAGATACCTTTACAGGGTGAAGACATTTCCATTTGCAAAATAATACAGTTCAAATATACATTATCATGCAAAAAAAAAAAATGTTAACAGAATGTTACAACAACTTGAAAAAAAAAGTCCAAGCATCCTTTTAACACTGTAATACGTTACAGTTTTTATACAGTGGCTGACGTTTCCAGTGCACGGGTCATAAGTCACCATACAATTCAGAGACAGGAACAAAGGGCTTTGTAATTTTTTTGAATTTCCTCACTGTCAGATCTTTTTAAATGTAGAAGCTAATTTTAGCGCCGAAACCAAAGCCAACTATTTAGTAGCCAAAAGGCTACAGTGATTGAATACATGATCATCTCCCTTTTAGCTCGTTCTTTATTTTCTTCTTCCAGAAGTTGTAGGCGGCGATTAAGTTTTATTATCTAAAAGAGAAAAATAAATATTAATATTTTCCATAACTACCTGAATGATCAAGTAGAGTCTGTCAATATAGTACTTCAATCCTGGAAGCCTACTGCTTTAACCAATAGAAGATCTGTTTTCAGTAAGATAATACTCCTGCCCTTACAACCTTAGTAATTTGGGTTACATTTTCTTTCATATTCCATATGTATGTTAACAAATTCATATTTTTATCACCTACATTTCACTACTTTATCACATCTTTTCTTGCAGGGAGCTACTGCAGCCATGGTGTATCAGTAGCACTCTGTTTCCATACATATTATTCTTCAGTATGTAAGTCCTTGAATTACAATTGCAATTGGGACTGAATTTCTGGTTGTAAGTTGTCACGGTCACAAGTTGAGGCACATACGTAACCTAACCTGATTTTATAATAGTTTTATAGTGGTCATTAAATGAATCACCACAGACATTAAGTGAATCCACAATCATAGAGTGAACACCATGTTCATAAGTGGAAATCCATTCTTTCAAACAGGTGTTTTGCCAGAAACTGGCAAAAAACATCAGAAATCATCATGTCACCATGGTATGGTGCAACTGATTGTAAAGATCAGCTGGTTGCCAAACAGCTGAAATGCAGTCATATGACCATGGAGGGATGGCCATACATTTTAGAATAGGCAGAAGTGCATTACAGGTAGAACACACCCATTTTGGGCCTGTCATAATTTTGACTGCTCATTAGTTGAGAATTATCTGTAATTGTTGCAATTTTGAATATTTACATGTACTATATGAATTAACTATATTATGTAAGGGTCACAGCTATAATAACAAGAATTTTAGATACCTGTCGTCTTAAAGAAGCAGCATCCACAACTGTCATATCTTCTGATGCTCCCTCTAATGATGTGTCTATATTTGAAAGAGTATATCTGTATGACAGAAAAAATACAAAGATTATTCAATGGCACAAAGAGGTGAAATATCATTGCACATTTTACCACCTGAAAATCAAACCTTAAAACATCATACAAAGTGGTAATTCAATGCAGCCTGGAGAAATGCAACTACTGTATAGCAAAAAAGAAAGAAAGAGAGAGAGGGGGGGGAAGAAAGAGAGAGAGAGAGAGAGAGAGAGAGAGAGAGAGAGAGAGAGAGATTTTCTGTGAAGTGAAAAATGCTTGAAGCTGTTTGAATTCTAGGTAAAATACCTAGAATTAATTCTAGGGTGAAATAATGAGAAGAATTTTGAGAAATAAATGCTAAAGGTATGCCTTTGAGAGTTAGTTATTGGTAATAGCCAATAAACATTAAAGACAGGTTGGGGTATACAAAACCCCTAAAACTAAATTATGATTTGTTTTAAACAATATCTGTATGTGTCGCCAGCTTTTATGATTTGTAAGTCATTATTTATAATATAGTATTATGTAAGGAAAGACACTAAAGCTTGCTAAGAAAACTAGCTAAAAAAAGAATGTATTAATCTTATGTGAAGAGTTACGTTTGTGATAGGCATACATATTCCATGTTGACAGTATGAGGATGAAACAGCAATGAAGATGTACTTCAATTTTGAAGTGACATACTGTATAGTCATAAGATTCTGAAAACCACATTTAGGTAGCCGGACAGGAGTTTTAAAACCAACATTTCAGCAAAATGTTACCAATTACATACATAAGCTCAGCATTAAGTAAAGTATTGATGAGACCTTCATCAATATATGGATAAGATATATAGGAGAGAAGCTTAAATTAATAAGATAGTAGAAAATAAATTTGGGCAAGCCAAGCCAATACAAAAGGAACAGGTGATAATAAAGACATCTTGATCTGAAGAAAAAAAATCAAAAATATTCTGAAAAAGAATGTTAATTCTTTTTGAAGTAATGGAAGTATTCTAAATCCTGAATAAATAATGCTACAGTTACTGCATTGTGATATAATATCAAATTATTCTACATAAATGTATCATAGATCACTGGAATCATAAAAAACAGGAGGAATCCTAAGTGCAAACCAAGGTCTATCACACTGGAAACTAAGTTTTAAAATTTAAATAAGTGAAAAAGTCATCCAACAAATCTGATACTGTTACACTAGTATTCAATAGAAGAACAATAAAAATAAGGACTGAGAAAATAAAATCGAAAAAGAAATTTAGGGGATCAAGCCTCTTTAGAGCACTCATTACAGAACAGTATAAAACACTGTATTGAGCAAACTAATTCAGGAACACCTTTGACAGTTTGCATAAAAGCTAACTAAATACAACTTTACCTGGCTTCATCGTGATGGCGGCTTGAGGAACTGACAGCTGCTGACCCACCACGTAACACTGGCCTAAGGCAAGATTTGTAGATATGAAGGAAATACAAGGAAAAAAAAAACATGGAGAGAAAAAGTAGAACAACAAAAAAAAAAGCCCTGAAGTCAAATTTTATTTCTATTATACTTGACATACAGTATTGTAATTACAAATCCTATTTATATTTAGAAAATATTCCATTTTATAATTTTATAATGGAATATTATATTCCATGATGTACAAATGATTTCCCCAGATTATGGTTATCTTAATCTAATTATGACAAATTTTATCCCATTGATTTCAATGGCCAATTCTACGTACAGGTAAATTTTATCAAAATAATTTCATTTTTACTCATCCTCAGCAAAATCTGGGCAAAGAGCCAAGTCATCAAGTCCATCTGAAATGCCAGCAAGCTGGCAGCCATCAGTATCTCAGAGGGAACTTTATTCCAGAAGGTAGGCAATACTGCATCGAAGGCAGACTTCTGGAGTCCCAACAGATGGCAAAGTTTAACTGAAGGAACCAAAGGACACCAACCCTGCCAAATTGAATCTGTGTGTTCATGCATCTATACCTTTTTATAATTGAAATAAAATCACTTATATATTACTGGTATTCATTCATTAACTCCCATTTTGCTTTTAATTCACATATAATTTCTAAAATTACCTGAAACTTTTGAGCAAGCTAAAGTTTTAATACAAACAATGAACAATGAACGCACATGCTCATATTTTCACTCATAGTGAGAATAATTTTTAAAAATACTATTTCAATTTTTTCCATAAAAATCTATGACATAACATTGTCATTTCCCAAGAAGTCTTAAGAGTAACAAAAATAATGGCCAATACAAATCGGCAAATACATCAACCGCTTAGACATCATGGGACATTTTTCTAAGACTTAGAGCAAACACTTAATATAATATTTTTTGTCTGACAAGTACAAATCATGAGCTAAGAACTGAGCTAATGCATGCTTTAAATAATGTATCACAGAATTCTGTTGAAAAGGCAAGAAACACAAGAACACTCATGTTTACAAGTAATTGGATGCAATTTAAACTAGCACTCTAAAAGGCATATCTACCATTTAATAAAAATTGAAAAGTAAAAATTCCAAGAAATGCTCCGGTCCACAAAGCCCACTTTGGCAACAATACAGAAGTTATTTCCCACTTATTTATTTTGAAAATATTTTCAATTTTCCAATCTAGCCTACAGGTTTGATAATTCCTAATGGTTTTGCCATCCAAGAACTAGGGCTACGCAAATCTTTGAAGGGTTATATTGTTCCAGGTTTCAGCAAACCTTTCAGGTTATTTTACAAAGCAAAGTGTGACCTTCAGTTCTAAGAGCAAAGCAACCATGATGTTCTGCTTCATAATGCTCCCAGTTGTTTTTTTTCTGCAGTGCTTACACTGTGAGGAAAGTCTGGGAAGATATTTTGGTGAGCATTGCAGGAGACAACTAGCCAGATTTTCTGTGAGTCTGTGGAACTTCCATTGAATCTACCCAATCTAAAGACATCTTGATACACCACTAAGATTTTCACGGTTAGATAGCTTCAGTGCACACTGAATCCTGCAACATGTGCCAAACCCACTTAGCTAGAAGCATTTTGGCCTGCACTGGGAAAGAAGACTACAGAGATTTTTCCAAAAGCACTGGACTGAATTGTTTCAATGTAAATTGTTTCACTGAGATAAAGAGAATTACAATATGTTGTTTCTACTACATGAATGTCATTTGAAGCATAGGCTTACCAAGTACAGACAAGGTCTAACCCTGCATTGCTTTTCAAGATAATTCAATTTAATTGAATTTAGATTGGCTAGATGCCACCTGACTGAGAAAAGAACATTAGTGTATTTTGGATATGCCAAATAGCCCAGCAAACTCTAGTTATTGAAAATATGGAATTATGTGCTTTTATGAAAAACAAAGGAAACTTCATTAACTAGCCGTGTGTAAATCATCCTATAAAAATCACAGAACGTATTTTGCTTGCTTGCTGTGACTTGCACTGCTGAAGAGTTGTCTGAAGAAGCGTGCTGAAGATGACAAAAAAGGATGAAGATTACCAAGGGACAATAATTAATCAATTCAGAGGGTATGGTTGGAGTCCCAGAAGAGGATTGAAGATGAAGATTAAAAGTGCATCTGCCAAAGGGAAGCAAGCAGATAACTAGCTGTTGCCATTCTGAACCAAGATCGAGGAAAGCAAAAAACTGTCATTGATCTCGCTAAGCCTTCTTTAACTCTCAAATTAGAACACAGGATGAAGAGTAGGGCATACATCTGTTAAGCTTGTATTGTAATCTGCACAACACAGGTGCTTAACAGTTGCTCTAAGATTAAAAGTTGAAGTTCATTTAACACACTAACTATCATGTCCATAGAGAATGAGGAAGATATTTTTTGCATGGAATTTATCTGTCAATTATACTTGCAAAGCTTAGCTGGATCTGAAACAACACTGAATGTATGTTATCAGGAGCTTGAATAGACAGAGGGCAAAACCCTGTCTTTTTCAAAATCATGCTGCTTCATTTTGCAAGGTTTGCATGAATGCTTTGGACACTATTTCCAGGTCTTTCTGCATGAGTGCATACAAATTCCATACATTTACGAAACAAGTTTTTTTTTAAGCTTTGAACTGCCATTTTGGTCATGAAAGTGTATTTTATATCGTAACTAGCAAGTCTTTGAAGAGTAAATCTGAAGGATTTCCAGTGTTTTGCACCCTGACTATGTGGCGGCTGCTCCTAAACTTAGTTTTACATGAAAAGAAAGGTTAGTTCTACAATGGGGTCATTTGAAGAGCAACATAAATCACTGCAACATTTACTGCTTCTACAAATTGATAAAATTAAAAATATACATTTGACAAAAAGAAAAAGGGATGCAGCTAAACACAAATTCGCAAATGGAGGCATAAATGAAGTTGCCAATCTGAAGTCGTTCTCCAGCATATACCTGAGACATTTTAACATGAGATGCTGGATAAAGAAGGACCTGCATGCAGCAGCTACAGGTTATATCTAAGATATGGCCCCATTTGCTTTTAGAATACTGATTTGTTAATACAATTATCAACTCATTACTAACAAAACTTTAAGTAGTACCACATCAAGTATCAATAGTCAAGAATAGTTTCCTTCATTTTAAACATAAATTTTAATATTCTTTGCATCAAATGCAGTATATCTTCCAAAAAAGAGAAGCATATTTAATCTTTAGTTTACTCTTATATAAAAGCCAGAAATACTTCAGCTCAGATTTAGCCCATCTACTTCTTAAAGTCACATTTGTCCTTCTATTGTATCATATTCAAAAAACTCTTATTGTCCAGCTTTTCTATAACCCTAATATTTAATGGGACTTTTTAGACATATTTGACTACTGTATTTCTACCACCAACAAATAGACTATGTTCTCTGAACAACTTATATTAAATGTTAAAAGAATTGCATCATACTTTTACAATGAAAAGTATATCTAGAACCAAAGGTATATTGAAAGGTTTGTAATGAAATATACATTATAAAACTCTTGCTGAAGCTACTGTGTTTTCCCGAAAATAAGATCATGTCTTATATTTTTTTGAACCCTGAAATAAGTGCTTGGCCTTATTGCCATGTGCTTCAAAAGCCTGATTGGGCTTATTATCAGGGAATGTCTTATTTTGGGGGAAACAGAGTAGATATATAAATTGTGGACAAACATTACAGGAAGAATTTATCTCTTAAATTATCCACTAATACAGCAGTTCATTATGAAAGTTTCTGACATAACAGTAACATACAAATTATAGATGTCTAAAATACAAGGCAGATACATTGAATTTTTTTCAAGATAGCAAAACTTGTATCATGTTCATAGTGGAGTCCTAGATTTTCCGCCTAAGATCAAGTTCATCAAAGAGAGTTTTTGAGAAATGTTAGAAAAAGAGCTTATCCTATGATTGACTTATTAGCCATGATAAACAATCAACATTTTAATTGACAATAGAACATACTATAGTTATTCAAAGCATGGATGGGATATGCAGGAATCAGAAAATATTTTAAAAGAAAAATAAAGCAGAACAAAAACGAAGTTTTAAAACTACTGTTAAATAAAATAATATGCTTAAATAAAACAATATGCTTAAAACAGCAAAAAAGCAATTCTATAGATAAAAATACTGTAAAAGAATCAGCAACTGTAGCCATGCAAGTAATACCATATATTTTCCAAATTTCACATTCCTGCATGCAAATTTTAGAAGTTTAATTTTACCCTAAAGATGGGTTTAAAAGAAAATATGATACTTGATTTTTAAAATTATATTTGAGATAAGTTAGAAAGATAAATTCTTTATTTAGATTTTTGATTATTTCTCAAGGCCTTATTATTACTTGGTTCAATTATGTCTAATAGATTTATAGAATTTAAAAACATTATGATTCTCAAAATTTTGAGAAAATATTTAAGACTCATAATCTGAGAGAACTGAATGTACCTACCTCTGTAAAACATAAGCAAGTATTGCAGTTAAGTTTTACATCTGCAAGATACTTAGGTTTTAATATAGACATAGAGTGTGAATATTTAAATAAAACCACAAAAATTGTTGGTGTAAAGAAAGTGAACTGTTTTGATATATGGCACAATAAAGTTCTAAAACAGAGTAATCTTTAAAGAAATATGTTCCAATAGAAGTGTTAACAGGTTGTTCTATTGCTCTGGAGAATCATTATAATCTCAACTGAAATAAAAAAATCAGTGACTAAATCCTATATTGATTCCAATTTGATCTTAAAAATGACCATAAGAACAAAAGTTGCTAAATAAAAGCTCTGCTGACATAACAGAATGCAACAGAATACCCGATCCTTTGCTCTGGATTCATAAGAGAAGCCTAAACATTACTGGATTCAAAAACAGGTGCAGCTTGAATGAAAACAGGTTCTTTTGGTACAGAAAAATTTAATTAATTATTTGGGACAAATGGAAGTAATAGCTCTTACTATGTAACAGGTATAGGCTAATATTTGACAGATTCCTTATTAATTAGTTGGCTGACAACAGGTTAAAAAAATAATTTTGAAAGTCATGCATATAAACTGCATAAGCTGTCTTTTCCATGCAACTTTCAGGAAGAAATTGCTATAGGCATTTTTTTTCAACAAGAATTATAGATACTGCAGATAGTGATCAAATAAATTCAGCATCATACTTTTAATATGCTCCCCTTCAATGTTAATGGGTTTTGATTATCTACTTTTTTAAAAAAAATCTATGATTACTGTATTATGAGAAGAAAATATTTTATACTCTCAAAGTCAGTTAGAAATAATAAAAGCTATTCCACTGAATTAAGAGAAAATAAAAGAACATATCTTGGATTGTGTAGCTGTATTTAGTTCCCTATTTCCCTTTTCTACTCAGGAACAAAAGAATTTTAATTGGCTATTTAAATGTTCAATTTGTCCAAATAAGTGATAAAACTATCCATGAAATGTGAATTTTGGAAACGTCATTCATAGATCATAGAAAGAAAAAGACATGAAAAAATATTACTTTTATGCTGTGTACTTCTTTAAAAAAAATCAAATTTAATAAACTAGAAAATTAAAAGGAAGTAAAAAGCAGTAAATTGGCAGAATCTGTGATGGCCAATCACCTGCGGTTTTCATCCAGCACATCCAAGACTTGCTGGTAAGCCCTACGAGTAGAAGACTGGATAAGCGACAAAATGCCCCGAGCAGAGTAAAGACTAGGTCCATCTTCAGAAAACTTTTGGGGAGAGCAGACACGAACCTGTTGAGGTGATGGTGTCACACTGTTTTGCAAGCATAGCAAATGAAGAGAGAAACACTAGTATCAGGTTTCAGATAGAAAAAAAAGTTTTCTCTACCAATCCTTGTTGAAAAATTAAGTTGGTCCCAGTTTTTTGCACCTCTACCATAAATAAGTAAAATATTATCAAATAGAATTTCAATGGAACCCCAAATCTTCAGTAAAAAAGCACTTTAATTAGTAAAGAATCTACTATTATTAAGTAGATATTTACTAAACTTATTAAATATACAATAGGTATGATAAAATACAATTTTGTTTTCAAAACACAAACACAAAATCACTAATGAATTCCCAAAGATAGATTCTGACCTACTGTATTGGAAAACCTACTGAAATTCTTAACATTTAATTCAGTTATAATTACTCTATCAGAAGATTGATCCTAGTTTTTCATCTAGATCAGATAACTGCCCTTCCATCTCAATGGGAGAGAAGAGAAACATTTGCAAGATAACGCAACACATGTAGTGTTCTCTCTTTTTTATAGGAATGACATACTGCAAAGCATGTGATTTTGATTAAAACCCGCTAAACAATATAGGCTCGAATATTGAATAATTTTAAACTGTAGAAGGGAGCTATTCTGAAACTGCTCTCAGATATGAAGTTTAGATAAAAAACTAATGATATTTGTTTTTTTTACAAAATAAATAAAGCTTTGTGGAAATTATGAAAATAGACTTCAAAAGAAACAACTAAGACAGCAGAGGTGCTGATAACTTCTAGACATATCCCAAATAAGCAAAATATATTCAAGCATTTATTCTGAAGCAAAATCTTTCAAAAATAATGCACAGAATGGAAACTTGCTATATAGGTATTTGTAAATATTTCTATTAGAGATCCTAAACTGAAACTACATTTTATTTTTTGTACAAAGTGATTCTGGTCCATAAACTAAAATTATATTTACCGTATTTTTCAGAGTATAAGACGCAATGGAGTATAAGATGCACCTTAGTTTTTGGGGAGGAAAATAGGGAAAAAAAATTCTATCTACCAGGTATTCATGTGGCTGGTCCTTAGCCTGGTCAACTTCAGCACATTAGTTCTGGTTTTGAGGTTGGGGCGTCAGCTTCAGCACATTAGTTCACTCACTGGTTTTGAGGTTGGGGCTGGTTGGGGCTAAAAAACAGCTTCTAAAGCACAGCTGATCATCGGAGGGAGCTCCAGTGATTAAAGCAGGCGAAGCGTGGAAGGGGTAAGAGAAGGCAGCAGCTGTTCTGGGTAGCCATTTTGGGCACCGCACGTCACATTTTCAGCCTCCAAACGTGTCACATTTTTGGGCGGCTATTGGCAGCAATGTGCTTTGATGATCCCCACAGCCTTAAAGGGCTCTCAAATGGAGTGTTTGGAGGCTGAAAACGTGAAGTGTGGAGCCCAAAAACACAAGCCATTGTTGGTGGCAATCTCTGCAGACAGGAAGAGGACGTGCGGAGGACGGAGGGTGGGGGCCAGGTTACATTTGGAGTATAAGACGCACCCAAATTTTCAGCCTCTTTTAAGAGGGTAAAAAAGTGTATCTTATACTCCAAAAAATACGGTAAATTACATTTTGAAATTATAGCCGTATGAAATAATGTCAACAGCTTCTATTCATGTTTTACATAAAAGTCAAACTTGAAAAGCTGCCAGCACAATCCTGAATAATATATAAATGAAAACAAGAGCATTCTTCCAAAGAAATAAGCTCATTTTTGTGGATTTCTCTGATCTTATGACTTTGAATATCATTAGCAGCTAACTATTCAAAGCAAAATACAAGGTCTACAGATATTTATGCATTTACTTTAGGATTTATCTGAAAGACTATATTTTCTTAGATAATGGCTCTTGGTTTACCTTAGATTGAGAAAATGATAACAGAAGTATTTTTTTTAATCTTAACTTTTTATTGGGAGGTGTGGTTCAACTTAAATTCTGGACTATCTTCCTTTCAGGTAATTGTAATATTTATATATTCCTTTTCTGGTGACGGACAATCTAACCTGTCCATTTAAAATATTTTTTAATCAGTTAAATTTTATGAATTCTTAAAATGTATTATAATCTTAATGTCTTTTTGATATCAGACTATGATCTATTTGTTTTGAGGTCTAAATTACACTGGAGCCTCCAATATTCTTTCAGCTAAGTAGATTTCTTTCTTTCTTTCTTTCTTTCTTTCTTTCTTTCTTTCTTTCTTTCTTTCTTTCTTTCTCTCTCTCTCTCTTTCTTTTCCTTCCTTCCTTCTTTTCTGTTAAATTGGATTGTTTGTATATTTCCTGCTTTCCACCTGGAAAATTTTGCTATCTATGATCTTTAAAAAAAAAAAAAAAGCTCTTGGCAATAGATCTGGCTGGAGGGACAATGACTCCTTAAATTTCTCAGTATAGTAACCTGTTATAAATTTAAAAATGCTTTAAACTTGGCCTCACTTGTAGCTGTGAATAAATGAGTTTGTACATTTAAAAATCCCTAAATTATTGCTTTATTATCACAAATATTTTCCCATGAGCCTCTGCAAGATTGATTACTGTAAATACATATAGTGTTTGAAACCGCAGAAGTCTGACATTACAATTCATAACAAAAATACCTCTGGGAGCAAAATAAATGAATTTATGTTAAACCAAGTAATTGGTTCAGTACCATTTATTTTGACTGGCAGTGGCTATCAAGAATTTGAGATTTTCCCCAGCTTATTTTCTTTGTGGAAAGTGAATGTTAAACCCAATACAAACAAAGCAATGGGCATTTACATAAAGACACTTACGAAGAAACCATATTAATACTAACATAACAAGTGAAATCAAATTTCCCATAATTGTGGAAATTAAACATATAAGCATATATGTAATATTTTTCAGCTTGAAGTTCCAAAAAAATAATGTTATTAACATGCAAAACAAGACTGCACAAAACTATTCTACATTTATCTTTTCCATTACAATTGTATTAACGATAAAGCTTCCATTTTTATTTATCATTAGTTTAATGTAGCTAAGATCTCTAAAATTATTGTACAAAGCCAACCATTTCACATAATTTGCTGACAACAGATTAACATTACAAAACTTCTTTATATGTAGATAAGGTACAACATATTGAAGAAATAAGTCTGAGTCTACACACGTGTATGTAATATTTGCAAAGAAACTATGGCCATAAAATCTAAAGTGTATGGCCTTATTCAAAAGCACTGAGACCCAAAGACTAATGAATCAAAGATATGATTCAAATTACATACACTGCATGTTTCTAAACTGACCTATATTAGGCATGTGATAGAATATTTGGCAACCATCAAGTCGCCACCTTTAATTACATATAAAAAGATGGGATAAAATATAATAACAGCCCTGAAAACTTGAATAGATACATCTTATTTGTGGAAAGGAAAATATATCTCTCTTCTATCCCAACTACTTACTATTTATGAAGAAATTTCTCTAATCAGGATATAATATTTATTGGGGAGAAATAAAATCCCAGAGTTCTAGAATTTACCCACAAGATGAATTATGTTTATATCTGATTTTATTACACATACACATGCACGCCATATATGTATGTGTGCAATATAATTCAGTAAGCTTCATTTCAGATAACATAGGTAAACAAATGTTGACAGTAAACTGTGAATAATCAATTTTTATTGAACATACTTGTATTTCATTTTTAGCTATAAAAGATGACTGGTACTATGACATTTTTATTTTCCAGTCAGTCTCAATATTGTGCTATCACGAAGAACAGTTCTGATTATTGGAAAGTGTTTTCTTTAAATTAATTAGCAGAAAAGGCATCATGGTTGCTTATCACTTTTTGTATCTAGTTATTATTAGTTTGAGGGAACATTTAAGTATCATTCTATGTCAAAAGATAAGTAAGGCACTTACACACACCACTATGGGACAAGTGCAATGATGACAACATAAAAGTAATATTCATTAATAGACAAAAAAATGGAACTAAAAAATGGAACTAAAAAACTCTTCTAAGCTGATAAGATTCGGACACAGAATGTTTCATTATTACAATTAAACTGCTACAATTGCATATAGTTAATTTACTAGAGCACAAAACAGTTCCACCTACAAATATATATATATAAGCATCTCTAACAAAGGAAAAGCATGGATTTTTGTAAAAATGCTGGATAATAAATTAGGACAATAAAGGTAACAGTTTATATATTTAAAACTAAAAATTAAAACATCAATAAAAACTTAAGGCTTTTGAATGCAGCCTGTGTGAAATATCTAATTCAAATAATAAGATGTCAGGTGAAGAAGAGAATTACAAGAACTACTTGCAATTATTCAAGATGTATTTAGAAAATTTATATAGTTGTGAATCATTTACTTGCAAAAAAGTGACACCAATAGAAAAAATATACATTAGCAAATGCAAATGAGATGATGCAAATTTAGAAATAATATCCAATCCTTACAATGCAATATAATATACCTCACCCCAATGTAATCAGTTGACTGATATAGCTATTCAGTTCAAATGCTGTCAGCTGGTAGGCAATCTCAAGATTTTTACTTTATTATTTCATGGTTCTTTATCTTTAAAATTGGTTTTGACTGGACAAATTTTTAGAATAATTGTCATCTAACATAGGGATCCCAACCCCTGGTCTGTGGCCTGGCACCAGTCTGTGGCACACAAACAATTGGGCTAAGCAAACAAGCAAAGCCCCATCTGCGGGATGCAGGCAGCACACGAAATCATGCCCTTTCCAGGCCACAGAAAAACTTCTCTCCATGGAACTGATCCCTGGTGCCCAAAAGGTTGAGGGCCGCTGATCTAACACATCTTTTATTTATGTATCTGGAATGTTTATCCTTTGAATATAACATCTTTAAATATGCTTCATATATTTAGTTAGTTGCTTCATCCAGCTTCCTCTTTTTCCCCAATTGCAGGTGAAAGAAACAAGATGGAAAACCTTTAAGAAATTATTCAGGGGAACACCTATTAACAGCATATTGGAGGCACATTTTTAAAATGGCTGCCATGGTAGGATAGCTTACATATTCATAAATGGTTGTCATGATAAACGCAGCCAGTCAGAAAACATACAAATTACAAATCAGGCTCCCTCTGGACATCTATAACTTCCCTAACACTTTTGTTGTCTTTATTGGGAAAGTACTTGCTTCTCCAATAAGCCACCAGGCTATCAATATCCACTTTTTATTTTCTAAAAATGAATTTGTGGGCCATATAGACATCCTTGGGAGGAAATGGAATTAAAGGTCCTAGCTCTCCTTTTTATGTAATTAGAACATCTAATAATAAAACAACGAATATACTGGACACCAAGATGGTACCCTTGATTTAGGTATGCTTTAAAGATTAAGGTTGCAATATATCACAGGACTTCAGACATGTAGTTTATTTAGTTATTAAATTTGTTTGCCGCCCAACTCGCTGCATTATCCCAATGCAATGAAGAGACTTATGAATGCTTAAGTTATCCTAATTTATTGTTATGAAGCAAAAATATGGATGCAACTGCCTAGTATCATTCCTTGTACATTAAAAAATGAGAGCAAAGAAATCCAAAGAATTAAAAATAGCAACTGGTAGCTCTTTAACTTTTTCGTTGCATTATTTACAAACAGGTAAGATCAATTTTGAGCCTCAAGGCTAATATCAAAGGGCTGTAAATAGATCAAAAAAACACTTGAAAGCATTTCCTAATCAAGAACTAAGAAAAAACACAGACCAGGTTTCATTTACAGATACATTCATAATCCTTTTCTACTCACAGTGCTTCATTTCTCATCAACTGGCCATTCTGACGAGTTGCATTTTCACTCATGGAACGTTCTCTTTTCAGCCTTCCTACTGACCGAATCTGCCAGAAAAAAAAGAAGAAAAGGAACAAATCAAAGATAGTATTTTACTGTATTAATAGCATTAATAACTAGCTTAATGTAGTAGGCAAGTGATTTTGATTAATGCAAGCTTTTTAAATAATGGATTTTCTGTTAGAATGTAAGAGCTTTATTTCATACAATGATCCCCTATATTTTATCCATCATGATTTTGAAAATGTGTAATTCACAAATAACTTTAACCCAGATTCATATACAATTAAGTGTGTAGTTTCATATATAATACTAAGCATTCAGAGAAAGTTCAGCTTATTGGAAATGAATAAATGTTCTAGTACACCCTGCCTGATTGTTCCTGCTTGATTACTCCTGTAATCTAGAACACCTAAGTAAGCAGGAAATCTCATGTAGCATTTCATATAAATCAAGATTCCCAATGCTGAGGAATATGGAGATAGCAATGAAAAAGAAATCCAATGACCATTATAGGATATTATCTTAGGAAGGGATGGAAAAAAACCCTCTTGATTACCCTGTCCTGCTTCTCTTTGATATAAAAGAAAAAAAAAAGAATCTTCATCAGATTTCAAGGTTCTGCATTATATTCTCTAACAAAAAATAAAATAGAATTCTACTAGTTCGTATCTATTTCCAGATCCAGTAAATCTCGATCTGATAGCTTCTTTTCTTCTAAACTTTTATAATTGTATAAAGCCAATAGCAATTCTTCAGACTGTTTTTATAGATGGATATCAAGATAAATCATTAAATAAAGTATGGGCAAATAAAAGTTTTATGAGTCAGTTATCAGCTCTGTACTTAGAAACTGAATGTCACTCATGCATAAGCACTTAAATCCTGAATTAAATAAGGGCAATGCCAGATAACTATAATTTATTGTGAACCCAGTAAAGATGGAGATTAAGATGATATGCCTGTCAGGCCCAAAACCAAGAATGATACCGGTACATAGTAATTCTTCCAAGCTGAATTGTTTCACACCTATAATGCCAGACTAAAGACTCTAGTATCTGCACCTACAATGTACTTGGTGAACTATTAGGGAAGGACTGTCTTGACCTCATACATATCTGGGCTGAGTTGCCCCTTCTCCGTCTAGAGTACACCCCCTCCCTCCTGTCCTCACTACATTCCATCACATCACCTTAGAATTAGTGAATTAGTGCCCTGTATGCCTAATTATATATTATTACAGCTATCTAAAGTTTAACTCAAAAAAGGATTTCAAGTGCTACTTTAGGGTATTAAACTTTGGCACATGGAAATAAAAATGGATGAACAATTGTAAAGAGTGTGAACGATGACATAGCTCTTACTTTTATTACAATTAACTCACCAGGATGGTCTCAGAGTAACCTGTTATATTCTGAACCTCAACCTTCCATATTAGTTTGCAAAAACTAATATAAGATCATCTTTGAAATAATGTACAATGATATATACTTTCAACACTAGTAATCTGTGTAGAAACTATAGTATAAAGTTATTAAAATGACTAAAATTATTTGTGACTCCTTTAACTTAGAAGTCTGTTTCTGTTAACAAAGATATATCAAAACATTTAAAAAGCATACATTAATTTTCTTTCAGCTTCTTAATCTCAACAGAGCTCTTTAAACAATGTTATTAACATGCAATATTATAGAAGGAATACTAATGAAATGAGAACAAATAATCAGTTTATTTTATACACTCTGATAATATCTTCACTTTTATTCAAGATTCATATTGAATAAATTTTATACTCTGTGGTTTTCAGGTAACGACCACATATTCAATGACCCTTGAAGGTTATGCTGCTGCTGAATGAATGGTGGTTAAAATTGTTCTCAAACTTCTAGTCATCCTGCACCCTCATGGTTACATGATCATGATCTGGGTGCTCGGCAACTGGTTCACACTTATGAAGTTTGCACCATTCCATGTCACATGAGCATGGTTTTCTCTTCCCCCAAAGTCAATATAGGGAAACTCACAGGTAAGGTTGCAAATTGTTCGGGGAAGTCTCCCCCACTTGAATACACACTCCACAGCTCCTCTGTGCTTGTACCATGCCGCCACCTGCACAGCCTCTACACTTTGCTATGCTTGTGCTGTGACTCCCTGGCCACCTTCACACCCTCCTCAGCCACTTGTACTTCACCCATCCAGCAGCATCCACTCACCATGCTAGTGCCCTGCTTCCCCCACTACTTGTACTACCTTGTGCACCCTCCCCCATCAGAAGTCAGTAACCTACCTACCAGCCTGCTTGCAAATCTCCTAGGACTTGCAACTTCTTGTGGACTTCCCCACTGACTATGCTTGTTGGAAGTTGGCAGGAAGTTTCAAGTAGTTGCTTGTTTAATGACCCACAATCCTCACTTAGCAACTGCCACAGGATTTCAGGGATTGCCATGGCTAAGCAATGCAGTTGTGTGACATTGCACTATATGATTGCATCAGTTAGCGACATAAATTCTGGACCAATTGTCATTGTAATTCAAGAACCCTCTGTATTCTGAATAGGATTATTATGTAGAACATTTTCAATGTTTTGTTTTTGGATTTAATAAAATATTAAAATATAATATTAGCAAAATATGATACTAGCAAGGAAGAAAAGAAGTATACTAGCCTCTTCATTCTGAGGAGTGTGAGGAGGAGGTCTCTCTAAGTCCAGAAAATCTAGTGGACGATCACTAAGTGAAATAACACGGGGAGGAGTTTTCAGCGACAGAGACTTGAATGGAGTTGACTGTAGAAGATCTAGATCTGGGGGTCTAGAAAGTGGAATGTCTTCACTATTACCTGAAAAGAGTTAAGTTTCAAGTCAATAATACATTAAGTTTTTCGTTGTGCTGCAATGGACTGCAGAAACATGGTGCTTTATATTTAATTTCAAGTAGAAATTTACTGAGAGATCCAAAGCATAAGATCATGTAGTGATTGTAGGCAATGTTTTTGGAATCACTACATATTTGTTTACAGATAACATTTTTAATAATATACACAATACACTATACACACATGTATAATATGCAGTAGATAGATACAGAGCTGATAAAAGAAAGAAAGGGGTTTAACTATTTTGTGTCATGGTTTGCATGGAAAGACTGGTGAACTCTATAAACCCCTCCTCAGAGAAATGTATTTAAATGCATAAAAGACATAGACCGTATTACAAAATAAATCAGTTATGCTTAAATATAATGACCAAAGTATTAGAAAATAAACATATAATACATTTGAAAAGAGTTGTGATTCTTTTTCCATTGAAATTCATGAAAGCCCCGAAATCTACCATAAGGATAATTAGGTTAAAGCTAAACATTTAAAGCTAAACATACCTGCCACTACAATCCGCTCTGGCACCTGCATTGTTACACTGGCATTTGGAAGCCCTCCTTCAGGACAACTTTGCTCAAGGTCAGCATTTGGTGGTGCTACCTTGAGTTTTTCTGGAACTCTCATTCTCTGGTTGATCCCTTCGGTATATTCAATTTCATACTGAATTCGATTCATTTCTGCCATTTCGGCAGCTGGAGATGGGAATGCTGCTGTGCTCATCCTAACACAAGATGAAACAATTCAAATTATATATCAATAGTAACATGCTTTTAGTGTACAGTGATTTATATTGCATATGATAACAAGTTTTTCTTCAAAGTCTCTTTTACAATACATGTTTATTTATTGTAGCCTATTAGAAATATAAATTTCTGCTAGAGATGTCCTTTCTATTAATCATTGGGATCTCAATGTTATATAGGAAAATCTGCACATCATCTGTTTTTTGAAGAGTAGCATGAAATATTAAGGAGCAAATTGCCACTGCAGAGCAATCAATTTAGAAACATGATTAAGATACTAACATCACAAATCTTAAGCACACTAACGGCAGATAGATTGTGGCAAAAACATTGACATAGTCTATCTATTGACATATCACAACTCTATGAAAATCTATTGTACAGTTAAATACATTTTGCAAAAAATAAATATATTTTAAAACTCTAGAAAAAATTAACAACCTAAGATAAGGATTAAAAGTAGGGGGCTATGCAAGGAATAGAATGGAATCTGCAAGAAAAAGGTTTCCATCTTTTGTCTGTTTTCTGAATCTTGGCATGAAAAAAGATATGAAGAAAGACTGCTATGGATGACTTAAGAAAGGAGACTTATGTTAGGTACTACAATATAGAATCTGTATCTCAAAATCAGGCATTTTCATTGAATACCAAAACTAATGAAAAGTCATAATATGCCTGGTACCAGATGACAGTTGTATTCTAAACTAATTTAAATATCCAGGCAGTTTTAGAAAACAGCTTGGTGTACACAACTTTGCAAAATTAAAAAGGAAATTGCAAGTTTCTAACTGAAATATTAGCTATGGTTGGTAAAAGGGAGCATGCATTAAATTTCACTTCAGTCTTAATTGACAATGAAAGACCTAGAAATACTCTCAAGCTATTGACTTATTCTTTCTAAAGAAAATGTAACCAAATAGATGGAATTCTTCTCGTACAGACTGTGAAATTATTCTTTAACCTTCTATCTCCTTTGACCTGAGCTTCAGTCATTGGCAACACCCACTCCAATACCATAGCCATCAGCCCTGTCCTCCCTTTCCCAATTCAAAAGGAAAAACAGAACTGTACAAGTGAGCCCTAGACTTACAACCATTTGTTTAGTGATCGTTTGAAGTTCCTGAAGCACTGAAAAAAGGACTTATGAACAGTTTTCACACTTACGACTATTGCAACATCCACAGGGTCATGTGATCAAACTTTGGGCACTTTGCAACTGGCATGTATTTATGACAGTTGCACTGTCTTAAGGTCCCAGCTGGCTTCTGACAAGCAAAGTCAATAGGGGAAGCCAGATTTGCTTAACTGAGGTGATTCATTTAACAATTGTGGCAAAAAGGTTGTAACATGAAGCAAAACTCACTTAACAACTGCCTTGGTTGGCAACAGAAATTTTGGGTTCAATTATGGTTGTAAGTCAAGGACTACCTTATGTGATTTGCATACAGCACTGATTAAGCCACTCCAGTCTTTGCCCCATTACTTTATTGTTCCAATAAAGATGAAAAACAACATAGCAATAAACTGATCTGTACAGGCTTCTAAACTATTATGGAATCAAAATAGCTGTCTAGAGAGGAGCAGAACCACTTCAAAGCAATCTCCTCTACATCCAATTGTGTTAAGTCACTGTAGACAGATAGCAGATCAGGATTAACCCACTGAGAATCTGCTGCGCTAGAACCAGAAAAGGCTTAAATAAAATTAGATGTTTTATGAGATGGCCAAAGGTGCCTGATTAATATTACAAAAGACTAGTCTATATGACGCAGCTCAGTCGAGTTGCAGTATTTCTTGGAGCATGACTATTATGTGGTGCAAGAAACTGCAGCAAAATCTTCAGCAGAATAAAAGAAAATGCCTTTTATAAATATCCAATTTGCCAAAACAAAAGTTTTCCTTGTGGAGAAAAAAAATCACTACTATGAATTTGTTATAAATATATCCTTCAGGCCCAGAATACTATAGAATCAAACTATTGATTTAAATAATTTATAAAACTATCCATCTTATAGCAGTGACATACAAAGATTAAATATTAAAACCATCATAACAATATAACTCAGTATCCTAATGAGTTTTTGTTTCAATTTCTAGTCCTATTCAAACTGAATTTTGACCTGTTTAGCAGATTTTGAATTTCATTATTCATAATTATATGGAAGCTATCTTTATATTTGCAATGAAATCCAAATATTTCCTCTAAAAAGTTCCAAATAAATTTGAGATTCATTTGAACTATGAATTCTTTGGTTTTTTTCTTTTGATGATACAAGCAGAATACATAAATGTTTAGAGAAAACTGATTTTAAATTTCTGAAAATCACCTGGAAAAGTATTTCAAATTCTCATATTAGAACCAGTATTTGTCTACATACAAACAAGAGTGTTTTGGAAAATATAGTATATTGCTAAAAAAGGGCACTCAGTGAGAAAATCAATACAGCCAAATCAATAATGCTTACTTAAAATAAGTAAACTATCTAAATAACATTTCAGTGATAAGACATTAAATTGTTGCTGATCAGTGCTGTAGTCCTGCTTGGCAATGAAATACAAGCAGAAAATAAGCACAAGGTTTGATCCATTCAAGACTAGAGAGAAATGAAAATGATTAAAATGCCACACTATCTAAATCAGATTCCAAATTAGAGGCTCTGCAGAGTTATTTATTTTTAAAACATTACCACAATTATATAAAACTTGACTCTAAAATTATATTTACTATTAACTACATCACCTACTCAATTTGCACCACTTTAGAATCTGATTTTTAACCATTTCATTTAAAATTATAATACATATCTATAACAAAATTTAATGCATGCATGTTTCAGAATATCTGGGAAAATACAAAAAAAATCAGTTTCAGGATGTTCATTTTAGATATCAGCTTATGGATGTTATCTAACCTCTCAATTTAAGACTTATGTTTTTAAGACTATTTGACAAAAATGCCTTGTATTTAGAAAGATCTGGACTTTTTCATTTTCCAGATGGAAAACCACCTGGATTCTTGAATCCTACTACAGAAGAAAAGGTAAAAGTATATATAATTTTAATTTGGAAAGAAAGGAAATCTATCTGGCCAAAGAACATTTATGCAAAACAGTCACATTGTAAAATACATGAAGATACTACAACTACTCACTAGAATAAGTACAAATGTAATTCTTCAACTTTCACTAACCTTCCTAAAGGAATTTCACCCCTGGTTCGCTTGCTCATTCTGAAGTTTGCTTGCAATGTGTTAATATTACTACACTATAGCACTGTTTATTTTACAGAACAATATGATTATACAGTGGAATTTTTCTACATAAGACAGCATGACAATTGCTTTTCAAGCTGTAACAGGAAAAAAAAAAAGAACAGAAAGAAGTATTAGGCAGATTATAAATAAAATATTACTAACGACATTTTAAATGATATCTATGATTTATATAATATGAATTTGATAAGAATATGCCAAGCTTCCAAATATTTAAAAATTTACAAAGATTCAGAAATTTCATTTCTTTTTTAAATTCTCAACTCTGATTTTTAGAAGAGCGGAATTATAATTCATAATAAAGCTAGTGAAGATTTAAAACAGCTCCTAAATCTGTGAAAAAATTAATCTACATTTTACAAAAGATTATCTGTATCTAATTATGCCTAAATACTTAGTACTTGCCTTGTTCTAGGCTTTTATCCTAGCAACTGTAAAGATAAGATGCAGATTATAACTATTTAAGCATATGGGACAGGTAAATCCCAGAGAGAATACAATACATTAAATATATAGAGTTGGCTGTCTGTTTTTTTCTATAAATTATGTCACCTTATACAGATCACATTAAAATGAAGCACATGTGACATCATCTGGATTGTGATCACTATAGCGAGCTTAATCATCTAGCTTAATCATCACTTAATCATCTATCTATATACAGGTAGTCCTTGACATATGGCCACAATTGAGCTCCAAGTTTCTTTTGCTAAGCAAAACAGTTATTGAGTTTTGCCCCATTTTATGACCTTTCTTGCCACAGTTGTTAAGTGAATCACTGCAGTTGTTAAGTTAGTAACACAATTGTTAAAATGAATCTGGCTTCCCCATTGACTCTGTCTACCAGGCAACAAAAAGGGACCACATGACCCAGGGACAGTGGAACTGTCATAAATATGAGTCAACTGCCAAGCATCTGAATTTTGATCATGTGACCATGGGGATGCTGCAACAGTCATCAGCATGAAAAACAGTCATAAGTCATTTTTTTCAGTGCTGTTGTAAGTTTGAACAATCACAAACTGTTGTAAGTCGAGGACTACCTGTACTACTAAAAATCTCATTCCCATAATCTTTAACTGGGTAAAATGGTGCGTCATAGAGCAATACTTTTTGAATCAAGGAATTTCAAATAGCTTAACTTAAGAAAATGTATCATAAATCCAGGTTCCATGACTTGTGGAATTGAAATTTGGCAGCTAAAGGACTTGCTACCAAAGGATTACTTTCATATTTAAACTGAGATAGAAATATGTTTTCTTGTTCTTGATTTAACTTGAATTTTAAAGCCAACATCATGGTTTAGCAATTTATGTCAATCAAGACACTAGCTTCTGAAAAACCGTGGCTTAGCATTATATATGAACACAATCCTAGTGTGTTACTTTCTCCAATAAATGAAATTATAAAGCTAAGTATGTTCTTACAGAAATAAACCAAGGATCCTGATTTAAACATACCGGTAATGGTTTTTGTCAAATTCTCAGTTTACTTTTGTTGAATTCTCAGTTTACTGCTGCTCAAGAAAAAGCCCAGCTTCACTAGATTTCTGGATGTTGTGCAAACACAGAACCAGTTGATAGGCTAAAATAGCACAAAATCTCCACTACATATAGCCCATCAGATAATAGTTACAAAGAAAAATGGACACCACTCAATTTTATTTAAGTACAAATGCATTAGAATTAATAAGAAATATGAGGAATCTAAATATTGAGTTACAAAATTTTTGCTAAACTGGTATCAGAAATATAATTTAGTGCAGGGGTGTCAAACTTGCAGCCCGCGGGCAAGATGCATCACGAGCTGGCCACACCCACGCCCAGTTTAGCAAAGGGGGGAAAAGTCACGATACGTCATGTGATGACCATGTGACGATGCGAGTTTGACATCCCTGATTTAGTGGATTAGGACAGTCAACTATTTTGGTCTATTTCAAAAGGGGCAATGAGAATGGTAGAAAATTGTGATTTGTACAACCATACAAGATTCCTGATAAGACAATTCACCTATGTCGAGGTGTTGCTATTGCTAATATCCAATATCATTTATTTGACCAAGAATTGAACCACTAGAATGTCTGCTTTTCAATGTGCTGTAAGGATATATTTAAAACTCCAATCAGCAAAGGCTGAGATAGTTGTACGAATAGAATCTAAGTGAAAGCCAGTATTTATGACAATTCTGTATCTCCCCCTTCCTTCTCCCCTCCCACCCCATCAATTGTTGCATGTCTTTATAGTGGTTCTCAAAACTACATTCGATATTTCTGATGAAACATGTTGCTTCACAAAAATGTATTCAGCAATATATTTGCTACTCCTTAAGGTATCTCAGAACTCTGTTGTGCAGTTGATGACTGAATGGTAAATCCATTTTATCTAAGGCCTTTGTTTCTCACCCTGGTTAATAACAACTCAGGAATTTCCCAGCTGGGTAGGAGAGCAACAATCTTTGGCACAGGTCAGCACCTGGCGTTCAGTTGCATTCTGCCTATAAATATAACGGTAACAGTCGAAGCAGTGCTAAGGTGGGTAAATGAATTATAGCATCTCAGAGCTGGAAAGGCCATTTAGGTCATTAAGTCCAATCCTCTGTTTAGTGCAAGAATCCAATTAAAGCATCCCAGCCAGATGGTTCTCCTGTCCTTTCTGGCATACCTATAATGACACCCTTCACCTCTCTTGTTAATTGGTTCCACTAATAAACTGTTGTTCCTACTGTAGGAAAGTTTCCGTTAACCAGAATCTTGACTTCCTGGTTCCTTGAACTTAAACTTAAGTGTTTTCTGGAATGAGAAAAAACAGGTCTTTTTCTCCAGCCTGCATTCTTTTAGGAATTTAAAGAATTATCAAGCCGCCACCCCCTCCCCCCCTTCCCTGCTTCATTCCCAATGGCTTCAATCTCTCTTCGGGTTAGTTTTTTAGCCCCCTGATCTCTTAACCTGCTCCAGTTTCTCAAATTCTTTACAGAGGAGCCCCAGAATGGGTCGCACAGCCCTACGTGAGAATAAAATAAGTAAGATAAAAATCAGCAAACCCGCAAAAAGGGGGGGTGGGGTGGGAGAGAAGCAGAAAGGAGAAAGCGAAGGCGTTAACGTGACAGAAGATAGCTAAGTCTTACGCTTTGAGGGTGGGGAGGGCGGAGGGGAGCAACAGAGGGGCAAAGCTGTTGAAGCAAGGGAGGAAAAGGACCGCGGGGCCCAGCCTTTTGTGCGGAAGGGAAAACGGTACGTGAGAACATCTGAATACAGGAAGGAAGCCACCGAGGATTCCTATGCCAACTCCCCAGTTTTGCCCCACTGCTAATTCGGAGCGAAGGCCCCAAACCAACTCTCCCTTTATTTCTCACCCTGAGGCCAGCAGGGAGGCGGAAGCTTTGGTCCCAGTATCCACTCCAGCCGCCTCAGGCTCCGTTCCTCCGTCAGGGGCCGTTAGTGGCGGAGCACAGCGCGGAACTCAAAAGAAACAAAAAAAAAAAAAGAAGAAGAAGAAGAGAGAAATGGCCTAAATTGTCCCAAATGCATTGCCGTAACCGGCAGCCGGGAACGCTCCGTGATATATCGCGTGAGCGAGAAAGGGCGGAACTGGACCTTCAGCAGGAATCAGAAAGTGTCGCGGCCATCTTTACTATGGTTTTAGCTGGGTTGCCGCTCGCTTTGCAGAAAGTCGAAGGTTTTCTTTCTTTGGACAGTGCAAGGAGATGGGCGACGGCTGTAGAGCGTGGCTTCGTTTATTTTTGTTATTTTTATTTTGGATTCAGCTTTTTTTTTTCAGAAAAGGTTTAAATATCAGTATTGGAGTCTGATTATGATAAAGATCTAGAAAATCAGAGTTCCTTTAAAAAATAGTTCTGTTTTTATGTCGCATACAGATTTAGCCAATTGAACATTTATCTAATACATTAATTATGGTATTGTATCCCAATCTAGCTCAAGTTATGATTTAATGTACACTAATACAATTATATTAGTTCCCAAACGACACTAATTTTTTTTTAAAAAGGCTAAAAGTCTAGCCCAATTCCAATGAAGAAGAAAAATAAAAGATTCTTTTCAAAAGATACCAGCCTGGCTGCGGTGTTCCAATATCTAAGGAGCTGCCACAAAGAAGAGGGGGATCAACCTATTCTCCAAAGCCCCTAAAGTCAGGACAAGAAGCAATGGATAGAAACTAATCAAGGGAGAATCAACCTAGAATTAAGGAAAAATTTCCTGACAGTGAAAACAATCAGTGGAATGATTTGCCTCAAGAAGTTGTGTGTGTGCCAAACACCAGGTTTTTAAGAAGAGATTAGACAACTATTCATTTGAAATGGTCTAGTTTCCTGCTTGAGCAGGAGGTTGGACTAGAAGACCTCCCAGATCCCTTCCAACTCTGTTATAGTGTTATTCTGACATACGTGTGAATGCCTCACTATATGAATTCATTGAGTTCAATTCAATGTACCTTACTATGAATTTCAGCATACAGATAAATATTTCCACAAATCGTGCACAAGGAATCTCCCTTGCCTATAAAGACAGTTTATAACTGATATTTTATAAACAGGCATTAGGGATCCACTTGTACTGAAAATTTGTTTTCAAATTAATATGCATAATGCTACAATTATTTATTTATTTATTTATTTATTTATTTATTATTCGTATTTCTATGCCGCCCAACTCTCCGAGGACTCTGGGCGGCTTACAACAAAGACAGTATGAACAATATACAATAAGAGACGTTAAAAAACCCATACACACCATTCATGGCTGGATCTCACAAGATCGCAGTGGTGAGATCAACGGCCCCAAGCCTGCTGGAAAAGCCAGGTTTTCACCATTTTCTGGAAGGCCAGCAGGGTGGGAGCGGTTCTGGCTCAGGAGGTAGCTGATTCCAGAGAGCCGGAGCAGCCACAGAGAAGGCCCTCCCCCGCAGACCCACCAGGCGACATTGTTTAGCTGACGGGACCCAGAGGCGGCCAACTCTGTGGGATCTTACCGGTCGTTGGGAACTATGCGGTAGAAGACGGTCTCGAATTAAAGGTGAATCCTGTATATAAAATAATTCTTTTCAAGTTCATGGAGAGCATTCTTCACTTATCAACATAATTTAAACATACATATCTGGACTTAAGATTGTGTGATAAGGCAATGGCAAAAATGCCATGAAACAGGCTTGTAGATTCATTCTGAATATTTAACACAGTATTCGTCACACAATCCTGCTGGGAATGTAGCTCTCAACACATTTTCAACACCGCCCATACACAATTCACTCATAAGCTTTCCCTTTTCTCATTTGCACTATTTGTTGCTACGCATGGAATATTTTTTGCAAGGGAGTTGCTGCAAGGAGACTTTAAAATAGCCTCTTATATTAACAGAGATTATTGTAAATCTTTACTGGAACGTGATTTATCAAGAGGGACTTGTAATATTGTATGTGTGTTTGTATGTGTGTGTGAGAGAGAGAGAGATTTAAAATGTGCCCTCCTTTAAAAACTGCCTCCTTGTGTTGCAGTGAGGCTGTAAAAAGCTTCCATTGACATATATGGAAGTTATTTTAAAGCATTGAAATGAAAAATGGGGGATGCCTTCATTGATAGACAAAGATCTTATAAGAAACCTTTGAAAATGTTCATGTTATAAGGAGGCTTGCTGACCATGAGCCGCACAAAGTCAGGGAAAGGTCTATTGTCTGACTGGAGAAATGAGTAGGACATTAATCCTTAGTAAAAACAAATAAAATAGATACCTTGGGGAGAAAGGAGTGTAGATTCTGAAGAGGATGAAGATCTCTAGCTGTTATTAGGCCATTCAGGGAACATTTGGTGATGGGACTGGACCCTTTTTTGTCTAATTGAAACCTTTAAGAATACGGGTAGACCTTGACTTAACAACAGTTCATTTAGTGACCATTCAAAGTTACAACATCACAGAAAAAAGTGACTTATGACCATTTTTCAGTTACAACCTTTGTAGCATCTCCATAATCACATGCTCAAAATTCAGATAATGGGCAACTGGTTCATAGTTATGACCATTGCTGTGTCTCAAAGTCATGTGATCATCTTTTGCAATCTTTTGACAAGCAAAGTTAGCATGATGCTAACTTAACAGTTACAGTGATTCACTTAACAACTTTGGCAAGAAAGGTCGTAAAATGGGGCAACACTCATTTAACAAGTCTCACCTAACAACAAATTTTGGGCTCAATTATGGTCATAAGTCGAGGACTACCTGTACAGTAAATTGTTCTGTTTAACATAATTGATTTTAGTGAGACTAAAGCATTTTTAATTCTGATTTAACCCAGAACCACCAAGTAATAAATGAAGCTGCATTCCTGAGCCCATATTATTAGGAGCTGGAAATTAAGTTCACTAAATATAATAAAGCTTACTGGTATATGTGTTATCCAGTACAGTAGGAGACTGGTGGGCAAATGAAGAGTAACATTGGCAATGGCTGCAGTTGCAGTGAAAGAAACCCAGTGGCTATACATTCACTAAGCTTATTAAAAATTAATCAATTTCTTTTGTTTGTGCATTATATTGAATAGTTCAGGTTTCAAATGGACTGCATTGGCATAATACAATAGGTGCAAGGGAGCAATTGCATGCAACTTCCAGGGAAGGAGAGCTCTTACTCCTTGGAAACAGTTCCTAATATATGTGTTTTCTGGAGGAAGAGGGATACCACCACCAGAAGAAGCTTTAAGATTCTGGAAGCAGGAATGATCCCGAGGGGTGGGGGAGCACTTGTTGATTGTTTGTATTCTGTATATTGTTATATATTATATATTATGATTCATGTATGTTATGTATGTTAATTTCTTTTTTTTATATATATGTTAATAATAAAAAAAATATGGAAAAAAAAAAGAGCTCTTACTCCTTGCCACTGCTGCATCTGTCAAAATTTTAAAATTCAATATTTGGCAGGAAATTGGAACAAAGTTGTAGTCGCAAATTGTATTTAAATAAGCAACATGTTCTTATACTGGAAATTCCTTTCCAGATAGTAATAAAGTACAGCATTGCGCTGAAGTGAAATGCTGCAATTTCCCACTTCTTAGCCAAAGGAAGGGTGAATAATGAAGGTAGCAGTTTAGAAGCTTCATTCAAACATGTTCTATTTATTTTTAAAAAATTATCATTTAATATAGTGCCAAAATGTCAGTTTACATAATATTTGATTTGAATAATACATAATCCAATGATAGCTATTGACTCCATTTAGTAGTTGGAAAAGCGCAAGATCACAATTTTTTCATTTAAAAAATGGATGATACCATGGTTTATAATAGTAAGGCTCCATTAATACTAGTGTTTAGAAACTGGCAATCTTGTAATACATCAAATATTTTGGTCTAGTAGTTAAGGCATCAGACTAGAAACCAGGAACTGAGTTCTTTAATCCTGTCTTAGCTATGAAAGCAGGGGTGGGTTCTACTTACCTTTACTACCGGTTCGCAACGGGATCACGCGCATGCACGCTTCGCTTACACACACGCCTTGCTTCTGCGCATGCACAGAAGCTTCTGCGCATGCACCAAAGATGATATCCGGGGTGGTGGGCAGGGCCTCCCGCCGGTTTTACTACCAGTTCTTGCGAACTGATCTGAACCGGGCCTAACCCACCACTGTATGAAAGTCAACTGGCTGATTTTAGGTCACTCATTCTCTCAGCCCAACTCATCTTACAGGGTTATGTTGTGGGAAAAATAGGAGGAGGAAAGAGTATTAAGTATGTTTGCTGCCTTGAATTATTGATAAAAATAATAAAGGCGGGATACAAATAAGTACAAAAAAATTACATTCCAATACTTTCTTTTAAGATGGTATTTTTGTTTATTTTAGCAAAATAAAACAATAAAAACATTGCACTTTTCATTATTGCACAACTCTGATTTTCTAATTTTTAGTACAAATATTGTATTGTTGTAATACATATTATTAAAAGTTCATAAAAACATTTGGTTTAGTTTCAGGCTTTTTTTCCATGGGCAACAAAACTGGAACTTCATTTTCAGATGACAGTTCTGCTCAGTTGGGTTTCCTCATGCAGACTTGACAGCGACTAATTATTTTTTCCATATTTTCAGCTTTTAGAGTCTGTGGCACTGGTTTCCTTTAAATATAAATAAGAATAATATATTTTAAATAAAATAGAATTCCCACACTTTAAACATTAAACTAATAAATGCTAGATCAGTGTCAGTCACCTGTATTTAAATCAAAGTACAAAAAGTAAAAATAATAATTAGGACTATGAAGTGCTTTGCATTTGAAGAGAGCTGCTGTAGAGCATATAAACCACATGCCCTTAAGTGGAATTCCTCTGTAGTTCTTGAAAATAATGATTTTTCCCCCTTGGAGTCTTCAGGGTGACCCTGAGAAAAGTTATTGCTGATTAAATAGTTGATGGCAGGAATTTCACACAAACATCGTCCAAAGCACCTTTTTGTGTTTGAATCAAAAGCATTAGGTAGCCCTGACAGTAAAACAGTTATCATAAAACAGTGTATTTATCTATCAAATTTTGAAATCGCCCATCTCCCTCACAGAGGGACTTGCTAAATATAAGGGTAGGTAAGTATCAAAACAAAGATAAAAATGTCAGTTTTATTTGTGAGTTGGCCAAGTGGTAGCATATTACAGTACAATGAAAGAATGAACCGACTCATTTTAAGTTGCATCACAGAGAAAGTAATGTAAATAAAAATACCTGAACATTCTTCTTGAATTTAGTGTAGCCAACCAGAAACTGTAGGAATTTGAGTAGTAATTACATGTTCCTCGGCCATGACATTCAATGAATGGAAGGGCACGAAATTTTTCTAAGCATGACCCTGGAGATGCCAAAGCTTGTCCAGAAGCTTCTGAGCCTGCACCCGTATACTATAATGATAAATGACTTTAATAAAAATCTGGTTTGGTTAGTAATCTGTAGATAAGGAATACCAGTTTTAGACTTCCAATAATAATTGTATCTCAGAATATTAAAACCTCAAAGAATTCATCTGGGTTATTTTTACATAGCAATTGGTAGTTTTTGCTAATATTTGTAGCATAGAACAACAGAAATGTCAGATACTTTTAATAATGCATTCTTTTTTTCTTTGGGAACTTTTTCCCTTTTGGGCTGGAGTATAATCATACAAACATAAAATAGCCTTGTGGGGATTCTTGTGACTTTTAAATCTTACAAATTTTATTACCGCAGTTTTCTCCAAGAACAGTTATGATACATTAGTTAGTTGTTAAAATACGAAAGATTGTCTTCTATTTTTGTCATAATAATCTTTAAAATTTGTAAGCTAATTTAAATCATCTATAGGTTCAGTAATAATTTCCTTTTTGTTATTTTTGTAATTTAATGGCCTGTTGAAATCATTTGAAAAAGTACTTATCTGACTTTATGGTTAGTGCTAGGCTTATCTAAGCTATCAAAAAACAATATATGGTTATAAAAATACTCACATAGCCATAAAATACTTACATACCCTTTTCCACAAATTAATTTTTTAAAAAAGCTGCATCTGTGCCAGCTTTCAAGACAGTCCAGACAAGAAACCAAAACCATCTATCTACTACTAGTAAACTATAAATTACTATGTTCTACCTTATAACTCTTGTGTCTGTAACCTTTAATTGCATGAAAAGGTGCATCATAGAGCAAAATATTTTCAACCAACGTCCCTCAAATGGACTAACGTACAGAATGCATCCAAAATCCAGGATCCATGTCTCCCATGGAATTATCATTTTGACTGAACACTTTCAGAACTTGTTTTTTTTTTTAATTTCTTGCCTAATGAATCATTTATTTCAAACAAAAAAACAGTACTTTTATTTATTTATTTTTCTTCTTACCATAACAAAAGAAAACCCTTTCCAAAGAGATTGCCAGCCTTGAGGACAGGATGGAACTGAAGTTTTTTGACTGTGGACTGCTATCATCATTGCCGGACCTTCGCAGACAACGCATCTACAGGTAAGAGACAAACATATCATGAAGAAAAGGGAGAAACAAACTGCAGCAGACAAATGAATTTGGAAGAAAAGTGTTAATAAGTCAGGTGGCCAGCAGAACACATAGAAATGAAATAATTCATTTGTTATTCACCTTTTTACCAAATCACTTATGCATGTTGGTTTTATTTTTGGAAACCAACATTTTATCTGCTTAGTGTTTCTTATATAATGTTATGTATCAAATAAATATCTATATAGAAATTAGAAAGGGAAATCAAGTAGGAAAAATTACCTGCTAATATAGGACTCTAAAGCTCTTCCAGAAATTGGTGCCATATCTTCAGGCATTGGTGTTTCTGTTGACAACCAGTAGGAGTAATCATTGCGAGAAGCAAATCTGCAGACTGCTTGGGTATTACATAATAAAAAGGGCATAGTAGTAAATCTTGAAAGACAGCTGCCGGTTGTACCTGGATGATTCAGAAGAGAAGTTCTGGTGAGTTCAATAAAGTATCCTGTTATAGGTATGCTATGATGTTTATAATATTAGTAGAGATTAAATCCATAAAAGGTAGGGATATACTACAATAGAGATAATTCTGGGGGAGGAAATCTGAAAACAAAGGAGCAGTGAAGGTTTTTAACAGGGAAATATCAAAAGCTATGGGACGAGAAAACTTTCTGGGGTTAATTCCTTTGGAATTATCCTTGCTCTAGGTAAATCTTTTTAATTTACAATTGGAAGACATTCATTAAATTAAAATAGCTGTTAATGTGATAATGTTTTTTTTTTTCCTCCTCTTGGTGTTTTCTCAGGGATTTTGAAACAATCAGCTCATAGAGTTCTAAAACAGTACATAAAAAAATTAAAGAGTAATGCTTAAAGTTGCTGGCTCAAGGTTGTCTCAGCCTTCCATCTTTCCGAAGTTGGTAAAATGAGGACCCAGATTGTTGGAGGCAATGTGCTGACTCTATAAACCACTTAGAGCTGTAAAGCACTATGAAATGGTATAGAAGTCTAAGTGCTATTGCTTTTGCTGGCAGTTATTCTTGACCAAAATTCTAATTAACAGATGAAATTACTAAAAATAAAGTTCTTTGATCTGGACAATTCATATATACACTATCTTCTATACCCTAAAAGTGCTGCAGAGGGAAGATTCATCCTTAAGATGCAGATGTAGTCACAATTCTCTGGGAATTCACCAATTAAGACCTGCAGTATGTTTAGAATTGCACTGTTGGATTTGTTATTTTAACCAGGACATGAAATGCTTGCTTTTGCACAGCAAACTTTATGTGATACCTTATTAAGAAAAATGAAGTATAAAAGTACCGAGGTCTTGTCCGTGTGCTTGTTCATTTCCTTGAACAAAAAGAAGAGAGTAGCCATTATAGATGTGAGTTGTCCCAGATGGACATGTAGGAATGTTTGTTGACTGACTGTGCCGGGAAAAAATAAAGCCTCTTTTCACTGGACTAGTTATGCAACTTCCTGGGAATCCAGGAAGTCCCTTTATACCAGGAGATCCAAGCAATCCAGGTAAACCTACGCAGAAATTAATTAAAAAAATAATAATTAGAAATATTTGTGAACCTGTCCACTTACAAACTCTGTGTCAAATATACCCAATATTTCCATGATTATTGTAGCCAGGTACAAGACAAAATCCAAATATTTCATTCCATTTTCTTATAATAAGTTCACCACTGTAGTACCTTTTTGCCCTTGAAATCCTTTTTCTCCTTTGGGTCCAGGTGGTCCAGTTCTACCTGGAGTACCATGACGGCCTGACTGGCCCATTGAACCAGGAGGTCCTGGATTGATGAATAGAAGAAAAATGTTAACATATGTTCAAAACATACCTGAAAGGAAGGGATCATTTTTGAGAAGATTTGATGCAAACTTATTGCAAGACAAATGCCGAATAACAGCCAGTAATAACTAGTCCTCTGTATTTCACCCAGAAACACCTTCAAATAGAGGTGTTCTCTCTCTGAGTTCTTCCAGCATAGCTCCTGAGTTTCCTAACAACTGAAATGACAGAAAGGCATCCCAGCCAAGAGCTCCATGTCAACCCCATTTCACCAGGGCTGTCATTCCGGCAGGGACGGAGACAGACAAAGCATGCCGCCTGCTTCCTCTTCTGACCACTATTCTCGAGGTCTCCATTTCTTCTGGCACCGTCAGACGTGTTGCTGCCCCTCAGCTGAGAGGTGGACGGAGCCATGCCTGCGCAGATGCCAAGCCGGCTACATTAGCCAACATTAATGGGGGCTTAGGAAAAGCAGTTGGAACCCTCCACTCGGCACTAGGGTTTGGGGTGGAGTTAGGGGATGGAGTAGCGGGGTGGGGTGCACTGGGGTTAAAAACAGTGATGGGAGCACGTATGGTTAGAGCTGACAATATTTCACTGAAACTGCACTGGGTGATTGTTGGAGCGTGCCAAATCGTGGAAGGTAAAACTTTACTACAACCTCCACCTTGTTTGGTGTTTTCTTTCGCAGCCTGATTCAGAACCTCCAAGTAACACTGGGGCAATAATCGCCACAAACTTGGCATCTTGAAGATATTGGGCTTAACTCCCAGAATGTTGAGGTCTTCACATCTTCAAGTTCCCAAGGTTGAAAAAACATTAAAATAGAGGAAAAGAAATGTGTACCTGGGAGACCAGGTGACCCACGGGGACCAGGATCTCCTGAGCTTCCTGGGTTTCCTGGAGGTCCAGCAGGTCCTGGGCTTCCTGGGAAAGAAACTGCTTTCACAAATGCTCCAGGCTGGCCTAGTAATGAAGATACAAGCAAATAAACGGCTCTTTGTTTATCTATGTACAATTACAATTCTAGATTAATTACCATTCTTTACAATTACAATTATTTATAAGCAAATAATATTACAAATCCAATTCAATTAAGTAAAACGGATCAAGTGTATTTGCTACCAGGTAGTCCTTTTGGCCCTCGAGTCCCTGCTATTCCAGTTGGTCCAGGTGGTCCCCGATTGCCCTTTTCTCCTAAAAGGAAGATCCTATTATTAGACAGGAATTATATGATTATGATGCCAAAGAATACTTATGAATTCTATAAAGCTCACATAACTATGGAAATGCATGTCCCAATTTACTATTGTACATCATTTTATCAGTTTTGGAGAGAGAGGTTGATGTTATTTGGTTTTGGTAATGTAGTAGGATCTATCATCAAAGAAATATGCATAAAGATGTACATTCAGTACAAATAGTATTCTGCACAAATATCTACATTGACCAATTATCACATGCTTTTGTCTAGTGTGTCTCAAACATAATTGTAGGTGAAGATCTTCAAGCCAAACAGCTATGAAATACTTGTTTTGAATCTTTATATTTAATGACCAGCCCTGTCAAGGAAGTAAGCTAACAAGAACGAGACACATAGAAAGAATCTTTGGACTTTACCCAGGACAGAAACTGGTTGATTTTACACTGGAATTTTCCTAACTGGATCTAATCCCTTGAATACACTGTCAAAAGAGATCACTGGCTGAGAATCTCCATGGCAACTAGCAAGAATGTGCAACCTGTTTTGGCTCTTTTTGAAGTATGCCTCTTTTTTCCTTTCTAGGAAAATTTAAATAATTTAAATAAATTTTGAGGGTTTTTTTTTTTTTTTTTTTTTTTGTAAATAATGTGGGTTTCTTTCTAGGTTTAGAATCCCAAGTTTAAATTTAAGGCTTTTTGCCTGCTAGCTCCTACTTTATAAATTGTGCAAAACGTAATCCAGCTTGATTTCAGAGATAACAAGAACAATACATGTTCACACCATCTCTCATAGCATGTAGGCAGTGACAATAATGAGGGAAAAAATGGCAAGGAAACAGACAAGTTGCTCTCTATATCTTAGAGTCAATTTGTAAAATCTTTGCAAGAAATCACAGCTCCAGAGTTGCATTAAACCAAGCTCCTATATAGAACATCCTGGAAAAGGTCTTCATTGTAATTAAGAGCTAAAAATAAATGGACAACTCAAACTATTAGTCCAGAAAAAGTTCTCTATCTGCAGTATCCCATTTATATTTTATTCATGACGTGTGATATATGAGTGACATAATATGGCATTCTAGAATTAGATAAAATAGGAAAATACCTTTTATTCCTGGTAATCCTGGAAAGCCAAGTTCACCATCAAGGCCCTGATAACCAGGGCTACCTTCAATTCCCTGTAAATCAGGGTAAAAATAATCTTTATCAGTTTAAACCCGTCTTCAATAGATTTTGTAAGTAGAGAGAGAATGCACATCGGTTTAAAGAACACATTCTCAAGCAAACAGAAGCATTGCCAATGGAAAATTGGAGACTATAAACTCAGTCATCATAATTGCTGGCCTTATATTTCTATTGTCTTACTAAAAGTAAAAATAGCACTGAAACTAATTCTTTGCCATTATTTAATCCACCTCTAATTTTAAAATAGGCACCTTCCTGTATAGATACCTCCCTGTATTCTTAACAATGTTTAATGATTTGGGACCTGTTATCTTTACTAACAACAAAATACAAGCATAGCTACATTCCTTATTATTGGACACACAGTCTTCTACATGTTATTCTCAGAAGAATGAGGGCTCAACAGAAGAAAAATTACCCATATCCCAAACACTCATATTTCAATGAACGTGGGATGAAAATGCTTTTTGTATTTGCTCTAAGCTTCCCTGCTCCCATGCCTTAACAACAGCTAGCTCTTAACAGAAATGAAACGGTTTATTCCATCTATCAGTGAAACAGCAGCAACAACAACAACAAAATCTTAGGACATTTCACCAGCCTAGTGACACCCACTAATACACCCCCTAATTCTGCATTGATAGCTAGAAAAATGAAACAATAAAATTCCTGAAATTTAAAAAATTGATCGTTCCAGTTTAGTCATTTTTGCAAAATGTGATAGCTTTCCTCGTCAACAATTTTGCATTGTTGCAAGTCTAAAACATAAAATAAATGAATGACTAATAAAGGATATTTAGTTAACTTACTGGCATACCAGGTGGCCCATCATCACCTTTCATTCCTGGCAGGCCTGGAATTCCATCTGTTCCTTGGACACCTTTGTTTCCTTTTATGCTGTAGCCTGGGACTCCAGCAGGTCCTGGGCTACCAGGAAGACCTATATTTCATGGGGAAAGTACATGCATTTGGGACAGTGGTGAAATCTGAACCAGTTTGATACCGGTTCACTGGCCGTGCATGTGTGCTGTGTGCCAAATGCATGCTGCATGTGTATATACAGTGCATACCAAAAGGACGCTTGGGAAGGTAAGTAGAAGCAAGGGGGGATCAGCTGTGCCATGCAATTTAGCTTCGCTAGAAAGCAGCAGGAAATCCTGCCCCCTGTTCTACTTACCTTCCCACGACTTCTTTTGGTGTGTGCTACACACACGCACATGGGCAGTATGTGCCAAAAAGAGGCTTGGGAAGGTAAATAGAACAGCAGGAGGGAATCAGCTGTGCCACACAATTTAGCTTCGCTAGAAAGCAGGATTTCCTGCTTCCTAGCAAAACTAAACCCCGCGGCACAGCTGATTGTCAGAAATACTGGTTTGGGTGAACCGGTAGCTTTTTTTTTTTTTACTACTGGTTCGCGTGAACCCGTAGTTTTTATCACTACTGGTTAGCCCGAACCGGTAGCATTTCACCCCTGATTTGGGAATAGTATATTAACCAAGAATTATGTTAAATTATATGCATACACATTCTATCTCTTATATCTCCTTAATAAAATACAATGTATGTATGACACTTTTCAATTTAAATCTTCAAAGTTGGTAGTAAGGTCCACTTCCACAGGCAGCTGCCAGGAAGAACATCCACACATATACACTTAACACACCACAGGCTAAAGGCTTTTGGTCTAATGCAATCTTGTGGAATATTAATAATATTGTATGTACCTCAGGAGAAAGAGTTCCTTAGAATGCCATAGACAAAATCTGTTATTGAAACAATAGCTCACAACTCTCATAAATTCCACTTTCTAACTTGAAAGGCTTTAACAGGGGATTGGATAAATTAATGGAGGACAAGTCTATCAAGCACTAATAGTCTTAAGTTAATGGAAGACAAATTTATTGAGCGCTAGTAGTCTTGAACACAGGTTGGATGTATCTTGCCTCCAAATACATTTGCAGGAAAGAAAATGGGGGAAAAAATATGCATCTCTACCGATATGCAGAAAAAAATGGTGGACATGATGTGCTTTGGTCTGATCCATCAAGGCTATTCTTATGTTGCTAAGTTAAATGCAGAGATTATTGGACAATATGCTCCCAAATATCTTCCCTACAGAAGACAGCTGCTTAACTGTAAAGCAGAGCAGCTAAATGAAGAGGGGAAAACACCTAAAGTAAAAGTAGGAAAAGATTCATGATGAATCTGATCAGGCATAAGAAATGAATAATTGCATCTATTTTGTAGTAATAATAAATTGCAGCAAAGCAAACATTAAAGTTGCTATATAATAATGGTTTCTTACCTGGATTTCCATCTGGGCCAGGAGGACCTCTATTTCCTTTGAGGTTAAGTATTCTCCCTGGTTTTCCTGGAAGTCCTGGTGGTCCAGGTAAACCAGGAGGTCCACCAGGTCCTTGGTCTCCCATAACACCTTGAAAGCCTTGTGGTCCTGGAAAACCATCTACTCCCATATCTCCTTTGATACCTTGGGAATGAATATTTTAATCAAGTTAAGAACATATTGGTCATTATATTTTTAAGGGTACTATGACTTTGTTCCAAAAATTATAAAAAACCTAAGCTAGTGATGTCAAAAAATATAAACTGTATCCATCATTACTGGTCTCTCCACAGATGTGTTCTTTTCCACGTATTTTCCATGAATATACTTTCTGGTAATACAATCTACTTTCCACTTGCAGGAATTATAATGTTAGATATATAACCCAGTTTGGATCATATGTTATGAGTTAGAAGTTACTTTATTTATAACAATCACTGTTAATTTTACTACGAGACCATCTTCTGCCGCCGAGAGCCTCCCACCAGCCAGTACGCTCCCACAGAGAAGGGCTCCTCTGGGTGCCATTGGCCAAAGAATGTTGACTGGCGGCCCCCAGGGGGAGAGCTTTCTCTGTGGGAGCACCTGCCCTCTGGAACGAGCTCCCCCCGGAGATACGGACGATCCCGGATCTACGTACTTTCCATCGGGCCCTCAAAACTTTTTTATTTCATCAAGCCGGGCTGGCCTAACTCTCCAATGGTGTAATTTTAATTTTAATTTTAAATGGGGGATTTTAACTGTTGGGCCAAATTGTTTAATATATTTTAAATTGTTTTTAAATTTTGTATTCTATGTTTTTTACCTATGGCTGTTCACCGCCCTGAGTCTTTCGGGAGAAGGGCGGTATATAAATTTAAATATTAAATTAAATTAAATTAAATTTCTAATCAGATAATGTGATGGCCTCTCAGCCAAGAGTAGACAATCCAGAAATCCTGAAGCATTTATATTTAGCTCCTGTACCCTGACTCTTCCAGTTAGGATAACCTGCAGTATATAGCCAATCCTGGAACAGACAAAATAAAACTATTAACTCTATTAAAAGAAAACATAGGCAAAAGTCTATGTGTGTGATAGATACCTTAGCACTTAGTATTGCTGTCTGCTGTCTTAAGGAATTGCAGGAAAACCTTAATTGTAATTGTGTGGTACCAAAAAAGCTATTTATAGCAATTCTGCCTCATATGAACAATTATTCCTTTTAGAAGAATGGAAGGAATAATTCTTTTTTTAAAAAAAACCCTTTTTTCCTTTTTGTAGTACCCACCCAATTATTGGCTAAAATATATCAAAAGTGTTTTATAAAATATATGCAAATAATAAACAATTGTCTAGCTTTCCCATCTGGATTTTCTTATTACAGAACTTGAAAAGTTTTATAATGCAATTATATTTCCAGCCCAATTTCAGTGAGGCTGACATTGCCCCAAACAATTTGGGTTCTCAGTTTCCTGACCTTGGAAGGATTGAAGGCTGAGTCAACCCTGAGCTGTGCCAGAATCAAATTTCTGGCTGTGGGCAGAATTTTCCTGCAATACTGCAATCTAACGACTGTGCCACCACGGCTCTAATATACAGTGTGGAAGTTTTTTCAAATTCTATATTATGAATTTACAGGGTTGTATTGTGAGGAAAATAGGAGAGGAAGGTATGTTGACTATGTTCACCATCTTGAGTTATTTGTAAAAATAATAAACATGGGATAAAAATAAATAAATTAAATAAATAAGATATGCAGTATAATTTTACCTTTAGGTCCAGGAAGTCCTTTAGGGCCAGGAATTTGTTGCCCCGGGGAACCTACATAATGATAATGCATTTTTTATTTCAAAAGTAAATTAAAATTTAAAAGGCACTATATTACACCATAAGGAAGGCTGAGCGCCAAAGAATTGAGGCCTTTGAACTATGGTGCTGGAGAAGAATCCTGTGAGTCCTTTGGGCTACAGGACTACAGGACACTCCTCTAGGACTGACTGGTGATCAAATCGGTCAGTCCTAGAGGAGATCAACCCTGACTGGTCTTTAGAAGGCCAGATCCTGAAGATGAAACTCAAATACTTTGGCGACCTAATGAGAAGGAAGGACTCACTGGAGAAGAGCCTAATGCTGGGAACGATTGAGGGCAAAAGAAGAACGGGATGACAGAGAATGAGATGGCTGGATGGAGTCACTGAAGCAGTCGGTGTGAGCTTAAATGGACTCCGGGGGATGGTA